AGAGCTTTGCTTTGGGCCCCTGCCACAGTGTACTCGCTCCTGCAAAAGGCAAAGAGGAGCCGAAGAGGAGTGTGCTGAGTGGGACAGAGCTGCAGCAGTTGCAATAATGTATTTGTACTATAGTGTTGTCACGACACTTAACTCCGATATGAAGAAATGCACTCAATACCAATTTCAATACCACAGGGAATCTAAAATGTACATATTTTTTGTATATATAAAGATAGATAGATGCCCTGTTTATGATTTAATTCAGTATTTTTTACTAGTTTTGGTATGAATACATGAAAGGAATGAATGTTGGATTTTCTATACCTTTGACAACCCTTTTTTTATAGGTTATTAATTTGTGCACAGTTTTGCACAAAATCAAGACCATACCTATGTCATGGTATGATCGTGACTTTTAAATGCAGACATACATTCTATTATTAGTATATTTAAATAAAGACAAAATAAATATTTTCAGGGCTTTTTATGTCTGTGTTCTGAAGTGCATTGCACCCTTTTTCTAAACATATTTGAATAGTGAAATATACAAAAGCAATAATCTAACCTACAATTACGCTAGTTTTGCACTGTTGGCATATTTTTGTTTATCGTGCAAAGCTATTTCTTTGTTTTGTCAATTTTGTTCACCAAAATGGTAATAAATAGTTTGAAATACTGACAGATTAGTCACTATAGTCACTATATTGCAGGAAACTGCCTGAATATTTGTAATCACCAATATTTATGCCACTATTCAAATGCTATTATTAACACTATCCATGCCATAAGTGTGAAGCCGTGTTGGTAGCTGTAAAAATATATACTCTCTGAGTTGAATTTGCAGGGGGAGAAAGTTGGAGAACCTTTGCCCTAGTCCGGCACAGGTCACGTTCTCGCGGTGGGCCCGTCCCGTGTGGAGCACATGAATCACAACAGGCTGATGGGGCCTGGGTGAGGTGTCCCCGGCATGTGGCCCCTCAGCACTCCCCTGGGGCACAGGGGTCCGACTATAGGGCAGACGACTGGAGACAAATGAACAGTTGCATGGAAAGACTCCACGGGCTATATATGTGGCTGAACAACAAATTATCTATACATTGCAATAATTGTAGTTTAGAAAAAGATTTATAATGAAAAAAAAATAAGATTTGAATTCTTCCTAACTCAGTATGTTGTAGGATGGACTGAGAGGATTTACCCTGTTTGTGTATTTAAAAATTTTCAAACAGGAACTTTTTGCTAGTGTGGTATGAAAATTGGTGAATGTCATGTGGTAATTCAAGCTCCTGTTTCTTTTAACGATCCAGAAAATAGTCACATACATCTTTCCAATACATTATCCTAAATTTTATATAGCATTCAAATTTGTTGCAAGATTGAAGTTGAACTTGGACCCCATTTTACAAATAATATTAAACAACAAGCCAGTTAATTGAATATAACTTACAAAATGGCTGCCTTTGCAATTATCTCATGTTCTAATATTGATACATTTAAAAAAAAAAAACACTCTCCGGGTGCAGTTTTTCTGCTCTGTGGGTGGAGAGGCTGGGTATATTTAGGTGCTCTGAGATATCACGCTGAGATGGGATTTCAAAGTGGAGTACCTGTTTGAAGATGCGTGGCATTCCACAAGGGTGGGCAAGGGCTACGGAGCATAAATCTGACAGAACTGCACCTGGTGTGAAGAAGACGGAGGCAAAGAGACGCCATATTAGCATTCAAGAACTTTCGCTGTCCCAAAACATGCGCAAGCTAATGCCCACCAGATCAATTTACACACTGTTCAAATGATCTATTGTAGTCACAGATCTATGCTGCAACTATACTGGTTTATTTTTTTTAATATAAACAATTGATAGAGATAATTAGATGCATCAGTTTTTACATAGCAAAAACGCTTCACTTGGTATTACGCTTCACTTGGTATTACTCATTCACTCCAAACGCGGTGGTGATAAAATATTGTAGCCACAGCTGCCCTGGGGGCCAGAAGCAAGGCAACCAGCATATGCCATCAGCCCCTCCGACCACCACACAATACTTTTTCAAGACAAAGTGGGTGAAGTGTCTTGCCTAAGGACACAACAACAGCTTGGCACTATACAGCTGCTCCACTGTGGCGCCTGGTATTCCCAGCAGTCTCCCATCACAACACTAACCAGGCCCTGCCCTGCCCAGCTTCAGAGATCTGACCGGATCTGGCTTCTGCATGCAAGTTTGACCACAATCAGCCATATCCTAACACAAACATACTTCATTTTCATATTTAGTCATGCTTATGTGTAGCTATAATGGATCTACAGATGAGGTTTGTGTTAATTTATTAAAGCTATTTGTCCTGTTTTTGGTCCCGTGCTTCCTAATGCAACATCAAAGTCACCACTGTGGGAAAAATGTATTTCTGAGGTTTCATGATCTTACAGAAGATCTCAAAACATTTCTTTTTTTTTAAACAATGAGAAAAAACCCAATTAATTAAAGTCATATGAAATCAACCAAAAACAATCTGCAGAAATGTAACTATAGCCAAGGTCCAAACTGGTAGGGTCGTGGTCACTTCCCTTCAAACCTCCCAAAACTACACGCCTGTGTCTATGATCATCAATATTGGCTTTACCTGCTGCAGTGGCTTCTATAACTGTGCTTTCAACTTGCGCAGCAGCCCACCTCCTCCTGAACACCACCTCAAAATAGTGACACACTACTCTTCATCTCATCCGCTCATCACTTCATCTTTTAGTGATTTTACTTTCAATTTTCTCCATTCATTTTCCTCCTGCATACGTCATGCTATATATCAGGAGTTTAAGTGCACTAACAATATCTTGATTTCTAGCATCCTCTAACACATGTCAATAACTATAATTTCATACCATATGTCAAATTGTGCAGTAACTAACATACTCCCTACATCCAAAATCATAAAAAAAATTAAAACATCTTGCGCAAGTCTTTCCAGATTGAATCAGTTTTGAAAAGATTAAGAGATCCTTTATTTGTTGCACAGTGGGGAAAATTCAGTGTTGCATCATAAGTTACAGAACAGTAGGAATGAGGAGCACAGAGCACAAGACAAATGATGAATAACTCTATACTAAAACAAAATAGAATAAAACCAAATCTCTAACTCTAGCATAAAAAGAACTAGTATAAAATCTTGATCTTTAGCATAATAAGGAAAGAAGTCTTAAAATCTCCAACTTTAGCATGATGGAGAAGCAAGCATTTAGTACAAAAACCCCTGACTTTACCCTAATAAGGAGCAAGTATAAAATGCTGTATATTCTCATAAAATGCTGCTCCATTAAACTGTTTTGTAGGACATAGAAAAGTGGTATTTGCTCTTCCGTTTTACCAGTGCAAGTCTGCTGGTGTGCAGGCATATTTGTTACGATCTCGTTTAGTAAAGCCATTCCATTTCCCTAGAGTCTGACTCATTAATCAAATATTCATATGTCCTTTGTAAATACATGCAGAACACAAAGGCCTTCAGTGGTGCATGCACAAATGTCCTTTCATGTTTCAAGCAAAAATCCCCAAATGCCCCTCTTTGCTATAGCTTTTCTCATCTATGCAACTATGAATCCACTTCCTTCCCATCCTTTAAAGCTCAAGAATGTCTTTGGCTTGTGCATAATTGATGTTCCCGCGCTGTCCACACCTCAAACAGCCTCTGATAAACATACACATGGCTTGGGGGTATAAATGATGCCTTTATGCACACTGTGTTGTTGCATCTCCATGGTAGAGCCAGAACAGATGTGGGATTCATATGCCCTTGTCTGGCCGTTCTCACCCTTGGCCCTGGCTTCCACAAAACAGACTCAGTTCCTCCATTTGAAAAGCGGGGTCCATCATAAGACAAGAATTTGTATTGTACGTGAAAACAGAGGGACATAACAGCGGACGTATTATCCATGGTAACGGAGCATCGCACACAAGGATATTTTCTTTTCCCTTTGCGAAGGAACACAACTGCCGCCAGTGTCACCGGGTCAGAGTTTTTCCGTCCCTGGTTAATGGGGTGTAGAGATGGTTAGCACGTACGATTAGTTTTAATCTGCTGCATTTGACTATGAGAGGAGAGATTGAATACGTTCAACACACCACTGAGGTTAGGAGCCACAACTGGAAGAAGAGCCAAACTCCCTCTGTTGCTTCAGGGAGATTTCTGCTGCAGAGCCATAGGTACACTCTGGAAAACTTCAAAATAAGCAAGAGAATGGAAAAAAAACATGTTGTATAACAGAATGGTTTTATTTAATCATGAAAGCACACAAATTGACTTATTATTTAACACAAAAATAAAGATTTTTGAAATGGCAAATCAAAGTGTATGGTCCACAAATACATTAACTACTGTAACGTTATCTACTTCAACCCACAAATCCAGTCAAGTGTCCGAAATGTATGAAATGTAAGATTACCTTTTGCGGTTTCTAAATAAGTGAAATAAGCTGGTTGTCAAGTGTTTAGGACAAATACAAAAATACACATATATACATTACAAAACACTAGATTCTATAAATCTCTGTTGATTTTTGAGAAATCATGTGTTTTTTAAGTGTATATTTCTGTTAATGGTGACCAAACATTACAGAGAGAAATCACTGAAAATCAAGTAAAACATGTTTGCAAGTAACATACATGCATGTTTTCTCACGCATGTATGTTTGACCTCTGTCACATCTTTAGATCAGCTTTATTCAGATGAAAAAAACAAAAAAAGAGCCACTCTAACTAAGCCAATCAGCTCTCATTATGTAAACGATAAACTGTTTGCTAATGAGATGAAGACAGGATGCTGTGCTCTGATTTGTTCACAATATGTTCCTTCAACAAGACTCTTTCTGTTGAGACAAACACAAAGTAGTATGAAACAAACAAACAATTACGTGCTCCATCTTGAATACAAATTGGAGCCAAATGTGTGAAAGAGTCATACGTTTGGAGCCCTGTGTGTGTGAATGTGGTGGTGGAAGTTTGTCATCAGGAGTGCGACGGCCTCAGAGCAGCACAAAGTCCCCGCTGGTGGTGACGGTGCGGCGGATGAAGGGCCACTCTCCCTTCTCGGGGGTCAGACTCGCCGACAGGTCGTAATCTCTGCTGCGACCTTGGACGATGGTGAACACCGGGTATTTCTCTTTGGCTGAAGGCTGCAGCACCTGGGGGGAAAAGAAAGAACTTGTACTTTTTGTCAATAACTGAGAAAAGTTTTATGCCAAACTGCACAATCGGAGGGTGCCGCATAAAAACATTTGAGCATTTTTGACTTGTATATAATATCTTATTTTAAACCTTTTGACACCAAAAATAAGTGATTATTTTTTGTTAAAATTAGTATTTATTTTTCTCTAGTCTACTTGTATGTTTTTGACACTTGATCATGGTTTCCTTATGTCCATCCATCCATCCATTTTCTACCCTTTAATCCATTTCTGGGTCAGGGGGGTGGCAATCAGAGATGCCACCCAAGTCTCATAGCACCAGCCCCTCACTGACCCTCTGCAGGTGGTGAGTCCACAGGAGGACGGCTGCTCTCTGAGTGTGAGCATAGCCTTGATCTTTCAGCGGGGGCTTCAGGCAATGTGGGGTTAAGTGTCTTGCCCAAGGACACAACGACAGCAGTCATCAGTGGGAGTCGGTGGAGAAGGTGTAGAGGTGGGAAATGAACCCACGACCTTCAGGCCTGAAGGCCAATGCTCTACCAACTGAGCTACTGTCGCCCCGGTTTTCTTATGTAATATGTATTTTTTGTGTTGTTAATTTTAACAACAGGGTGAGGTTTTTAATGTAAGGTGCAATAAATAAAATATACTATTTAAGTCGAAGATTTTAAAGATCATTTCTAAACAATCATTTAGTATAAAGTATTTTCTTGGTTCAAAATCGAGAAAAACACCAGGAAACAAAATATAGTTAAATCATACATGTAAAACACATTTTACCATAAAACATTTTATGGTAATTTTCTAAGTCCTAATTTTAATAAGTACTCATGAAATTTATAAAACACACTCAATAATGTTAAATGAAAGAATCGTGTGCTTTATCCTTGATTGCTTTATCTATCGTTACATTTCTCTCCTTGACAACATTACAGACAAAACTTCAGGTTCTTTCCAGGACAAAGCCTTTTGTCCTGTCAGAGATTTAGGAGTCTTTCTTTTGGAGTAAACCTCAAAAAGGTTTTGCGGCCCAGTGTCATACCAATAATATCACTTATTATGCAAATAACCGGTTTCCAGAAAGCTACTAGTTTAGGGAATTCTACACGCACAATATATAAGATTAGTCAAGTTTCTCCGGGGATATGGATGTTGAAAGAAAAACTACTGTGCATTTAATGTAAGGTTTTTGCTGATGTATATTTGAGCTGGTCCAGGTTTTACTTAAGACTGTTAGATGTGTATTATCTGGTTGCGTGAACCCAGTCACCAACGACATGAAGACAGGCCTATTTGTGGCTAAATGGTGCCATCTACTGGTTAGTTGTAAAATGACAGATCCCAATATGATCACGCGATAGACACACAGACAATTTTAAGTTTGCGCAATACAAAAAAATAATCAAAGAAATTATATAAAACATGTCATGTACCTTTGTCAGCTCTTGGTTGATTCGCTCAAATTCTGAGAGGCTTCTGGAGTAAAATCCAATGGTGCAGCTTGGGTCCATTTTACTGAAAGGCATCTTCTTTGGTGACGGACAATGGAAAGACTTTAAAAAGCACAAAGATTCATGTTTTAGTTTGAAAATGAAAATTATAAGTGCACACCATTTGTAATTCAGTTAAGCCAGTCAAATCGAAACCTGTCAGTCCACTTAGACATTAGTTGTTATTACAACGATATACCACACCATGAACCTGTGTGGCTGTAAAACAAAACCGTGTCAGATGTATTATTATTGTAAAAATCATGTATTAAATAATATGTAGCATGTATTCTATAATATATGCATATACATAAGTGACCACATTAGTCCAGTTCTCAGGTCTCTGCACTGGCTTCCTGTGGCTCAGGAAATTGACTTTAAAGCAGCTCTGTTTGCTACAAGTCTCTACCTGGCCTCGCACCGAAGTACATCTGTGACATATTGTGGTGCCACATGAACCGGCTCGGACTGTGAGGATCACAGGGACAGGCCTCCTGCTGGTGCCCGTAAACATGGAGGCATTTCAGATTCATGCAGCGAAGGTCTGGAACAGTCTCCCCGAAAGAGTGAGAGAGGCGTCCACTCTGACAATGTTCTAATCCAGGTTAAAGTTAAAGTTAAACTGTTTGCCTGTGCATACAACTGAAGGATTTTATCTCTATTTTTAATGCACTGTGGTTGTTTATTTTTTAATCCCTTGTGTGATTTTAAATGGCTTTAATTTTTTGAGTAATTTTAAAAAGAACTGAAATTAAATGAACAGAATTGTACAATTGAAACTTTAAGGATGAGTGAAAGTGTATCTTTAAATGTGGAATCTCATCTGTTCCTTTTAAAAATAACCTACAAATGATAGGATATTATTTGTTATTTGTATTTGATAGTATTTGTTTTATTGTATATGCTTTGTAAATATTGACAATTCACGCAAAAATTAGTCCATATACCAGAAGTGTGTAAGTGTAAAATTACCTTGAGTAAAGACAAGTACAGATACTGTAGAATATATTCAAGTACAGCCCTTTTTACCACGACTATTCTTACTGTAGTGGGCTGCGTCACACATCTCTGTATAAAATAGATCAATTCAAAACAACAGACACGCACCATATATTCATCTTGCTTCAAAGATTCAGGCTTAAATGTTACAGAACTGATTGCGTTCACATTAGAGTGGCCCAGGTCAGCTTGTCTGTGCATCTCCCCATCATTACCTGCAGTGGGAAATCGCCGCTGCTGACATCCACAAAAGACTGACAGTAATGAGGATCCATGTAAATCAAGCTGTCGTCTGCAAGGACAAAACAAAAGACAAGTTATTCAAAAACATCAGTTTATTACCAAAACGCGCTCGCTCCAATTTCTATGCAGAGCAGCTCAAAGTCACCTGCTCAGCTTAATGTTAGGCTAGTGTGCGTCAAATATGCCTCCCCGAAGGTTGTTGCTTTTTAATATCCAGCAGGGTGGATTAGAATCTCCATAATCACATGTACATGCACATTCTTTACAGTCAAAAGAAAGAGGTTGTCATTTAATTTTTGTGTGGGGGAATTACTTTTACAAACACGCAATTATAATCCAGCATTTGCATATGATAAATGCCTTGCCGAGCAGTTCCGTGGCAGCGAGAATGTATTGCTTGTCATTTAGACATCATCCACCACTGTATTTCAAATTGGTAATATGTAAATGCGTAAATATTGACTGTCAAGATGTACAACTGAAGGTTCCTCCTGGCTCCTGAAGGTGATGGAGAGTAGCTCACTTTGGGGACTGGATTAAATTTAATGCGTGCTTCGTATGGAAATCAATTACGCCTCACAACTTAGGAGGTTTACTTGTGATGAATGGGCATGGCTTTGATGGGTCAGGAAGAATAAAATAAGCCCTGCTTCACTCCCCTCCTCTCCGTTTTCCCACACGCAAACAGGAATACATTAACTTACTTTGTCTTCTTGGATGGTATATTATGCAAAATCATCTGTTATTCATTCCAACTCTCTCTTTGTCTTCCTCAGTTTTCATTCTTGCAATACTAACCTTGAAATCCAACAATGTAGCAGGCCTGTTTGGGCTTTCCACCGATGATGCCGAGGCAGTAGTCCAGGCTTAAAAGATTCTAAATAAACCCAAAATACACAGAACAGCTTTAGATGTGTACAATAGCAATACTTGGATATTACAAAAAATATAGTGAGACTTAAGCTTTGAAAGTAAGATTATATTCAACGTTGACATTTTAAACCTGCCTATTTCAAGGATTACTACAACTATTTATTTACTGTCAGCAGAAACCTGACAAACAGTTTTGTTTACCGATTCACATTATACAAGTACCAAAATTACATCAACAATTAACATGATTTAATTTATTGTTTTTAAAAGTGTTTTCCTTTTAAAGAAAAGCTTGTCTGGGTTAGAGTTCAATCTGAAACATGCAAATACTTCTTACTTGTCTTTAAAACAAACCACTCCCCCCGTTAACTAAAAAGGAACCGTATGTAACATGCATATGCAGTGGTCTAATAAAGTCAATACAATTACAATCCAACTTCTGTTAGCAGAATCTTCCTTCCCGACAGGCACCTCAGCACAAAATACTGATGAAATCCACCATCTGGGGTTTAGCTCGAAACGGTACAAACACTGTATTACGTTTGGCTATTTATTTTTGTTCTTTGTTTCATTTACATATGATGGTTTTGTTTGGGAATGTTATAATTTTTAAAAAAAAGAAAGAAAAGAGCTAAACCCAGCTAAATATAGTAGGTAAATTACATTTCAACACCATTACCTTTACAAAGTTAAAGCAGTCAGGATTGGTCTTCTCTCCTCCGAGTCGAACTGGTATTAGAATAATGACAGCGCGGCTGTCGGGATGTTCATTGCAGGACTGTTCATTATGTGGCAGAGAAGTGGCCTCAGATTTGTCCTGCCCTCCTCCTGGTGCTCCATGACTGTCCATGACATCTGCACTGTACACTATGAAAAATCAATACGAAAGGTCAGACAAGAGCCATTTGTCTGTTCATATCAGTCAAAAAATAGGACTCCCTATTTGCTTTTTCCCTGTGGAGACCTCTTCTCGGACCTGACCTGTGACTTGGCTGGTTATACCACAGTTACACTTTATCAGTTTGCTTCCATCATCATATTTCATACCTGTGCAATCCTGGGACACATAGGCGGTTATCCTGGCCAATATGGGGTCTGTTGCATCTTCAACAGATTTTCTTAGAGACAGAAGTAGGCAATCAATACAAGAAAATCTATTATCAACTGAATCTGGATTGTAGGTTGGGACTTACTTGAGGATGTGAGCTACAATTGCAGGGCCATACCAGTCTCCAGCCTGTTTGCCCATCAGTAAACCTAATTGGACAAGTGTGTGGATTCCCAGCTGGGAGGACGGGCTATCTCCGAACCAGGACACCAAAGTTCTGTGGTACATTTCCTTCATGTGGACATCGGCTTCTTCAGCAGAGCCAAGAGCCTGGGCTGGGTTCTTTCCTGGTGTGTTGAGCTGAGAAGATCCAGGAGAACCCTGCATTGACGCCTCGAAGGAAGCCACAAGACGTTTGGCTGCAGAGGTGGTCCATGTTTCTGTGTCTAAAGGTTGGAGTGAGAGCGCCTCAGACCACATCCAGTCTGTGGAGATGTTGATACACAAATGTCAACTTGGAATTTGAAGTTGAACCATTATATCATAGTATTTACATAGTTTCACATTGAGAGAGACGGACCGTTATTATAATAGATCCATGAGACAGACAGGGGGTATTAAACCTTCAATAGCTTAAAAAAATGACAAAAGAAATGAATCGACAAGTTCAATATCAAACAAGTATGAAACAATTTGTGGAACATCTGCCTTCTTTGATTTGAAATTATTTATTATTGATAAATGATTTATAAATACTTACAGAAATAGTTTAATTATATGTGCTTAATAACTTTGCTTCTACTTTCATTCCAGCTAAAATCTTTGAACTATTTTTGCCCAACTTGTACACTATTTGTTGTAGGGAGTGAGTTCTCTACTCATTGGCTGGTTCAGGTATAACTTTGGGTGCCCCAGTATTTCACTTTAACAGTTGTCCCCACAAACTGGGAGGGAGATTAAGGCAGACAAAAGGGGAGTGGCTGAGGCCATAAAATGTTCAAGAACCAAGTCAAAAGCACTACAAAGTGACCTTGAATGATCAAGTGTGAAATTGATCAATAAATGTGCTCAAAATCTAATTATATGTTTTATAGGGAAATATTTTACACATGACATATTTTAAATTAGAAAAGTATAAGTTTAAATATTTCTTTAAAATGGCTAAATTATTTTCTCATTGTCTTCCCTCAATGAGAAAAATATGTTTCTTTGAATTACAAAAGCGTGGCATGAGGCGTGTGAGTTTATAATCTCAAAGTGACTGAACTTTATATAACTTATTATATTATATAATTATTTGAGTTATATGGTGTTCAGACCAGTAATCACACCATCGAAATTTGAACAAAACACATTAAGAAAGGTGGACAATCTACAGTATGGCTAATGTATTGTGACAAATATTGTAATAATTCTATGCCAATGACACATGTACAATATAGTAGGATAAGTGCAGTAAACCATCTTTTAAGCCATACAAGTAATTTATTCAACCATTTACATCTCAGGGGGCTATTCCTTGTAATAAAGAAATTCCACACACAATCTTATTGCATTATGATAAAAATTGCAAATAAAGAAAAACATATACATTGTACCATTCATCAACAATGATTAAATGGTAAGTCAATATAGTACAGGTATGTATGCATTGTATAATGAATGGAATAATCCTAAAACTAAACTTAGACAAGACGGGCTAGAACGACTTCAAGACAATTCCAGGAATAACTGGGGTGTAACTGCAGTAACTGTAGTTCAAACTAAAGGCCATAAAATGTTCCGAACAAGTTAAAAACCGAACAGTTTTAACTCGTTCGGTCAGTTAATGTTTGGAGGGGGCATATGCAAATGAGACTTCCAGTCGGCCTTCTGACTGCAGCAAGTGTGGTGTGAAAATGGTCTAATGTTCTGCGACTTTTGCATGTGAACAATTGAAAATCAGATGATAAAGTTTCCACCCACCTCTACCAAGCAAGTGAAGAACGAGGGCTTGAGCCAGCATCATCTGTCCCGCCCTGAGCATGCATCCCCAGCCACAGTCAGAGGTGAGAGAGGAACCAGGCAGGGGGGGAAACTCTTCTCTGTAAGTTAGCCAAACTCGAGAGGCAAAATCTCTCCGGAAAGCCTCAACATTTCCCATGGCGCAGTCCTCATCTGTGGCCTCAGAGCAGGCTTCTTGTGTGGGGCTCTCATCATCATCATCATCTGAATAATATGTTAATATTATATTCCATTATTTGTTTATTATATTCTTGGACGTATAACTGTGTATGTTATGTTGTTGTGTTTGTGCACGTTTTGAAATGAATACTTTAAATAAAACAATGCATCGGTCTTGCTTTGTTCTATGTATATGGAGGTTTGAGGCCTCAGTGTCCAATGGGAGTTAGCAACTTGTTGTGCAATTGATTACATGACCCTCAGTCATATCTCAACACCGAGATGGTGTGTGAATCAGTTTTACATGAATGCATACCTTTTTATTTGCGTGATTAAAAACACAAAGAGTTGGTTTGATGTTGAATGAAACAAGAGACAATATTTTACATAAGAATAATTTTAAACTTATTATCAATAGTCAGAGTTATTATTACAGCACTCGCCTTTGAAACTACTTTATGATTTCTTGCACCACCAATACTGATTATGATAATGCAAATGATTGCAATTCTAACAGAGTGCAAATGATTAAACAAACCTTCCACCTTGAAATGGTAACATTTACCCAGTAAAAGTACTGGAGAGTTTCTGCTAAAGGAGGTCTTGGACTTGAGAGCCCAGCCTAAAAAGAAAAAAAAAACACATAACATAATTAGCCTTACATTGCTTCACACACAAAAAACACATCACATAGTTTTGTTTTCCTGAGAAGAAAAACATTTGCATGACTATTTATAGAACTGACTCACAGAAATGTGACGATACACAGTTTAGAGGTTGATGTGTTTAGAGGATCATAACTGGTCTAGGGTCAGAGTAACACTTTGTGTTCGGGTTAACATTTGACATGTCAAAGTAGTGCAGAACTGGCCAAGGGCAACATACTTACTGTACTTCACATTATGCCACACTGACAAGAACTTTGTCTTTATTTTTTCCACCTCCTCGCTCCCTTTATTCTCCATTTAAGCCAGCAAAGACTGAAACCCATCCCCACAAGCTTACAGCGTCTAAGGCAAAATCACACACACATAAGAGCTAAATGTTCCAGTTCAACAAATAGCGGCACAAACACATATTCACAGAACTCTTACCTTCAGTGGATGTCCCATTATTCCCACTTGTACATTTCTCATCACTCTCTGGTGTGTGCGTGTATGTGCATGATTAAATACATGTAGCTTCGTTTATTATAAATCCATGTTTTAACTTCACACTTCACTGCGACGGCCAATGTTTACGCTTGGACTCAATATTCTCGCGATATTTCACTAGCAACGAGAGTTCATGGTCTCGGTGTGCTTGATTCTTTAACAGAGACAATCCGGACGAGCGGGAAAAAATATGATGTACATATTTTAGTATTATAGTACCGTTGCCGACGCATTAACTTTACTCTACAGTCACTCTATGCTCACAAAATATATAGTGAGTAATATATGCGTTATTTGTTTTGGTGAAGTTCAGTACCTTCTGCGCATTGTTACCGTAAATCACCACGACACGCGCGTGGGTGTGTGATTGCCATTCACAGAGTGCGCATTTCTCGTGCGTACTAATAGTGTCTTTACGGTAACCAGCCCATTCTCCCGTTTTCCCGTGGTTTTCCCTGTGTTGGTGAGTGAGTGGAAAGCCCAGTCTGCCTACTCCCTGCTTGGGAAATCTAAAGCACATCTGCGGCCTCTGCCATGGCTGAACGCCGCGCCTTCGCACAGAAAATCAGCAGGTAATACATGTTGAACACCAGCTGATACTAGGCGCATGAATGGCCTCGCATACAGGTCGTTTGTAGACCACCACTGAGGGGAGTAAGCCCAATGGTTGAGGCCCGAGTGGCCGAAACCTTTGCTAGCGCTAGCTGTATCGGAAAGATGCTCAGACCCACCCTGACGGCCACGGAGACCTGCTGTTATCCAGGCAAACAAAGAGGCGACATATAATAACAGACACAAATGTCACTGTCTGCGAGTCCTGTTCATTCTCCGTGTCCTGCAGGCGGTGCTTAATCTGTTATCACTTCAGATCTATCTATGATCATGATGGACACCCGACACAGTGACTGAAAGGCTCTAATGTTTACATTTGTGTATGGGCATTCCATTAAAGACCGTCTGAGAAGACAACACACCTCCCACTGCGACTATTGCGACTATTTAATCTCTCCGCCTCTCAGACAGATCAAAGTAATAATACCCTTAACAAAGGGCTTTGTGCTACCTGTCAAAGGCCACCACTGGTCTTAACACAAACACTACACTCATGGGAAGCAAACGTCATGTTTGGTAATACACTGTTGTATCTGCTTACAAATAATTCACAATATTAATAGAAAATTTCATATGCAGTTATATTCACAGGATGCAATAACATATATATTACAGTATTTTGTGAACTTTTTCAATAACCAGGGTTATTACAGAGGACTTGAACAGTCTTGTTCAGTAAACCAGCTCATAAGAGTACCAATGTTTTTTGGAGTACCAATATTTTTCACTTTTAGTAAAAAAGAAAGTTTATTCATATAGATTATGCATTTTACAGACCAAGGTCATCCAAAGCGCTTTACAATGTTCAGAGTTCAGATATTGTTCCAATCATTCCACACAAGGTGATGACGGAAGCGAGTCGCCGAACACACTGGACCATCAGCCCCCAATCAACACCATCCATTCACTCACTCATATACATTCATACCTATTGTGGACTTAAATAGATAACAACAATAATAATGGTGGTGTTTTAATTTGCCTTTTTGTCTCTCTTCAGAACTGTGGCGGCAGATGTCAGGAAGCAGATTGCTGGACAGTATGGAGGGTCTCCACAGCTCTTCAAAAACCCCAATGCAGGGGCAGCAACAAGCAACACGGTGAGCAACACAAAAATGGCACTTTTAATGAGATGGGATGTATATAAAGAAAATTTACACTATCTCTGTACGCTAAATTTGCAATTGAGGTCTAAAGGGATTAGTGCTTCTATGGGTCAATGAAGTAAAGAACATACAATATAATATGAACAATGTTCAAATATTTGCTCGTCAGTAGTTCGCTTTACAGTTATTTCATTTTTTCAACCAATATTTAGATGCATAGTTTAGCAAAAGCATAAAAGTGGTAAAAATGTGGACCAGATATCAATAAGAGATGTACTTTGGGGAAAAAATCAAGTAACTATAACTTCTAATTAAATGTTAGTTAACTTTTGAGAAGAGATACAATTATATGGTTGTTTTCCTGTGACAATAGTTCATAAAATGTCACAGTAGCTGCAAGTTACTGTGATAAAGATAATTGAAATTCAGGGGCCAGTAAAATTTGCCTCACGGGCGGGACTTTGCCTAATCTACTATCTAATATCAAGATTGTTTTAGTTTTAATTCTTGTTATACCACAAATTTGGCTCTTAAACTAGGTTTAGAGAAATATATTTTTAGTTGGAATAAACCTTTCCTGAAGGACATTCATGGACCAGAAATACTCTATATTAAACTACAACTACAGAGTACGACTTGAAACTCTGTCAAGGAAGGTTTATATCACAATCTTACCCAGGGCAATGTGTAACATATATGACAGCATTAAAATCATAATACATACAAATACATAATTTTTTTCAATACACCTATTTTAAAGGAAGCATGCACTAAGCAGAACTGTTTTAAACCTAGATTTGACGATTTTCAGGAAGACTTTTTGGCTGACTCCCCCATTGCAGTAAATGCTTAAACAGAGCTATGCCATGTGTGCTAAAGGGATAGTGCTAATTAAAATGGGTTTTGGCAAATAATAATAATAATGATTCATTTTATGGAGACTCACATAATGCTGAAAAGTGCATTTGAATTCAATGTACACACCAGGTACCACTCACAGAAGCGGTGGACCCCGTGGATTTTGAGGAGTACTTAATCACGCACCCTCCAATCGTGGAGTCGGGACCCCTCAGAGACCTGATTGAGTTTCCCCCTGATGACATCGAAGTTATCTACACACCGCGGGAGTGTCGCACAGTGGTCCAGGCTGTCCCAGAAGAAGGGTAAGATCCAGAGAGCAGTTGTTGGTGGTGAGGTGGGATTAATGTACAGTATGTTAATAATAATAATGATAATAATGTTTCCTTTATAGCACTTTTTTGTCCACCCAAATAATGACATAATTGTGATAAGTTTATACTAGTTCAAATGCCATTTTATGTATGTTATAGTTGATTTACCCTTTTAATACAACAAATTCAGCCATTATACTAGTAGGTACAGACACAAGTTGCAAGATCCATATTTGTCTCAAGATCAAGATTATGATGGTCCTCTTGTGTTTGCTTACAGAGACACTGATGCACATGTCAGAGACTGTGTGCGATCGTACACAGAAGACTGGGCGATTGTTAACAGAAGGTAATCGTAATTGCTAAAGTTATCTAATAGGCTAAAGATACATTGGCATTTTCGATGACTGTATTTTTCTAAATTGCATTCCAGATATCACAAGCTCGGTACAGGTTTTAATCCCAATGCACTTGACAAACAAAAGGAGCGTCAGAAAGGCCTCCCCAAGCAAATCTTTGAAGCGGATGAAATGCCAGAGACCAGCAGCTACCAAGATGACCAGGTATATTTATATACTTGTACTTACATTAATGGTTTCCCTGTAGACTGCTTCCTTATTATGCTAAAGCTTTAAATTTTAGTTTTATTTTTTTTTAATTTAGTAGAGAGTATGCAATGCAATCGCTGTGCACCACCTCATGCTTGCTTCTCAAATGTCCAATGAGATTTGTTGTGTTGAATGATTTTCTAGCAGTCCCTCTTGAAATCTCACTGGAACATGTATTGCAAACTGCATAACGCTGATCTTTTTCTGAGACTGTAAAATATTGCCTCACGACTGCCGGCATCTTCTTTTTTTCTTCTACTGAGGAAAGTGCGCGGACGCCCTCCACCGGTATCTTTTTGCACGCGCCATCATCGGCGACCATGACTTTTTTTTGCCGAAGGCCGTTGGTAGTTATCAAGGCAAACATCGACCAATACTGATGTTCAGCCGATGCATCGGTGAATCCCTAGTATAGAGTTTGTATAGAGCTGTGTTCATTTATCTTATCCTGTGTGCTCATTCCTACTGTTCTGTAACTGCTGATGCAACACTGACATTTCCACACTGTGGGACGAATACATTATCTCTTAATATTAATCTTAAAATAAAATACAATCAACTGCATTTTGAACTACTTATATCTGTTTAGTTTGTATGCATACTCAGACGTAGACATTAATGTACGGTCTGGTTTGTCATTAGGACGACTTGAAGCGGCGATCCATGTCCATCGATGACACTCCCAGAGGCAGCTGGGCCTGCAGCATTTTTGACTTGAAGAACTCTCTTCCTGATCCCCTCCTGCCTCACCTCCTCGATCGTTCTCCCAATGAGGATATTGACAGAAGCAATGAAGACCAGCGCAAAACCAGCCGCCATCGTGAGCTGTTTGCACTGCACCCTGCTCTGGACGAGGTACTTTTAATGGACTTACAACTTACAAGCACTCTTTTAGTCATTGACACGTTGTTTTATTATTTCTATTTCCTTTAGAAATGTTTTACAATGCATATTTACAAAACAAATACATATAACATATTTAAACATGGGGCTGAAGATAGAAAAGTGTATGGTGCTTTTTTTTTTTCAATAGTTCAAATCGCTTTTATCTTTGTTATAGATGATTAGTCATAATTATTCTGAAACACTAATATTTCATGGCTTGTCAAAAATGAGACTCATTTATGAGATATATTAATCATATTTACTCAACAAAAACATCATTTGAACTAATGTTAATGATGAAAGAAGCCATAAATCGAACCATGAGTTTGAGTGGTATAAATCTCTATAAGTATAGTATATGTATACTGAAGTTATTAGAAGCTATTTTAAACCCACTTTTTAGTGGCATTGAGTATGTAGGGTTCAGAATGGTATCAGGGAGACGTTTTTGTATATGACAACAGTAATTTAGTTAATAATATAATGGTGCGTATTTCATCAGGAGGAGCCCATTGAGCGCCATTGTGTTCCAGAAGTACCTAAAGAGCACTTTGGACAGAGGCTACTCGTCAAGTGCTTGTCCTTGAAGTAAGAAGCAGACAGCCTATTTCAGACAATAGCCCTTAGCTGTTTTATTTCACTGCTTCTTTCTGCTGATCCTTTGCTTTTCATCTTCTGTTGAAGGTTTGAAATCGAAATTGAGCCTATATTTGCTAGTCTGGCCTTATACGATGTCAAGGAAAAGAAAAAGGTAAGCTGTTATTCTTTGTTCTGTGCCTCTTCAGCTCTGAGTTGTTTGGTCATTTTTCAAAATAGTCGTCTTGATGTGCATTATGTATAATCCGAGGTGCTTTCTTAACCTCAAATTACTTAATGATCTATGATTTATCATATGACTTTGGTACCTTAGAAACAGTGTTGGGGATAGGGATGTACACACACACACACACACACATTCCCCCTCTCCATACGTAACCTCCACACGCATCATCTCTCCCCTCTGTTACCGTCAAAGTTGCACACTGGCGCGGGTCAGAACTACATTGGAGCTTACATTTACACACACACACATATACATACACACACACACATACACATTTTTGTTACCTGGTGGGTCCCTTTGACAGGGCCGTTCAGAATGGGACCCATAGACATAATCTTTTTTTACTGGGACTACTTTAAGTAATACAAAACAGTCAATAGAAAACAAACAACTCTTTTAAAAGAATTTTATTTTAGATTTTTTTTTCGAATTGCAGTGATTCTATTTTTGACATAGAATTTAATGCCACTCCATGTCCGATGTCTAAGGTCATCTGGTGAGGCATTAATGCAGGCCAGGCAGTGAGACTTCCCAGGGACTTTTCCAGTCTGTATGAAAGGCGTCATGGTCTTCTCCACAGCCTTCACCTCAGATGCAGACCATGGCTTTCTTACACGTTCTAGGGAGAGAAATAAAAATATATTAGCAATATACACTCCCAGGGTTAGGACCAAGCAGCCTGGCTGTAATCCCCCACCTGGTACACTTACCAGAAGGGGCACTGCCACTACCATGGGGTGCATCTGGATGAATGGTTGAAGGTTCTCCGCTTGAAGTTTCTTTTAGCCCGTCCGTTTGTGAGAGGATCTCTACGGCTCTCCCTGTCGCACAGAAAATAAAAATACAAGTGGCCTTTAGGGGAAAAAAATCATACATATTTTAATAATATCAAGAATTACCTTCAGGCTCAATTTGTATCTGGTCGAGGCTCTTTCCTTCGAATTCCGTCACTCTTCCCTGCTCCATGGCCATCAACACTTTGCTGATTTTGGCCAGCTCCAGTGTCCCCTCTGGTAGTCTGTAATATTGTCTGTGGATGCGAATGTCATGGCCGAGGAAGTTGGCTAGTATGTCCATTTCATTCTCTTTCATATTGAGAACTGTAGACATAGTAGCTATGTGCTTTCTAAGTTTGGTTGAGGATAGCATCTCTGGATGCACCGCACCACATTCTTTGGCTACCTGGCGTAGGGAGTCTGATCCCCTGATGTGGGTGTCTGCGCCCGGGCGGGAGAAGAAGTATGGGTTATGGTCAGAGATGGAACAGGCCCTTCTGTTCTCCACCAGCACCTCCATCCAAGCAATCATTTCAGGAGTCAAAAGAACCACCACTTTCCCACTTCTTTTCCCTTTAATTTCAATGCGTTGAAAATGCTGACACAGCTTTTTCTCAAGTTCGGACAGTCCCAGAGCAATGTCAGAATGGATCCCAGTCTTACTTCTTAAGGTAAACGCTGTCAGTGGCATCTTTGAAACCTCACCTTTCCTTCTTCGATTGAAAATAATGACCTCACAAAGAGTCAAAACTGCCAGTTTAGACCAATGCTTAGACGTTGGCTCACTTAATAGGGTTTGCACATATTCAGGTCGACATACCTCAATATGTGCATGCATGGCTCTAACGTCCTCAGTCAGAGGGAGCAGGTCCGGAGTGTTCCACTTGGCTTGCCGGAGGGTCTGTAGGGCAGCAGAAGAAACACAGACGTCCCACCTCTTCTCAAAAAGCAGCCGGCTTCGTTGGAGGTTTTTGATAAATAGTTCATCAACACAATGCTCCATTTTTGAGTCACATTCAAGAATATCTGCTTTCTGAGGCTATGGCCGAGTTTGAGGGCCAAGGATGGAGTCTTGTATTGATTTGTTTCCTCATCATATCCAGCCACAGACCTGACTGCATCAATCACATGGTTAAAGTTGGAAGGAATAAAGAAATCCTTAATTATTTTCAGTTTCCCTGCGGTTTTTGCTTCGTTAATTAACCTACCGAATTCTCTCATTTTCTGCCTAATGTAATCATGCTTAGTCTTATCATGCCCGTGTTTTAAGTACAGGTGCTCTCAGAGTCTCAGAATCCCCTTTTCTGCTTTGACAACACCCGTGACCTCATCCTGATGCATTGCCGAAATTAAAGACCACAGCTTTTTGCTGATGCCCTCCGGTACAGGCTGGGCTAGGGAGCAGAGGGACTGGACCCTACTTCTACCTGGTTTAGCCTGGTTTAGCCTGGGCATCTTTTCTGTGAAAGCCGGCACCTGGCCACATGCCTCCACAGCGACTTTCGCTTAAGCAATGCCCCACAGTCTATACAGTGCAAAAACTCACTGGATTTAACTGGGGAATTTGGCTGTTTAGCTGGGACTAAAGTTCCAATGCCGGCCTTTAAAACCTCAAAATTGTGCTCACGGTTTCCACTATTCCTGATCAAATCAAACTGAAGTTTACGTGCTTTAGATTTCACAGGTAGAGCCAATGCTCTGGCTACGTCACTTTCATTTCCATGTTTTCTAGTCAAATGACGGGACATTTTGTGGCAGGACATTGAACAGTAGAGGCAGAAGTGTCTCTTGCTGTAAACTCGCCCCCCATTTTTCTTCTTTTGCAGCTGCATGATAACAATCTTATTTGCCTTTGGTTCGTCACTTTCCGAGTCTTGAAGAAAAGTGTTTTTGATTTTTCTTTTTCCATACTTTTTTACAGGTTTCTTCTTGACAGTTAAATCGTCAGAATCTGAGTCGACTTCATCAATTAGGGACTCTTGACTAAGCTGCACAAACAACAAATAATTTGTAATCATTCTATATAACAATTTGAAGTCATGACTTGTAGTCAGCACTTACCAGTGGTTTGTAAGCGTGCGCTTCAGTGTGCTCCTCCATGATTTCTTGCAGCCTAATGAACCACACACTTGCACCTTTTCTAGCCTGACACCTGATTTCCTCTGTTGTGCTGCTCCATGATTGGCTCCAGCCTGCTGGACTGAAATTGCCCCAGTGTGCCCCTCCTTGATATTCCGCAACCCACCACCAGGGTTCCGACACATAACACACTTTTTTCAGGAAAGTAAACCTCCAGGGGTCCTTTCCATATTTTTACAGAGACTGCATTAAGGACCGTTAGAAAAGCATTACCCATTGATTATTAAGCTTGGACCAGTGGGGTCCGGTGTTCGGGCCCCACCACGTAAAACCAGTCCCCATGACGTGAGTGGAATCTCAGGTTATGGAACCCACCAGGAGTTGAAAACAAGTGCACACACATACACACACACATACCGGTCTGTCGCGCTCCTGTGTCACGGAGCCCAAAGAATTCGCGCAAATACGCGGCTCCATATGGAGCTATTATTGTTTCAATAATATTTGTGTGTGCGTAAAAAGATTTGTGCGTGCGTAACCAGATTTGTGCGTGCGTAACCAGATTTGTGTGTGCGTAACCAGATTTGTGCGTGCGTAACCAGATTTGTGTGTGTGTAAAAGAAATATTTGTGCGTGTGTAAATAGATTTGTATGTACGTAAAAAGATTTGTGTGTGCGTAAAGAAAAAAAAAGTACGTTTTACACACAAGTTTATTTTTTACACACGAATCTTTTGACGCAGTCCTGCCTTCGCAGATTCGCAAGTGTAACTTGGACTGTGTGCGTGCGTAAACAGATTTGTGTGTGTGTAATTTGACATTTGTATCTGTAACAGAACAATCTGTGTGTAAATAACCGCGTTGTACAAAGAGAAGAACGAAAAAAGCCTAAGAGCTACGCACAGGTTCTGTTTTACACACGAATCTCTTTTTGACACACCTCTGCCGCCAAGCGTGTGTCAAAAAGATTTGTAAGTGTAATGTGGTTGTTCTAGCAGTACACCAGCAGATGGTGCTGTTGTAGCTGGTTATTACCTACACGCAAGCAAACCAAAACCTACTGCCTTGACAAGACACACTACCGCAGCTGTTTATGATATTTTTTTCCTATTTTCAAAATCCTGTCATTCACACCACTGTATGATACATGGATCTATTATAATAACTGGATAGGGTGTTACTAGCTTGGAGCTGAAGGATTCTCACGTACTGCAGACTAAATTCACGTTGGCTACACAGAAATTTTCCCCATAGAACTCAAAGTAAACTAAAACAGCTGACAGATAACCTACAGCTTTCATAAAGGTCGGATTTTGTGGGAATTTTAGTGTTCCTTGTCATCCTGAACTTTTCTTCTTCTTAAATCCTTCGGTTTTCTCTATCTACACTTGTTGGTTTGCTTGCGTGTAGGTAATAACCAGCTACAACAGCACCATCTCTTTGTACAACGCTGTTATTTACACACAGATTGTTCTGCTACAGATACAAATGTCAAATTACACACACACAAATCTGTTTACGCACGCACACAGTCGAAGTTACACTTGCGAATCTGCGAAGTCTGTGTAAAAAAAAAAACTTGTGTGTAAAACGTACTTTTTTTTTTCTTTACACACACACAAATCTTTCTACGCACACACAAATCTTTTTACGCACACACAAATCTTTTTACGCACACACAAATCTTGATACGTACATACAAATCTATTTACACACGCACAAATATTTCTTTTACACACACACAAATCTGGTTACGCACGCACAAATCTGGTTACGCACACACAAATCTGGGTACGCACACACAAATCTGGTTACGCACGCACAAATCTTTTTACGCACACACAAATATTATTGAAACAATAATAGCTCCATAGCTCCAGTCAAACCACATGGAACATGTTTGTGTTTATGGTCCTTGGGATCAGCTCCACACACATCACTTGTATTTAAACTTTTGTGAAGACCTGTGAGACGCGGCTCGTCACTCGCTGCTCTGACCATGTGAACGAGCCGTCGTTTGCTGCTAGAAAGTTTTGGTATTAACCCGCAGCACAGCAGAATGGGAAGATTAAAAAAGCAGTTCTCTGTGCGCAAAGGTGCCGGAGCTGTTGCGGGTTTGGGCGCCGCTGTCTCAACTCTGATCCAGTAGAACGCAGAGCTGCACTTATGAAAAGTACGCGGCTCGAAATGGCTGTTATTTCAAAGAACGGGGACTATTTTAAACTACGCGGTTAACCGGTTTCAACCGGTTAATGAGACTCGGTGGTCGGTCATGAAAATTCATAGTTTTTTACATCCCTAGTTGGGGAAGTTACTTTTAAAGAGTAACTTTTCTCATTACTCGTTACTTCTTTTAAAACGTAACCTATTACTTTAGTTAGTTACTCTCTAAAGAAAGTAACTCATTTACTTTACTTCTGCAAAATACTTTTGTCTGACTTTGAGCAGAACTGTTCTTTATTGTGTTCTACTATGAAGACCCCGCTCCCATCTCTGTGTGGAGTGAGAGACAAATGCCCAAAAATAACAGTTGTAAACCGCTTTGTGACTCTGGTCTGTGAAAGGCGGTATATAAATAAAGATTACTTACTTACTTACTTACTTACTACACATTGGGTTCTTCTTGTCATGAACACTGCTTTCACTCCGGGAATCGCTTTCGGAGCCTGATATCCTCGAGTACCTCAGCATCTGCGCTAATGAACGTTGAATATTGTCGATAGTTTACTTTTCCCCAGAATAGCAGTAGTAGTTTTGTGGTAACGTGTGACACACAACACTGCTTGGAAATACGGAGAACAATAGAGGTTATTGTCTAAAAAAATGCCCATGTTATGTTTTCATTATAACATCCTGTAATACATGTTGTATTTTGTTGTTTTTGTGTGTTTACAGATATCAGAAAACTTTTTCTTTGATTTAAACTCCGAGCAAACAAAAGGCATGTTGCGTCCCCACATTCAGACTGCAGCCATCTCAACACTGGCCCGATCTGCTGTGTTTTCAATTACCTACCCATCTCAAGATGTCTTTCTGGTCATAAAGGTAGAACTGGCCTCTCACTGTGTTGATGCCATTCGTTTCTTATCTATATTATTATTTTTTGTGTTGATATTTGTTGTGTGTAAATACAGTTGGAGAAAGTTCTACAACAAGGTGATATTGGAGAGTGCGCTGAACCTTACATGGTGTTTAAAGAGTCAGATGCTGCCAAGGTACACTACTGCACAAGTACTGTACAACTGTTGCAATTTGACTCTTTATTTACCGAAATGTTGTTTATAGAATAAAGAAAAATTGGAGAAGCTTCGAGGCCAATCAGAGCAGTTCTGTCAACGCCTAGGCCGATATCGAATGCCTTTTGCTTGGACTGCAATACATCTGATGAACATTGTCAACAGTGCTGGCAGCTTGGAGAGAGACACGGAGATGGAGATGAGCCTGTCAGGTGTGTTTGCTTTGATTGTGCAAGTATAATAACATTGGGCCTCATTCACGAATAACTTCGTAAGAAACTACTCAACTTTCTTCTCAAGTTGTCCTTAAGTAGATTTCTAAGAAGTCCCCACGTGGGATTCATCAACGCACTCGTAAGGCGCTGAATTGTTCGCAGCTGTTCTCTCAGATTGATGAATCCCATTTCCTCGTAAGTACAGCGCGCGTGCCAGGTGCTTCATTACCATAGGTACTTAGCATAAGTAACCGCCCACTAATGCCCATATAAGGGACTGCAGGGCCGTGTGCAGACGGCAGAGGAAACAGCAACAGGCCTAAAGCAACAGGCCACGGAGCAAAAGAGTCACCCTTTTTTCTTCTTTTACCAGACTGAGAATAAAGTTATAAAATGTTGACTTAAAAGTCGAAATATTATGATAATAAAGTCGAACTAGCAAAATTATGAGATTAATCTAAGAATATGATGAGATTAATCTCAAAATGTTATGAGCTTAATTTAAAAATATATTATGTATTATTTTAAAGATGAATCTCAAAATGTTTTGAGATTAATCTCAAAATATTTTGGACCCTGGGAGGAGATCCAGCGCGGACCAGCGCTGAGACCAATGCAGACCCGAGGAGAGACTGGAGTGACCAGCACATAGAAACCAGCGCGGACCTAGGAGAGACCGCATAGACTGGAGTGACCTGACTGGAGAGACCGATGCGCAGAGACCAGCGCGGACCGAAGATAGACCGCATAGACCAGACTTGAGAGACCAGCGCGGACCCGGAGAGACCAGTGCAGACCCGTATAGATCCATAGGAGAGACCAGTGCAGACCTGTATATGGGAGAGACCAGTGCAGACCAGTATAGATCCATAGAAGAGACCAGTGCAGACCCGTATATGGGAGAGACCAGTGCAGACCCGTATAGATCCATAGGAGAGACCAGCGCAGAGACTCAGCGCGGACCCAGTAACCTCCTGCAGCAGCAGTATATATGCCGTTGTTCTGTGGCCCGTGGATAAAGAAATGCCCCCTATAAATAGGAAGGGGTCACTAATACACGGCAAGATTTCCAATGTATTTGATAAAGCGTTGGCACATTTCATTTCAAAATGAATTAAAAAGTAGGCCAGATCTGCAGTGAAAAAGGCGGTATATAAATAAAGATTACTAATAAAGATTACTACAAATAAATAAATACATACATCGATATGACGGAAATATCACTGGAATGTTGTATTTTTATTCAACTTCACCAAAGAGGACAACCCCGGTGTGTGAACATGTCGGCACTGAATGCGTACGAGTGCTCCTGAGGACTCGTAGGATTTGTACTTGCCCAAGAGAAATTCTGGTTACGAGAAATATTCGTGAATGCCACTTTCTTCGTAAAAACCGCGTAAGTAGGATTTACGTACACATCTGTTCCTAAGAACCGTTCGTGAATGAGGCCCATTGTTCTATTGTCGAATAGTCACGACATCCTGCAGCAGAGATCCATCCTGCAGCAGAGATCCTGTAGTTATGCTGTAGACTGAATAAATCAATGTATCAACTCAAATACTGTCATATTGGTCTTTTAATGTTTTACTTTTACCTAGACAGTACCTCGACTTTGAGCTGTATTTTAGCTTCAGATAAATTATATATATTTTTAACTGCTCATGTTTACATCAAATTATATTATCATGCTCATTTTTATCGTTCATAACTAACATGATTATTCTGGTCTTGACTCGTGAAGGAGTATAAAGCAATTGCATTTATGGAACAATACAGTTTACAATATTTACTACAAATAAGACTACATAATGCTTTCAAAGAAAAACACAGGAACAGTAATATTATAGTAATTATTGTAACATTTTTAACATAACGGCTTTCAATCACAAATTAAGAACCCTTTTTTCTTATCAAGTGTATTTATGGCTCAAACCTTTGCAGCTTGTAAACAACATTTGTGTGTTGACTGGGGTTATGACTGAGTAGAGATTTTTTATCATTTCTTTACAGAGAGAAAAGGCTCATGGTCTGAACGTCGTAACTCAAGCATCATGGGAAGGCGTTCCCTGGAGAGGACCACGAGTGGAGACGAGGCCTGCAGCCTGACAGGATTCAGACCAGCCACCCTCACCATCACCAACTTCTTCAAGCAGGTCTGCAGCTCTACACTGCTGTTCTCTGTTGCCTGAACATCAACATTTTAATACAATATACATTTTTGTGTTTTCACAGTCCCTTTTTGAATTTATGTAAAGCGTTTCCTCCTAACTTGTATATAATAATAATTTAGTGCTTTTTTTGAAAAATCAAAGACATTTAGAACTTTACAAAACATATAAAGTTAACATTGAAGAACAAAATTAAGGAAAGGTAAGGTGAAACAGGTGGGTTTTGAGAAGTGATTGAAAGTTCTATAGTTAGTCTTTCTTATGAAGTTATAAATGCTAGTTCTTGAATAAGTGCAAGCCTTTATGACAAAAAAAGATCACAAATAGATCACACTACAGCCTGCAAAAAGAGTCACGTACTGTATGTCATGAATGTTACGTTGAGATTGGATTTACTGGTCCATGGGAAACCCCCCTAACTCACTTAATGATGAGAAAAATATTGAACACTCTATTGACTTGGTTCTTTCAGTGATGCTTCACCTTTAAGTGTTTGTTTACTGGCTTGTGTTTTTCAGGAAGGGGACAGACTGAGTGATGAGGATTTGTTTAAGTTCCTCGCTGATATGAGGAGGCCTTCTTCAGTATTGCGGAGGCTCCGGCCCATCACAGGTTAATTGTTGTGTTTTGTTTTTTTCCTGACATTTCTTCATGTGATTTCAAATATTCACTGTCTGTTTATTGCCATATTTTCAGCCCAGTTGAAGTTGGACATTTCTCCAGCTCCAGAGAGCCCCCACTACTGCTTGACCCCTGATCTTCTGCAGGTCAAGCCTTATCCCGACAGCAGAGTCCGACCCACACGTGAAATCCTGGAGTTTCCTGCCAGGGATGTTTATGTGCCAAATACCACATACAGGTACAACAAACTGAAACTGCCCTGTAATAGTCTGTACAATCAATTTAAGATTAGTTGTACAAGCATCTCTCTGAAGACTAGGTTGTATTTGAAAAAGTTGTAATGCAAACAATGCTCTCTTGACTGTTGTGCAAAGATGACCTAAATTCAAGGTTTTTAAAAGCACGTTGTGTTATCTCAGATTCCGCCCTTTGATGACCCTGTGGTATGTTAATGATCTCCACGTCTGTTGGTCCGCTGGGTGAAAATTACATCTGACCTATTACTATTTTTGTCATGGTCACTCAGTCATTCTGTCATTGCCAGACATCACTGGTGCTCATACGACCTCATTGGTCTGCAAATAATCGGTGCCTTTTAACTACAGATAAGGTGAGATCGATAGATTACAAAGACCCTCTGCAAAACAGGGTTCTAAAATGTCATTGTAGAAAACAAAGTATTTTGGTAGTAATTTTCAAAAGTTGCTCTATGTATGTTAGCAGGTGGATGCTTGTTTCAATGGAATAAAAAACAGTTTGAATTTAGGTCCTTAGAAACATGTTACAGCCCAGAAAGACAAACCAACTCAAGTTTCAAATGAATGACGCCGTAAAGATGGCGCCGTGGCAAGAGCTCTGGTGTGTGTCGTCTGGTGCACACCGGGGTAGTCTTGCACAGTTTTTCCAATGTGGTTTTACTGCAAATGGCAAATAAATTAATCTGAATCTGAATCTGAATCTGAATCTGAAAGTCAAATATAAAGGTATCTCTACAAACATAGAAACATCGTGCACCTTGACATGAATGAGCCACACAAAGTGTTTTACAAAAGTAGTTACCATCTTTGTTAATATTCATACTTATTTTATTTGGCAACATAAATACATTGTGGTTTAGCCCTGGCTAATGTTAAGTGTTAGTATGACACATTTACAGTACAGTTAATTATGTAAATACTAAAACAAAAGTCAATATGACTCAAAATACAATGTAATGACAGCATTCGAGTAAATGTCTTACACTACTGTAAAAAAAAATCACAAAGGTTTAAATATGCAAATAAGTAACACTCAGTGCGCTGATAAAGGTAGAATGTCAAAACAGTGAAATGGCAGATTCTGAAGAATATGATTACTCATATCACAAACATATTCAAATAATAAAAAAAGAATATACAATTAAGGCATAAGGACTATGTAAGGTTTAAACTGTGGCTCAATACGCCTTTAGCTCTTGATAACATGCAAGTCAATCATGTTATTCACCAATTCACCACGCCCATCACTTAACTCAGCAGGTGTGCCGCTTTGAGGTGGAGTTTGCTGATCACTATTTTATGAGTGCAGACATTGTGTAATGAGAACCTTGCTGTTCCTACTAGATTGATCGCATTAGGCTGTTGACCTGTGGTTACATCATTACCACAGTCTGGCTTTTGATGACATTTTTTGTTGGACCAGCATTATCTCTTTCACCAATAAACCTTTTGCATAACTAATGCTTCTGATTGTAACAATCTTCTATTGTAGCCTTTTCTATAGAACTAGTTCAGCAATAAATTTGACCATTGAACTCTGCGGTTCCTTATCAGTATAGGTTGTCGGAGGCAGAAGGAGCATGGCGTACACTAATCTTTGTTGTTTTTAGTGAAAGTGATGGGCCCGTGCTGGGCCTCCAGTGAATACCTTTCCTTCTCATAGAGCGTCCTTTAGCTCGCAGCCAGATATACCTTCCATTGAGGTTGATTTCTCCACAAGAATCAAACCACCATCCACCTGAGGACAAAGCTCTTACTTTATAACAGTCAGTTTATCATACAGGAAAATAATGTTAGCCATGTTTCTTTGCTTTTCTTTACCTGTGGAATGACGAGGACAGTTTCGGTGCGTGTCAGTGGCTGTGTCTTTAGTTGAAAATTGGACTCCAGTAATGTTGGTCAATGCATCAGCCAGCTCTCCAAAAGAATGGCTAAGATGAATGGTGTATTGCGTGGATGGTCCGTCCAGTGTAAATCGATACTCTGCCCAGTGTTTTACATCCCTCCAATCTTCCAAGTCAACACGAAGGATGTGTGTGCCGCGCTGAGACAGACTGTAGAACTTCTGCAGGCCCAGCCAATAGTCCCCTGTGTAACATACATGAAAGTCAGGTTTTTTACAGGGGTATGCTTCAATAATTAATAATTAAAAATAGCAGATTAAAATATGTAAAACAACGATATTATTTGGGATTTGTGTTAGTTTGTGGTTATATTAGATTGATTCTATGCAATAACTAGGCATATTTACGTACATTTCTGATGGATTGCAATATTATAGTAAAACTTTAGTAATTGGAATAACCCAAATATGCTTAATATATTGCAAGATGAACATAATCTTGTGAGGAGTCACAAATATACATACTTTCAAAATTTCCAAAGCCCTTTTCATATTTTTCCCATGTTTGATCAAAATCCACTGAGCCGTCAATTCGCCGTTGAATGATAGTTGCACCTCCATCTGTTTATGTAGAACAAAAAATACACATCTTCACATGCCGTAACTGTAGTAGTAGTATTTATCAGTGTCATCCTTCACAATTATGTCACAATATTGTTCTTTTTAAGATTTTGAAACTGTAAGCTGGCACGCCTTGCAACATTTCTGTAAAGCCACTCACCCGACGTCATTTCACAGTACACGTTGAATGGTGTGGAGTTGTTTGGATTTATCACATAGACTCCACTGTTGACCTCTCCTTTGTCATAGAGATCACTGCAGTCTGTAGGAAGATCTTGAACAACAACATATACACATTTATTATCATATAAAGTTGACAAATTCTAAACTACCACATTTAAGGAATGAATGCATGCATACCTGTTGAGTTCACAGTGAGATACTCAAACATGTCAGGAGTTGAGGGGTCAGATTCCATAGACTTTTCGATAGTGTCTTGGAAGTTGTCAGTGTTGAGCTGCAATGCATTTTCAAGTTAGCTTCTGTCATATTGCATTATTATGAATATGTTGTAGTATCTACCTTTTCCTCAAGGTTTTTGATCTTAAGCTTTTGGTTGTCGAGTTGATCGTGTTGCTCCTTAACTGCACTGAGTAGACTCATGATAGTTTTCTCTTGGGCTTCAATCACATCCTGCAAATGCCAATGTAAATACACCTATTGATTAGTTACATCCATTTGACTGTAGCTGCCATCACAATAATAGACTTTGTCCAACACCAAAAAAGTGGTGAAAATTACCATTCCGAAAGCCTACCTTGAGTGTGGTTATTTCACTGATTTGCTCCGGGGGGATCATGCTCTTAGACAAGCCCTGAAGTTTCTCCTCCAAGCTGCCCACTTTGTCTTGCAACTGCGTCCTCTCTTGCATGATGTTGTTGATCTTCGTGTTAATTTCCAGCGACAGGTTGCGGATCTCCTCGTTGTTGGCCTTCAGATAGCTCGTAGTCTTTTTAAGCTCCTCCTCTTCCTCTTTGATCTCAGACGTGACCACAGAGAGGTGGGAAAAGGAGTCATCAAAAATGTTCAACTTTTGTAAGATTTCGTTGATCTGTGTTTTGGTTTTGTGCACAAACTCCCGCAGACTCTGGCCCAGCTGCAACAAACCGTTCGCTAGCAGCCGCACGTCGTCCAGCATCGCAAACCTTGACTTTGCTTCCGTGGGGCTCGGGGGTGTGGTGAGGGCCATGTCGGAAGGCATAGTTGGAAAATCTCCACTACCTCCAGAGTAGCTGACAGCGACCAAAGCAGCCATAAGCAGTAGCAGCTTCATCATGCTTTCTTTGCCTGCACAATTGTCCGCTCTGCAGTGATGACAAAATTTTCCAAAAATGTGATGCGCAACAGCCTGCCTTGTGTTATATACCGCCCTCCTGATAGAGGCGGCGGAGGGGGGGATAAGCTGATCATTAAACCCTGTTTTAGCTCTGAACCCAGCCTCCCCCTGCCTCCCTTCTCCTGAACAAACAAATCACAGTAGTGAGCAAATGACATATGTACTCCCCTCCCCTCCACCGTGCCATCTATTTAACCCCAATCCCATCTCACACACCACCACACACCCAGTGCTTCTCCATCTGTGGTTCTGCACTTTAGGCTGATCAGCAGAAAGCCAACAATAGCCATTCCAGTTTTTCCCCTTTTTGATTGATCAGTCTCATAACCAGGAGTCTGCACACTTTAAACTGATTGATATTACAGCTTGTAATGAATGTCTCTAAGCGTTGCACTGATACAGGGCTTGTCACTTGTGCCCCTGCAAGAAATGATGCCTCAGAGTTTAGACAGTGTGTACTCATCATCTTGACTACTATTTTCGGTTGTGTAATATTTTATAAAGTTTGTCACATCTTGCGCAATGTATTTAAATGAAGTTTGACAGGACATTGTTAAATTATGGCGTGACTCATTAGCTTAGGTCACTAAATGAAATGGTAAAACAAAAAGTGCAGACTTTATGAGTCTGTACGTTCCATAGCACAAAGTACAATTCACTGTTGTATTCTGTAATGACAAACAGAATGAAATATCTTATCCCCCTCAGACTTTATTCATTATTTATTGCAGTAAAAAAATTGGTAAATGTGGAACATACCAGCAGTCACAAAGTGCTGTATAGATTGTGCTTACTTGAACAGGCTTTCTATTTGTAGATCTCTCTTGATTGGGAGACAGGAAATCTATATCCATTTTTGTTTTGTTTAGAATAAAATTCTATAGTTTACGTCAACACCTCCTAATGAGGAATAATGAGGAGTTGATGTTTCTATGATAGATCTGTTCTTCGCTGTGAATAAACGTTTTTCTTTGTTATGACTAGAGAGGGGGTTTGTGGTCTTATGAAATAAATGACCACACACTGAGTGAATGTGGGTGGAATTTGCTTGTTCAGCATAGGACTGGCAGTGATATGCAGTAAATGTGAACCCAGTGTGCTAAATTCCTGTATGTACCCCCGACTAAAAAGTTGTTAGTCTGGATTTAAAGTCTTAATTGTGGCATTGTGGCATTGAGTCTAATTTCAATTATTTGTTTAATTTAGCCATACCCCCCCTTGTTCTATTAGTGTAGCCCTATTAGATAATATTAATACCAGACTCATGTCATTTATGGTGGACCACAAATGGCACTTATTTAACTAAGTATATATAGATATTAGATAGATATGTCTTTTAGTTAAGAATATTTTGTGTTTATTTTTTCCAAAATAAAAATTACTAGCAAATACTGGCCCTTCAGACCCAAAAGCCAATGCTCTACCAACTGAGCCACTGTCGCCCCCGAATACGAGTAAATGGTAAAATAAAAATAGAAACAGTTACAGTAAGTCATCCGTGTCATTGTGGATATTCCCACGCTTCCTGGTCACTTGTGGTTCCAGCTGTGTTCCCTGTGGAACTTTGTCTTATTTACTTGTCCATCTCACTGTGATTTTTCCGCTGTTTGTGCATTTCCTATTCCTCCATGCCTCTATGATGTTGTCCTTGAATTAATTCAGCATTTTGAATGGTCTGTGCTAACTAACGAGACCCATTGTTCATTCCTAGAGTTTGTAAAATGCACAGTAATGTATCACTTCTGTGACTCTGATGTAACTGTATAACAGTTCCTCAGTAACTGGGTCAAACACAAAGATGGATAATAAGAGGCCCTGGGTACCTCACATTATGAGTGGGCTCCTATTATCTCAGCAGCTGTTATGCTATGACATAATAGCATGTATTGATTTTTTGTATTGATATTTCTTTGTTAAGCTTATTATATTCAGCAGCCTATTGTAATTGTGTTTTTTCCAGGAATCTGCTGTATGTCAACCCTCAAAGTCTTAACTTTGCCAACCGCCAAGGCTCGGCCCGAAACATCACTGTTAAAGTGCAATTCATGAATGGAGAGGACCCAAATAACGCCATGCCTGTATGCCAACAATCAAATTAATTTCCTTGAAAATGTGCCTTGTTAACATTATTTTCTTTTAATAAGGTCATATTTGGAAAGTCCAGCTGTGCAGATTTCTACAAAGAAGCATATACCTCTGTGGTGTATCACAACCGGTAGGTCTTTCATTTCAGTTACATGGAAAGTCATGTACAACATTACAGTCTTTCCAGGTTCATGAAATTCTTTTATCTGATCTTATGTCCTTGCCACAACTTTAGTTAACCTATAGTGGCTTAAGGGTGTCAAATATTTTATCACCATCATAAATGTTTTACGATATCCTGTGGTTTGTCATCTGTTACTAAGGGTCATTCTTTCAAGGCTAAAATTAATTAACCTGTGAATAATGTATCTCAGAAAGTAGACATGCATTGACTTTTCTCCTCTTATATTTGACATTAGGTTTACTTCCAGACTTAAATTCCTTATTGACACTAATCTGGCTGAGAAATATACAGTAGTTCCAGTTACTGTAGTACAGTACCTATGGCTAACCTTCTAGTTTAATTTTTACAAAATTAGACTGAGCGTGTTGGTTTGTTATCCAATTCTTCTAAGTTGGGATGATTGTGGGTTAAAACCGCTGCTTGTTAATATCTAATGAGTACCAAGGTGAGATCTTTCTGCCAAATAATGCTTACAATATTTTATCAAGCCATTTACATATTTTAGATAACAGATTTATAACTTATAATATTAAATATTTAAACATATTTTCCAGATCCCCAGATTTTTCAGATGAGGTCAAAATCAAGTTGCCTGCATCTTTGTCTGACCACCACCATATCCTCTTCACCTTTTATCATGTGAGCTGCCAACAAAAGCAAAACACACCATTGGAGACACCTGTTGGTTACACTGTAAGGCATTATTATTTCTGCACTCATAATACTATCAATATTCGAAAATTCACATCATAATATTTTTCCTGTTTTCTTATGTCCTCAGTGGATCCCCATGTTACAGAATGGGCGCTTGCGGACAGGACACTTTTGTCTACCTGTGTCTCTCGAAAAACCACCTCAGTCCTACTCTGTGCTCTCCCCAGATGTAAGTCTGACTTTGATCACATTTCTTCAGCAAGAAAAAAATCATGAGATACAATTAAGAGAAACTATGATCCAGTAGATGAATCAGTGATCAGAAAAAGAAATTAAATGAAATAAATGACGAGGTAGGTGTGGTTTTTGCTGCAGAAGAGGAGTTGCGTTTATGATCGCACAACTGAGGCTGAGCCTGAAAATAAACTGTGCTTATAGGACAGACTTGAAAAATGCATTGAGTATGTATGGGCTGTTCTGAAAAAAGAGCAGTGGAGGCTCCATGAGTGCGTTAATGGCGTATACATGAATTCCAGGTTCTTCAACTGAAACGTTGTCTCATGCAGCTGACAATTTTTGAACCACAATTCAATGAGGGCTCTCATTGGAGCTGCCCAGCCAATAGCTACGGTTTCTATAGGGAGGTAGGGGCATCTGTTCCACGCACAGGACGGTGCTGTGTTGTTGATGGACCAACTTATGCAGGTTGGCCGATTCTGGTGCAGCTCATGCCTCACAACCAGAAAGTTGTGTGTTCAATCCCTATGCCAACCCGCTTTCTGCGAGGTGTTTGCATGTTTCTCCCATGTGTCTGTATGGGTTTCCTCCAGGTGCTCTGGTTTCCCCCTCCACCCAAAACATGTACCATTTATAAAATCCTTGAGTGAAGGTCTTGACCTCCCTGGGTGCCGCACTGTTGCGCGGCCGCTATTGAAGGACGTGTCAAAAGGTCAAATACAAAAAAGTGTACCTTAATACCTCACATTTGGTACATATGAGAATGTCTCTTAAAAGGCTTAAATCAACTTTTCAACTTAAATTCAGTCAGATATACAGTAGACACATTACATGCAAAGTGGCAGTTGCCAAGCCACTTATTTTGGATGATTATGACTTACAACCCATTTTCAAAATGTTCTAATGTTTTTATTTGGGAGATTTACAAGCTGTGAGCCAATTATCAACAAGGCTTGATATATTCATTACACTTTGCGTGTAATGAGGCTTCATTTACTTCTGTAAGTTGAGTTACAGAAGTAAATGGACTTTTGAACAATTTTCTAACTTTCTGAGTTTCACTTATCTCCAATTTCTACACATCTCATTTAGTGTATGATTTCTCGGAATATCCAAACATTTGATCAGAATTTTGATTATTTGATTATTGTTTTTCTAAATTGTTTCTGCTTGCTGGGATTTCAAAAGCATTCTTTTCATTCCAGGTCCCCCTTCCAGGAATGAAATGGGTGGATAACCATCGAGGTGTATTTAATGTGGAAGTTACAGCAGTTTCCACCATTCATACACAGGTAATCATACCTAAACTCATTCTTATCACAGCTTATAATAACTGTGGAACATACATGGCTGTTAATTTTGTGCTCACAGTCTAGACAATAAGACCTCTGACCTCTCCATCTCTCTTCTGAGATCTTCTCTATCAGCTACAATGATATTATAGGTGATATTATAATATACCACAATTATACCAGAACAATATTTCAATATATGATATATGATAAAGCCCAGCTCTAGTGTGGCAGTTTTTGTCTCTAATTAACAACATGCAAGTATTGGATGTTTTCTACAAAATAGCAACACCCTCAACCTCAGTTTATATGGTCAAACCCTGGCAGTAATTTACTATGGCCTCTCCATCCCTGAGGCACTTGGTGTTGTGCACTTGGCTGTGTTCTTACGAAACCTTAGAATGTAATGCGTTCATAAATCACATCTCTTGGCTCAGCTTGTGTTATCTGGACGTTGCCGTGCTATTGTAGATCTTTTTGTTTGTAGCTTCCACTTGGTGAGCAAACTTGCCGCTTAAGAGTTATACCCACAGACTGCCAAGGTTACTTTTTTGTGCTTTGCTGAGATAAGATTTCAGTGTTGTAACACTGAAACATGGTACAAGAACAGCAGGAATATGGGCTTTAATATATAAATGAAGATATTCTTTATTCGTTCTTATAGTCTTAATCTCCAATTCCTTAAACAAATTTGGTAGAAAGTGTCCTGGAAAATCTGCTACTTTTATCCCTAAAATGCTATAACATAAACTATAATGTTGCAACATAAAATCTATATTGATTTTTAAGCTTGAAAAACTAGAAAAGCCTAATGTAGAATAGTGTCAGTGTTCAGTGGTCATAGTATTGCACATTCACACTGCAGGTGGACACATCGCTGCTTGTTATAAAATATTTTCCCTCAAATCGCGCTTTTACATCCTCATTCCCCCCGTATATCAGGATCAATACCTGGATAAGTTCTTCGCCTTGGTGCACGCTTTGGACGAGCACATGTTCCCTGTTCGGATCGGAGACATGCGCATCATGGAGAACAGCCTGGAAGCTGAACTCAAGACGAGCATCGCAGCGCTCACCTCCGCCCAGCTGGAGCCCGTGGTGCGATTCCTTCACCTCCTGCTCGATAAACTGGTTTTGCTCGTCGTACGGCCTCCAGTTATCGCAGGACAAATAGGTAACACCAAAATAAACTAATTAAATTTGAGTAAAATTGAACTACGAAGTGTTAAAATGTCTGTCTCATTGCTTTTGATAGTGAATTTGGGACAAGCGTCATTTGAGGTCATGGCGTCTATAGTGAACCGGCTCCATAAATATCTGGACACCAGCCAAGACATGCACGGCCGCAACAGTCTACTGTCCTCCTATATCCACTACGTTTTCCGTCTGCCCAGCACAGACCCCAACTCTCCTTCACCCGGTATCCAACGCAAACATTACACTGTGTTACAACATCACTATATTTTATATCTCCTTGTTTTTTTTTTATTTGTTTACTCTAACCCCAAGCCTTGTGTAAAAGGGAGTTTGCTATGCATGCTGTCATTTTAACCTTATTTTCCCCTCATTTTATGATTTCCTCCATCTGCTCTCCTGCATATTTTCTTCTACCTGCCACACAGACTCCGATTCATCTTCAACAGGTACTAATGCCAAGGTGTAATGCTCCTCATAATGACTGTTTGTAGTAACATTATATAGTCTATGAAAATATTTTCAACTGTTTGCAAGACATAGCATGGTAGTTAGAAGGAAATAGCATGGATGGTGTAGTTAAAATAAGTGGCTGTCTTTGCTCAGACTGCGCCTTCTGCAGTCCGGCCACGGGTAAAACGGAAGCAAATGGGAACAAAACAGAACAGATGTGATTGTGCATCAAAAGTGACTTTTAAGACAACAATATACTTGAAATAAGGCTCAAACTACATACATTATCCAAAGTTACATGTGTGTTACAGCTACCATACAGTTTTCATTTTATTGCTGCTTGATTTTATGAGCACAAAATAATCTAAAGCTGGGGTGCCTGATTTTCAAACCACACAAACACCAACTATGTAATCAAATATAGTACATAATTCTCAAAATGGCTTAATTCTTTAACTAGTGTTCATCTGCATGTTTTAGATCAACTTTTCAGACAAAAAAGAAACGAGAGCGCTCCACCCTCACTCAGCTCTTAGCCCCAAAGTGTCAAAAAGTGACTCAGAAAGCTCTTTCATATGCGCTCACAAAAGAAACCTGTTGGTAATCAGAGTGCTCTGATTTCTTCAAAACATTTTATTGTATAAAAGGTTCTTTCTGTTGGGACAAACAATATATTCATGAATTAAGTTAGGTTAGGTACCCCAGCTTTAACTAATTTCCATCTGCCTTGTTTTATTTCCTCCATTTAAATAAATTTAACTTTTCCTGGGGATTGGCTCTGAACGTCTCAATCAAAAACAAGTGTATGATTGTACCACATGCTACTATGCATTACAGAACAATACATTGACTTCATCCATATTCATATGAAACTCTTTGTGCTTGACTGTGTGGTCTCAGGCCCAGGGGGACTGGGTGGTTCTATGCACTATGCCACCATGGCTCGCTCGGCCGTGCGACCGGCCAGCCTCAACCTGAATCGCTCTCGTAGCCTCAGCAACAGCAACCCCGACATATCTGGCACGCCCACCTCTCCCGACGACGAGGTGCGCTCAATCATTGGCAGCAAGGTAAGACACCGCTTTCATTTTTGTCGCTTTGCTCCTTATAGATATGGTTGAGTTGGCACGTGGGTATCTGTCAAATATTCATCCCACATCTTGTCTGAACCGGTAGCCTTATTGATTAGTGATGTATTTTTAACACCACGTAAAGGTGAATGTACTAGATGTATAGTTTTTAACCTACATTGTGACAGAGGCCCTGCATGTGCTCAGTGACCCCGCGATTTATTTGATCTACATGTAAACTGCAGCGCTCATGTGTAAACAAAGGCCTGGACATCTTATCTGTTTAACCGCTGTTGCAGCCACAAGCCACACACCGGCAATGTGGACAGTAGCTGAAAGGCGTGATTGAATTTACCACTGATGCTGCTTACAAGATAAAACGCGGCATTGTGTAGTAGTCATTCTATTCTGGCCCATCACGGATTGTTAGATTCACCTTTGTTCGAATCTGGTTTGGCTTGGGGATAATTTGTGATTCGCTTAATTCTTTGTCTCTATTTTTACCCTGTTATGTTGAATGCAGCCACTTGTCTGATGAATGTCGCCTTTGCTAATATTTAATCTTTCCCTTTTGTATCCTTGAAAAAAACCATCGAGAAGTAGCTTTATGCACGAACCAATGTTTATTATTTATTTGACTCAATTAAAATTATTTTCATGTGTGGAGCTTGGTGTTTTTCAGTAACCTGTGAATGTTTTTAACCTGTAATTATTGCTTCCCTCCTCCTTCCCCCGTGCTGCTCGCTCATGCCCTTGTTTCCTGCCTGGTCTTTTGTCCTCTGATCGGGGCGTCCATAGGGTTTAGACCGCTCCAACTCGTGGGTTCACTCCATGGGCTGTAACAGTGACCCCTGGGAAACCAGTCCTGGGTCTGCTTCAGAAACCATCCAGGTGGTTGTACCGATGCCCCCTCCTTCACTGGCCCTCAGATAGACTTGCTCACCCCCAGCACGATCAACAGATATTGACACGTGAAGTTTGCATTCCTTTAGACAAAATGTTTCACAAAACCAAACAGAATGAGAGAAACAGGCTGTGTTCATGTTTACTAATTTCCAATGGAACAAAATATTGAAACACATTTATTTATTATTTTATAGGGGTTAGAATCACGCATGTTGCATATCAAGCTGATGGATTAATATGGAACAAAATATGTCTCCGGATTGAAAATTGGTAGCCCTTTCTGAAGCTGCTCTTACAGACAATATATATATATATATATATATATATCATACAAATAACAAACTATTTCAGAAATACATAGTCTTTTATCTATATTTTATTATATTTAGGCTGTCTTACAAAACGATTTTTCCATAACAAACACCTTGAAATGAGATAATAATATGTGCAACTTTTCTTGAAATAAGCCTACTCCAGTTTGTCCCATTTGGAAATCAAGATAAATACTATCTTTTTCATGACCACCTGAGTTCATGACCAATGTTTATATATGCTGACAGCTGAAAGATTGTTAAATAGCTAATAATTCTGACTGCAGATTTTTTTTAGACTGTAGAACACAGCCAAGACGTACATGATTAATGAAAGCACATTCTCCACCGGCCAAAGGAAATTGTCCAAAGCTTGAAGTGTTACAATATTCTGTTGATCACTACCAGTAGATCTATCATTTTAGTACATAGCATTCACAAGATCTAACTTTTTTTCTTTTCTTAAAATTTTAAAAGGCAAGACAATCTGGCATGGTCTGCTGTGGTTAAAAAAGAAAACAAAAAATGTTAGATCTAACCATATATTTTTAGTTTTCTGCTTTCTACAAAGTTTCTTTCTTTGCTCATTTTCCGTAGATGTGCATGACCCTACAGCACTAACCATAGAGATAGCATCCTGGTCCACTGCTGCATGGTGTACCCGCGTATGTGTGAAAGTGCCCTTGTTATTCACCCGTTCTGTCCTGTTCCATTTTATTAATTTATTAATTTATAATTATTATTTGTCTTTGTCATTTTGAGTTGAATTTGTGTTGTGATATTATTTGTGTTTATGGTTTCAAATTAGACTCTATTGCCCTAAACCTCAGTTAGATAGACGTGGATAGAATGTAATTTTAGCCACTCAAATAAATGTTTTCTTTTTTAAATGTTTAGTATACAGTTTTTTGCATTGACTTGTACTTGTGTGTCTATTGAACCATGTCTGTCTTCATAAGTGTGCGAACGTGAGAACATTGTTTTGATTTGACCTGTCACAATAACATTATTGAACCACAATCCTATTTAACCCAGAGACACAATCTTAACAGAAAATTATGTTTTTAAAGGTGTGGAATTTAAGAATAGCAGAATAAACCAATAAGCACGGCTTAAAAATGATCAAAATAAAAAGTTCAATTCCTTTAAAATCAGCTAGAGCTTTTTAAGTAAATAAATTGCAAATCCCTGCCTATATTTTTTATTGTTTTAATCGAAAATTATTATGGTCTTAACATTTTAAAAGTTACGAGTTGGCCTATTTTTTGTCATCCAAAGCTCTGCGGGGTGAAATTAATTAAATTAAATTTCCAATAACCTGCAAAGAAGAGGTCAGAGAATGTATTAAGCTCCATAATGAATCATTCATTGAGTAATACAGACTGTGGATGGAGTGGACTTGCGAAGCGCTGATGTCATGCGTAGTGTTTGCGTTATTTCGAAAGAAGCAGATTAGAGCTGATTCAAACAGGCTCCATAAGAGGGAATCTGAAGCTAATTTGTTGATGGCAACGTCTTAGCAACCAAAGAGCCAACAAGGAGTAGTGCTGATCCATCAGATTTTTAAGGCCAAAATGGGGAGTAAGAGGAGTTGACTTTTCTATGTAAATGAATGGAATCCAAAGCAAGCAAAACTTCCCTATTAAGATGGCAAAACATGTATTGTCTATAGTAGTAAGTCAATAAAGTATTAATTGTGACAGGCCAATTTCTCGTGTGTGTGTGTGCGTGCGTGCATGTGTGCGTGTTAGACTGTGTTCAACACGTTTTCCTGCGGAGGAAAATTGTGCTCCTCCACTAACCTGTTGTCACATTCATTCATCCCACCCGTAGGCCATGGAGCGATGTGGTAATCGCATGTCTTCGCACACTGAGAGCTCCAGTTTCTTGCAAAGTTTAACAGGACGATTGCCCACAAAAAAGGTAGAGCCTCTTGCACTGGGGGAGGAGACAAACCTGCCCAACTCTATTCTCCGCCTCATTTTTTCCGCCCTTTTGTCTTGTGGATGTGTGCATTGGATTGATTGGTGTTGTGTTTGTATACTGAATGCTAAATTGTCCAATGGTCTGCCTTTACCCTAAAATTTGTGAATAAATGGTTGTTGGTATGATTTTGAATGTTTGCTGGGGTCTGGCTAACGCTACTTGAACTGATATCCGCTAAATGTGAGAGGCTTGTATACATACTGTGTATTTGTCTCAGTGCTACACAATAATAAGCATTTCATACATTAAAGGGCACGTAAAATGCATTTACTGTGTTGCAACTTACATTATCATAATAAGAGTCATATTAAGGTTTTTTATTTCCCCTGTTCTGCTAAAAAACATGGCTTTTCAAATTTGCTAGCTCTCTGTTGTTCATGGCAGAGGTGCAAACCTGTTTGAGCTCATTAGTACCATTAGACTTCACATGTCAGCATCTAACGATGCAGTTGTGTTAGCATATGGCACTGTGGAACTAGGTTTTAGTTTTTTCATTTGCCAGAAATAATGTTATTTCTAGTGTGCAATGCCAACAATATGATGTGCAGTTTCAGTGCTGCCGGTGTGTACTGACATACAGTGGCTTGCAAATATTTTTTAAAGACCACAACAAACTGCAAAAGGAATTTATCATGGCTTCCTTTAAACTATGGCTTTCATCTTGCCAGATTAAAGGCAGCTCCTCCAGAGACATCCTGTAGGTTGCATTTCTGATCAGAGCCCTTTTGTTCGGCTTGTTAATATTGGTGGGTGACCATATTTTGGTACATTGTCAGTGTCAGTGGTGCCATTCAGAAATGCTGTATGAATACATGTGCAATATTTTTTATTATTTGTATGACAAAACTGTCAAATTATAAATATATATGTATATATATATCTGTGGTTCTAAACATACACTCAAGCAAGCCGAAAGCCACTCTTTATGCAGCTGCATTAAGTCATCATAACTAGCTCACCTCAACATCAGAATATAAGCACCTAATGTACTTTCCTGTCCAGATTCTCATATCATTTAATAAAATACTTCATGCAACAATAAAACAAATATTGCATTTCAGCTTCTAAACTAACAATTGTGATTTGCATGGCAACTTTTTGAGTGTGGCACATACTCAAAACAGCAACGTCTTTTCTGCTTTTAATAAACCTGTAATTAGTTATTGACACATACCGCCTTATAATATACTACTGCTCTTCTCTAAATGATTACACAGATTACCGTTCTTATTATTATCAATCTTTGGCTCATCACGTATAATGCAGTGTTAAACTCAACGTCTTATTGCTGTTTTTGTTTTGTACAGCTGTTCCACGAGGAGCTGGCTTTACAGTGGGTCGTGAGCAGCGGCAGTGTCCGCGAGGGAGCTCTTCAACAGGCTTGGTTCTTCTTTGAGTTGATGGTAGATTATAGTTGAATACGCACAATTAACTGATGTTGATATTCATAAATGTTAATGAAAATTACTTCTTTGTCATAGGTGAAGAGCATTATCCACCACTTGTACTTCACTGAGCGCTTGGAGTCGCCTCGCAAACACCGCTTCCCTGAGCGGTTCATGGATGACATCACAGCTCTGGTCAGCACCCTGGCTGGGGATGTTGTGTCCCGCTTTCAGAAGGTATGGATTTTACATGTACAGTATTACTTCTAAACTATAGTCTCAAGAACTGTTTTTTTTTTCTACAAAGTGTGTTTCTCCTCTGTGTTTGCCCAGGACTTGGAGCTCGTGGAGAGACTTAACACCAGCCTGGCCTTCTTCATGAATGATCTGCTCTCAGTGATGGACAGGGGATTTGTCTTCAGTTTGATAAGAGCTTATTGGAAGCAGGTACACTCAATACAAAGTTGGAGTGATATTATTTGAATTAACTCCTTGAAGAAAGCAATGTAAATTCTTCTAGGTGTAGGAGCACTAATAACACATAGTGAACCCCTAGTTTTTTAATCATAGGTGTTAAAAATGCCTAAAACCAAGTGATGCCCATGAGGGTTAAACTAGATACAATTTAGCAGATTTACATAATAATGTAAAATACCATAGAGTAGAATGGTAGTAAAGTGGCACTGGTGGAAATGGGGCATGAAAATAAAAAGCTATTTATTTGGTCCTTCTGAATATGATTTTTCTTTCAGTATTGACTCGTGTAAGTATTATTATCTGGGGATAGGTGTCCTACGTTACATGCAAAACAAAACAAATGTAATCGGCTTGCTTGAAGCTCATGTCTTAGTTGTGTCTTTCCTTTTTGCAGGTGTCAACAAAGCTTTATAATCTCCAAAACCCAACACTAGAGTCTCTACGGCTTGATTTCCTGAGGATTGTGTGCAGCCATGAGCATTATGTCACACTTAATCTTCCATGCAGCCTGCTCACACCCCCAGCATCCCCCTCACCCTCGGTGTCTTCAGCCACTTCCCAGGTTCAGAGCACTGTACATGTGATTAAGACACTACAAACTGGCAAACACATTTAAATTGCCTGCTTTTTTCCTCCATAGAGCTCTGGTTTCTCCACTCATGCCCAAGACCAAAAAATTGCCAATATGTTTGAGCTGTCAGTGCCCTTCAGAGAACAACATTTTTTGGCGGGGCTGGTGCTATCTGAGTTGTCTGTTATACTTGAACCAGACAATGAATTGTGAGTAGAGTTTTTGCATTGGAATGAACTCAATCAGGCATAACAATCCAACATGAATGTTTTTGTTTCCAGGATGTTTGGTCTGCATAAGAAAGTGGTCAATGTGGTACATAACCTGCTCTCTAGTCACGACTCTGACCCGCGGTATGCAGACCCGGAGGTTAAAGCCTGCGTTGCCATGCTCTACTTGCCTCTGATCGGCATTGTTATGGAAGCACTCCCTCAACTTCACGACTTCACAGGTGCAATTAGCATATAAGTCATACTCTAATTTTTCACTTAGCTAATTGGGCCACTTCCATTGGTTCATAGTACTTAGTTCCAATAGGTTATCAGATGACGTGAAATACAGAAGGCCTTGAAACAAAGTTTACCAGCTGATGTCGAACACATTTCCAGCCGTATTTAGTCTTTCCTGCCCTTCAACCTTGAGCCCCACATGACCTTTGTGCTTGTGCATAGCATTTGTTATGTAATTGTTCTTCATTTGTTTAAGATTGTAGTTATAGCTGACTTTGAGACCAGCTACCTTACTTTGAAACCACAAAACTATGCAATAGAATCTTTGTCACTAGTTCCAAGCTAATAAACAGTTTGTCTCTAGTTTTCACATGCATGAATTTTTGGCCACTGTCACATTTTTAGTTTCGTTTTTCAGTGAAAAGTAGTGTTCTAGCCTTCTGCAAATCAGCTCTCAGTATGTAATAGATAACTTGTTTTCTAATATGATAAATACAGCATGTTGGGGTCTGATGATGTCACAAATTTCCTGAAATGTGATGTGTCTATTGTGCGTTCAGAGTCCCATAACCAGTGGGGGCGACCTGGAGCTCCACAGGGGGCAGCAGTGAGCAGTGGCGGTGAAGAGGCCGAGAGTGAAGCGAACATAATCAGCCAAACTGTTGCCATGGCAATTGCAGGCACCTCTGCTGCATCACCCATGTCCCGACCGAGCAGCTTCCTGCTTAACTCTCAGGTCTGTTGCTTTACAATGTAGTCTTTAGTTTAGTTTTAAAGGAGATGTGTGTTTTGGTCTTAAGAAGTAGACTTGTTGAAAGGAAATTTGTGATGAAACTTCAGAAATGTCAAATATGTGTGAGTAACAATAATAATATTAGGTCTAAAATAATATAATAATAATATTCAGTGCTTTAACTGTTCAATCGTGGCGTGAACCGTGATTGTTTTTAGTTTTTCAATGAAACAGGTATGCCGTGGCTCAAAAATGTTGAGAAACACTTCTCCTTGTAGCAAATGCACATAGCTACAAGTATGTAAGCATCTTTGCAACAAAACATGATTTTACATGATGTGTTTTGATCCACTGCTCAAAATGTCAAAAGCACAGCCTGGTTCCATTGTTTCTTGGATTAACACTTTTTTCCCTCTTCCCCAGAGCCCTCGTCAGCATGGCAGTTTTTCGGCCGAGTCCAGCCGCAGCCTCCTGATCTGTCTGCTGTGGGTGCTGAAAAATGCAGATGAGCTGGTGCTGCAGAAGTGGTTCACTGACCTCTCTGTGACCCAGCTCAATCGCCTCCTGGACCTGCTCTACCTCTGTGTCTCCTGCTTTGAATATAAGGTAACCTTACACATGCATGCCCTATCTGACAAAACTAATGCTTGTGGTGATGCTTTTGCAAATCTGCAAATCCTGCATATTTCCCGAGTACTTTCAGTTTCATTTTCCTTCCATATAAGACTTTTACAAAAAGGCCAACTAAATTTCATATTTTACATTTAAGTTTTATTTGAACCTAATGCATCTTTCCTGTCTTGTCTCTGACTTGCTTTGCTTGCTGAGTGCTGTGCTGCAAATAACTCCTTGGCTTGTTTTCTTCCGCTCACTCTCTCCCTCCGCACCATGGATACAAGGCCCATGTTGTGTTCACCATGCAGGGGAAAAAGGCCTTTGAGCGAATGAACAGTCTGACGTTTAAGAAATCCAAAGACATGAAGGCCAAGCTGGAGGAAGCTATTCTGGGCAGCATCGGGGCCAGACAGGAGATGGTCCGCCGCAGTCGAGGTCAGCTAGGTGAGCATAGTAGCATCATACCCATTATGACATAGCACTTACTATGTTTACAACAACAAAATATACAACATTTTTGTGTATAAATATTGTTGTGACCAGATAAAACATTAAAACCTATGTAAGATATTGAGTAAGTAAGTAGGTAATCTTTATATAGCGCTTTTCGCAGACCAGAGTCACACAGCGCTTTAGAATTGTTGAGGGCATTCTTCTCTCACTCCAGTTTAAATTCAGTTTATGTTTGTATAGCCTTAAATCTCTGTTTCGGAGGACTTTACAAAGTTGTAAATTTCTCAGATCAGAGAAAGGAGGGACGTTGCCACACATGCCAGACCTATTGTACATGTTTTCAGTGGTAGGGGAAACCGGAGCACCCGGAGGAAACCTACATGAGTACATGCATCTGGATCATGTAAACATAGTGACTGACTCATGCTCTAATGAGGTTGAGTTTGTCCAACAAACAAGCTGGATGCAGTAATCCTGACAAAATCGGTCACGTTTCCTTGTGTACACACGTTTTTGCCTCTGTTTCAAAGTCAATAAGTATTTCTCCACGGTTTAGAGCGGAGTCCTTCTGGCAGCGCTTTTGGCAGTCAGGAAAACCTGCGCTGGAGGAAGGACATGACACACTGGCGGCAGAACAGTGAAAAGTTGGACAAGTATGTTTGTGTATTGTTAATTAAATTGTTTTTTTCTCATTAGAACTGAATGTATATATATTTAACGCTCACATAATGCTGTTACTCATATGCCCCATCCCTCCTTGCACTTGAATAGCTTTTACCCACAAAGCATTTATCAACATTGAATCATTACCTTGTTTTTTTTTTATATAAGAACAGAGTATGTCTTTTTCATCACTGTTCTTAACCTGATTCTCACTTTCTGTTCATTTTCATTTGTTTTCTCATGTTGCTGTGTTTATGTAGGAGTCACAGATCAGTCAGGTATTGTATGGTCATGTGCTGTGTGTTTAGTTTATGTAAGGCAATGCTTTAGTACTCCATCGACTATGTATTCACATGCATGTTGGCCATGTTTCAGTTACAACAGTAGTAACAATCAAGCAGGAAAAGTTTATTGAGTGCAACTAAAATTCCTTTAAGATGTAAAATACACAAACAAAATGGCATGGTTTACTAAGACTTTTAACATTAAAGAATATTGGCTTTTGAGGATCGCATGATCTTTTAAATACTGTATTTGTACAGTATTATTTATGCAAGATACACTTTTAATGCCATATTGTGAAAGATTTTAAGCAAATAAATATAATCATTGACACAAACAAGTGGTTGACTCCTCACCAGAAAAATACATGTGTGTATCTCTAAAACCTAAAGGGGAAAACAATCAAGTAATCCTATAGTCTATTAAAAACATTTTGGCCCATGCATTTGAATAGCCTAACCTCCCTCCAGTCCTGGTTCTGACCCTCTCATCTGCCTCAGTCCCAATAACAGTGTGTCTCAGTCGGTACATGACGTCTGTAGCTGTTGCAGTGGGTCTGCTGTGCTTTAACTCATGTGCTTGTTTTGGGGCTGCAATTCATGTCTTTCCTCTTGGTTGATGCTGTTGGAACAAGCAAAACGAAAACTTAATTTTAATTGATTAACAGATACCTTTGATCAATAAAGTAACTAGTACTTTTGGTGTGGTTAATAATTGTTGGCAAGGGATTGTTGATTTTGTAGTTCTATCCAAAGATGATCAATTGATTGGCTTGATAAATGTTATTAATATCTGATAAATTACACATTACATACACAATTTCTTGTAGAATTAAAGATGTTTTCCCTAGCTACTCTTTGTTTACAATGTCAAAACTGATTTCATGTTTGAGTCATCTTTATTCTACTGCATTCAAAATGCCATTTTTCAGATAGTCCCGCCTTCTGCATCGCTGCAGGTACACGGCCATTGTTATTTACTTAAAGTTTGTTGATTGAAAGAAAACAGAAGATTTTCTAATGTCGTGCTGGCATTCTGGCACAAATGGAAAATGGTGATTATGTTTACATTGACGTATTGTAAAAAAGAACCCATATAAATCAGTACATTTTCAAACTGAAATCGGCATTTTTTGAAAACAAAATTAATCTGTTTTACATCAATATATTTGTAAGTGTATCAATTCATGTTTGTCACATACAGCAGATTTAGGCACAATAGTGACAGAAAAACAAAATAAAATGATTTGAGGTGTGATTCAAGTTTTGGCTTCTCACTTTAGGACCAGAGCAGAGCTGGAACACGAAGCACTTATTGATGGAAACCTTGCCACAGAGGCCAACCTCATTATTTTGGATACGTTGGAAATCGTTGTACAGGTGTGATGGGAACTCAAAGCATGGTGACGATTGCAAATCCGCCTCCTAACACTTTGCTTTCAGACCGTATCCGTGACTGAATCAAAAGAGAGCATCCTGGGAGGGGTGCTGAAGGTGCTGCTACACAGTATGGCCTGTAACCAGAGCGCCCTCTACCTGCAGCACTGTTTTGCTACACAACGCGCGCTCGTGTCAAAGGTTGGTCTCATTCCTTTTCTCTTCTTTTTCTATTTCCTAAATACAGGGAATCCATGGCCTCCTTAGAAGTATTAATAACTGGGGATTGTTATAGCGTTGTCTGAAGATGCACTCACAAAATGTAATGTTATGAGTTATGGGTGACAGAAAATTATAAAAACTACAATAACTACAATTTAATTTAAAAATAGCCTTGAAAACTGCATCTTGCAATTATTAATGAACTTCAATATGAGAGATGCTTTAGTAAAGTTATAATTTGCAGAGGTTTATGTACAGTTAAATTTGCTTATTCAATGCAATTTATCAATCAATAATTGTGACCATAAATATCAGAATCAGAATCATTTGAATTTTCATTGTAAGTAATAGGGCGTCACAAACTAGGAATTTTCTTTGGCCCGTAGTGCAAACAAAGTAAAAATAGATATAAAGGCAAACCAAAAAAAACCTCCTAAAATGTATTTAAAAATAGGTACACACAATAGACTTTTAACAGTGCAGGTTAAAGTGTCTGTACATCATTAAATTTAGTGGAATTTTCTCTGTTAAATGCTATGTTTAGTGTAATTTTGAATGTGACAGGGTTATTACATTATGTTTGAACTGTGAATATATCTTGAAATCACTTATTTGTGTTTGTCCAGTTCCCAGAGCTGCTGTTCGAGGAGGAGACGGAGCAGTGTGCAGACTTGTGTTTGCGATTGCTGAGAAGCTGCAGCAGTAGCATCAGCACAATCAGATCTCACGCCAGCGCCTCTCTCTACCTTCTCATGCGGCAGAACTTTGAGATAGGAAATGTTAGTCCTCCAAAATGTCACAGTAAATATCTCAAACCCCATGGATAATATAGTGTTGTTGGTATTCTTATTTTCTCCTCAGAATTTTGCTCGGGTGAAAATGCAGGTGACAATGTCCCTGTCGTCACTGGTGGGAACTTCTCAAAATTTCAATGAGGAGTTTTTACGTCGCTCCCTGAAAACTATCCTCACGTATGCGGAGGAGGATCTGGAGCTGAGAGAAACTACATTCCCAGATCAGGTACAATAGACCTCCTCAAAAGTGAAAGTGTGATTTGTTAAGACTTAGCAGGAGGTGTTGACTACAGTATAAGCAGCAGGTACTCCTACCTAAAAAAAGAGCTCCAGTGCAGCATGGGGATGAGAACAATTGGCTAAGGCCCTGTTTATACTGAGACGCTGCGCAGACGTTTCCAGGCTATTAACAGAAACGACCTGGCTCCTAATGCAAATTTCTCTGCGTTCACATGAGGTTGAAAAACGATGTAGTTCTAGCGCCCGGCCAGTAGTGGACAGAGAAACTTTACAACACTCACACGACCCCCAGCCCCGTGCCCAGCCCCCCTCTCGGCAGTATACTCACTTCCTGTGCCAGACCCTCAGAACGCACCAACATCTATCTGCATTTTAACAGCAGCTGTGAAAATGGAAACTGAACCTAGAGCTTCGCGTGGTCTCGTTTGGACGAACGAAGGTGTAGAATTATCCTCTGTCCCGCGCTGGAAGCCCACGTAGCTAGTTTGTGTGGGCGGCGCCATTATTGTTTTTGTTTGTTCTCCGCTACTGCGCATGTCCAAATGTACGTGCGGGGAGCAGCGCGGAGGTGGGGGTCAGAGCAGAGGGGGATTTCACACCTTTCCCCTCTCGCGGGTGTGAAAAAGCTCCCTGCTGTGCAGCGTTTCTGAGTTGTCCCACTCTGCAGGCTGGATCTGAACACTTACGTTTTCACCCCCCTGGAACACAGTCTTCGTATGAACGGTTGGTAGGAACCGACATCCAACTATACCGTTTTACTGCCACATTGTCTCCGTGTAAACTCAGCCTAATGGTTAAACTTTACTTACAGGTCTTCCAAAAATACAGAAAGAAGCCTTTGTATTATTATAAAAACTGTCATAGCATCTAATGAGTCTGAAGAAGATGACATGTCTGGGATCGCGTCTTTAATTCAGACAGAAGACATGTTTTATTGTCGATGGTAGAGACAGCACGAACAACAGATACAACAGAATGCAAGTGTATTATACAGAGCGGAGGCATGGAGACCTCCAATCAGCAGCTTCCACGGTGCCATGTAGCTTGGCCTTCAGATAGACAAAACAAGGGAAAAGTACTGGCTTCTGCAGATTGATAGAATGATGAGTTTAACTTTAAGAAAAGTTGCTTAAAAGTGTTATGAAATCTCACATTCCCCCCTCTGGTCACACATTCCCGTGTGACCATCAGGATCGATAAACAGCAACATAACATCATAACTCAATACTTCAAAAACTCATAAACTCGGTACTTCACTCTGTACTTCAAAAAACTCATAACTCGGAATACTTCAAAAACTCATAAAACATGTTCAGATCTTGCATAAAACTTGTCAACAATCTTCAGTAAAATACCAAACTTCATCAGTCGATGGTGGTTCCAGATATTGCTTTGAAAACAGTCTCTCCCACTTCTCCGTGTTGGCTTCTTCAGGCTGCATTTGTTGTGTTGAGCCATGAACTCTTCTGTGACGTGTCTTTCAATCACACGTTTCAACTTTAGTGTCCAGATTCAGCAATTCAATTCAGTCCAAATTATGTCCAACTTCAGATATCCAATTGTTCCAAATCATGTCCAAATTGTTTAATCCAATTGTTCGAAATGATGTCCATGCAAAAGAGGACGATGGTATTGTCCTAGTCTCAGCAGCTCACAGCCTGACTGGAATCAGGGGCTGTGCAGATTGTCCATGTGCTGGTCCAGATGCATTCTCTTGAGGTTTCTCAGTTTTGGCTTGAAAAAAAACACTTTTTGTGTAAAAAAAAAAGTAGTCTTCTGTTCACTAGATGTTACAGACAAGGCCCGCATCCTTCCACCACCTGAAGAGGATGTGCCAAGTCTGGGATTGTGTCATAAATTCCGACAGAAGACATGTTTTATTGTCGATGATAGAGACAGCACGAACAACAGATACAACAGAATGCAAGTGTATTATACAGAGCGGAGGCATGGAGACCTCCAATCAGCAGCTTCCACGGTGCCATGTAGCTTGGCCTTCAGATAGACAAAACAAGGGAAAAGTACTGGCTTCTGCAGATTGATAGAATGATGAGTTTAACTTTAAGAAAAGTTGCTTAAAAGTGTTATGAAATCTCACAAGTCTTTCCTTCTTTGTGCCTCCAGCTAGAGTTAACAAAACTCCAAAAATATGATGGTGTAATGTACATTGTTGTTAATATGTTTTTGTTTTGCTTTCCAGGTTCAGGACCTTGTTTTTAATTTGCACATGATCCTCTCTGACACAGTGAAGATGAAAGAGCATCAGGAAGATCCAGAAATGCTAATTGATCTGATGTACAGGTAAACTGCTCAGCCCTTTATTAGTACAGAAAAATATAAATTGTAAAAATTGTGTGACTTGTGATAACTTCTGCTTAACAGGATTGCTAAAGGTTATCAGACTTCTCCAGATTTGCGGCTCACCTGGCTTCAAAACATGGCTGGGAAACATTCAGAGAGAAACAACCACGCAGAGGCTGCACAGTGTTTGGTGCACAGCGCCGCCCTAGTGGCTGAATACCTGAGCATGTTGGAGGATCGGAAATATCTCCCTGTGGGATGTGTCACTTTCCAGGTAAATCTTCAAATCACAAATTGGCTGTGATGAGTATTATAAATTTGTTTCTTTGTGCTTCAGAATATCTCTTCAAATGTGCTGGAGGAGTCTGCGGTATCTGATGATGTGGTGTCTCCAGATGAAGAGGGAATTTGTTCAGGAAAGTACTTTACAGAAATAGGTTTAGTCGGACTCCTGGAGCAGGCAGCTGCCTCTTTTTCTATGGTAAGAGACATTATCATAACTGCTAATCACATTTTATGGACCCTATTGTAATTGGCTTTCTATTGTAGGCGGGCATGTACGAAGCAGTAAATGAAGTTTATAAGGTACTCATCCCAATCCATGAAGCAAATCGGGATGCAAAGAAACTTGCCACGATTCATGGTAAACTGCAAGATGCCTTTGGGAAAATTGTTCATCAGGTAAAGACTCATCTGCAAGTTCAGCGTTGTTTGAAGAAAAGTTATTACTTATCACACACGCACACATGCGTCGGCACACATACGCGCACATAAATGTAAAATTCATATAAAAACATATGTATAAAGTTTGTATTATGAGGCACGTTAACGCATATATACCCCCGTGCTGCTTTGAAAGACACAGCTTTGTGCAGTTCTATTTCATCCCTTCAGACCGCCAGAGGGCGGTGCATAGCACTGAATGTTCCCTTCGCGCATGCGCAGTTCGAGTAATAATACCAAATGAGTCACACCTGTGACCCCCTGGGTGACACACCGGAGGTAATAAAGTCCAGCGTCATCCAGCACTCTGACCCTTTTTTCTTCTCGCGTGCGGTTCGAATCGTTGTTGCTTGAACTTCGTCAACGTCTGTCGCTGAAAGCCCTCTTCATCGGAGCTGCGGTTCGCCCTCCGTGGGGCGCGACGGTGACGTTGTCCTTCGGGTATTTATTGGTGTTTTCTGTCTTATACGTGTGTATTGGTTGGTGTGAAGGCTGCTGTGGCGCCCGCTCCTCCGTCAGTACTTTCTTTTGGTACATGCATTTCGTGGTGTGAAGGCTGCGGTTCGTTGGCCTGCTCCTCCGCCTGTGCATGTTTGAGTTAGCTTAGCTAACTGTGTATTGAGTGGTGTGAGGCTGCGGTTCGTTAGCCCGCTCCTCCATCGGTTCTTATTTGGGTTAGCATTTTGCTACCTGTGTATTGTGTGGTGTGAGGCTGCGGTTCCGCTCCTCCATCAGTTCTTAGTTGGGTTAGTTTTTTGCTACCCGTGTCCTCTGTGGTGTGAGGCTGCGGTTCCGCTCCTCCATCCGTTCTTAGTTGGGTTAGTTTTTGCTACCCGTGTCCTCTGTGGTGTGAAGGCTGCTGTTCGCGCGCCCGCTCCTCCATCAGTTCTTCTTTGGGTTAGTTTTTGTTACCGGTGTCCTCTGTGGTGTGAAGGCTGCGGTTCGTTGTCCCGCTCCTCCATCAGTTCTTGTTTGGGTTAGCATTTGCTGCCTGTGTTTAGTCTGTGGCCGGTGTATTGTGTGGTGTGAAGGCTGCTGTTAGCGCGCCCTCTCCTCCATCACTACTTTATTTTTGAGTTGGCGTTTTACTGCCGGTGTATTGTGTGGTGTGAAGGCTGCTGTTCGCGCGCCCCGCTCCTCCATCAGTTCTTCTTTGGGTTAGTTTTTGTTACCGGTGTCCTCTGTGGTGTGAAGGCTGCGGTTCGTTGTCCCGCTCCTCCATCAGTTCTTGTTTGAGTTAGCATTTGCTGCCTGTGTTTATTCTGTGGCCGGTGTATTGTGTGGTGTGACGGCTGCTGTTCGCGCGCCCTCTCCTCCATCACTACTTTATTCGAGTGGCATTTTGCTGCGGGTGCATTGTGTGGTGTGAAGGCTGCTGTTCGCGCGTCCGCTCCTCCACCGTGCTATATTTGGCTTTTCTGTTGTGAAACTGCAGTACGCTGATTCAGTTCTGCAGTTTGTATACCGGTTGGGATTAATTCCATATTGAATTAACGACACAGACAGACGAAACAAGAATAATAATTTAATTTAAAAAGAAAAAAAAAAAAAAAAAAAAACAATCTTGTTATGGACGGGTCACATGCGTGTGTGGGCTGCGGGTCAGCACTCGATGTTGATGACGGCCATGACCTGTGTCCGGCGTGCCTCGGCCCCACTCACTTGAGGGAGGCAGTGTCCGATAACCCGTGCATGAACTGCAGCTGCTTGCCCTGGGCTGTTAGGGTGGCGAGGCTGGTTCAGCTGCCTTCGTCTGGCGACGGTGGTAGTTTGCCAGTGGGACCTGCTGTGGCTCCGCCCCCTCGGCGTTCTAAGCGCCGTGCTGAGGCCTGTGCTTCGGGGGAGCGGTCTGATGGCCATGGTCCTTCCAAGCAGGCCAAGCCGGATACTGTCCTGGTGTCGAGGGTGGAGCAGTTATCTGCAGAGTTGGAGGCGATGAAATCTGCATTCCAGGCACGTTGTGCTGCTGATGCCGTCTCTGGGGCTGGTTCTTGCTCCATGCCATCCCTCCATCCGGAAGAGGATGTGCTTTCTCTGGCGGCATCTGCTTCGTGCTTCCGGGACGAGGATGACGCGCGGTCCCTTTCGGGGGACGATGCTTATTCTTCCGCACATAGTGTGTCCAGCCGGTCTGGTGACGGCTCAATGCAGGAGGTTCTTCGCAGGGCCTTATCCCGTCTGCAGGTGGAACTTCCCCAGTCGGGACAGGCTGACCCTGGCAGTGCTTTTTTCAGGCGTGGTGGTTCGTCTCCTGCTTTTGTTGTGCCCCCGTCCGCGGAGTATCTGAAGGAGCTACACGCGTGCTGGAGGGACCCCAGCCGTCTCTCTAAGCTGTCGGCTGAGGGTCGGGCTTTGGCCGCGATGCACGATGCCTCTTCGGCTGGTCTGGATTGCATGCCGGCTGTTGAGCCGGCGGTTGCCTCCCTCATTGTTTCTCCAGAGGAGTCCTTGCGGGAGAATGTGAGGTGCCCTCGGAGCCAGTGTCGTGCGACGGATCACTTGCTAACAAAGGCCTACAATTCTGGTGCTCGAGCTGGCCGTATTGGTAACTCCTTAGCGCATCTGCTGCTTGCCCTGTCTGCCTCCCTCCAAGAGGGTAGTGCTGTGGGCACTGATGTTACTGCGTTTAGCGACGCAGCTCTGCATGCTTTTGCCTTGATGACCAGGGAACTCGGACGGGTCATGTCGGTCCTTGTACAGGCTCGTCGGCAGGTATGGCTGGCTCAGTCTCCCCTGACTGAGGCCTGTCGTAGGACCCTCCGTGACGTGCCTGTCGAGCCGGGTCAGTTGTTTGGGACGGCGGCCCAGGAAGCATTGGACCGGACTGTCCATGCTGGTCAGACTAGACAGCAACTTTCTAGCCTTAGCAGGGTGGTGCGCCCTCCCCGGCAGTTTTTGCGCCCGATGGTGGCCCCCGGTGTTCGGCAGCCTCCTCGGGATTGGTCTGGTGCTCAGCGTTTTCCCCAGGTCAGGCCTGCCGGGAATTTTCGTGCCCCACCCGTACATAGGCGCCCGACCCGCCAGCCAAGTGGCGCCGCGGCTGGTCCTGGGCGGGGTCCCCCCAGAGCCCCTAGGGGGCGGGGGGCACGGAATTGACGCCTCAGGGCCGAGCATCGGACATTTTTCCCATCAGCAGCTCGAGTGTTGGGCTGCTCGAGCTCGGGATCCGTGGGTGGTTGCCACATTGACCCACGGATACCGTCTGCAATTCCGACGCCGGCCGCACTTGTCGGGCCCTGTCAAGGTTACTTTGTTCTCGGACCCGGCAAAAGCCTTTATCTTGGATCAGGAGCTCTCCGCCCTCCTGACCAAGGGTGCCATCGAGGCGGTAGATCCGCTGCTGCAACCCAGGGGTTATTACTCCCGTTATTTTCTCGTGCCCAAGAAGACGGGGGGTTTTCGACCAATTCTGGATCTGAGGGGCTTGAATCATTTCCTGAAGGTCATTCCATTTCGCATGCTGACGACTGCGGAAGTCCTTCAGACTGTTGGGGCCGGGGAATGGTTCACGTCCGTAGATTTGAGGGACGCGTATTTTCACGTGCCCATTGCGCAGCCCCACCGGCGGTTCCTCCGGTTCGCCTATCGGGGCGTTCACTGGCAGTTCAGGGTTCTTCCCTTTGGCCTCTCTCTCTCTCCGAGGGTTTTCACCCGATGCGTGAAGGCGGCTCTTGCTCCGCTGCAGGCCAGTGGCATGAAGGTGTTGCCTTATCTGGACGATTGGTTGATCTGCGCCCCGTCCAGGGCACGGTCCTTGGAAGATACGGAGCGCCTTCTGACTCATGTCGCCCGCTTGGGGTTCAGGGTCAATTTCGAAAAGAGCAGCCTGGTACCTTCGCAGGCCGCTGTTTTTCTTGGCCTGAGTCTGAACACGGTGACTATGACGGCGCGTCCGTCGGTGCGCCGCCTGGTCGACATCCACGGTGTGGTGTCCCGTTTCGGTCTTGGCACCCTGCACAGTTACGTCAGCTTTCTACAGCTGGTGGGGAAGCTGGCCTCGATCTCTCGTGTGGTTCCACTCGGGCTGCTTTCGCTTCGCCCGTTGCAGAGGTGGCTGAACGGGTTTCGTTTGGATGCCGTTCGTCACCGCCACAGACGGTTACAGGTGACGTGGGCATGTTTTCGTGCTTTGGCTCCATGGAGGGACCGCGGTCTCCTGTCACGTGGGGTCCCCTTGGGGGTGGTAGTGTGCCGCAGGGAAGTGGTCACCACCGACGCCAGCCGTACGGGATGGGGTGCTGTGTGGCAGCGCAGGTTGGCCCGAGGGGTTTGGTCTCGGGCGGAGCGCTCAGACCACATAAATGTACTGGAGCTTCGGGCCGTCCACCTTGCTCTCCAGGAGTTTTTGCCTCACCTGCTGGGGAAACGTGTCCTCATTCGTTCGGACAACACCTCGGTCGTGTATCACATCAACCATCAAGGGGGTGTCCGATCGGCTCGGCTCCTCGAGGTGTCTCAGGCTCTGCTGGTTTGGGCTGCGCCTCGCCTGGCTACACTGCGTGCAGCGTATCTGCCAGGGGACTGCAATCGCGTGGCGGACTCCCTGTCTCGCGGGAGGCCTGCCCCGGGGGAATGGTGTCTCCACCCCGGTGTGGTCCAGAGGGTGTGGGGCCTCTTTGGTCGGGCACAGGTGGACCTGTTCGCTTCGGTGGCCTCCACTCATTGCCCTCAGTTTTTTTCCCTGGACGGGGTTCCGGGCTCTCTCGGCCAGGATGCCCTGGCGCACAGTTGGCCTCAGGCCCTCCTGTACGCCTTCCCCCCTTTTCCTCTGATCTGGCCAACCCTCCAGAGGGTCCTTCGGGCGGGGCACAGTTTATTACTGGTGGCTCCGTTTTGGCCTGCACGGCCCTGGTTTCCACTGCTACTCAGACTTTGTTGGGCTCCCCCCTGGCCTCTCCCTCCCAGGCGGGATCTGCTCTCACAGCTGGACGGTCAGGTGTGGCATCCCTGTCCTCACCGCCTCAAGTTATGGGTATGGCCGTTGGCTGGCCCGAGCTGCGGGCACTCGATGTCACTGGCCCTGTCAGGCGTACACTCCTGAACGCCAGGGCGGCCTCTACTCGGCGGCTGTATGAGAACAGGTGGAAGTTGTTCTCCCGCTGGTGTTCTCCCCGCGGTCGGGATCCCGTGTCGTGCCCGGTGGCGGTTGTCCTGGAATTCCTTCAGTCTCTCCTGGATGAAGGTCGGGCCCCATCTACTCTGAAGGTATATGTTGCTGCTATTTCATGTTATCATGGCCTGGTTGATAACTGTACTGTGGGGGGCCATAACCTGGTGTCTCTCTTTTTACGCGGAGCTCGTAGGCTGCACCCTCGCGTGCCCGCGCGGTCTCCGGTTTGGGACCTGGCCTTGGTGTTGGAGTCTCTCTGCCGCCCTCCGTATGAGCCATTGGCCCGAACGGACCTCAAGTGGCTCTCCTATAAGACTGCTTTCCTGTTGGCTGTGGTCTCTGCAAAAAGGGTCGGTGAGTTACATGCACTTTGTCAGTCCCTCATGCCTACACTGGGATCCTGAGAGGGCTGGCGTGGTCTTGTGGCCTAATCCCACTTTCCTCCCTAAGGTGCTTTCCCGTGACTATTGTAACCGGCCTTTGAGGTTGGCGCGGTTTGTGTCCCCCCTGGATGGGGGTGAGGACAGACTGCACCTGCTGTGTCCTGTGAGGGCATTGGAGGCCTACGTTGCTGCGACGGCAGGTGTGAGGCGCTCAGACCAGCTCTTTGTTGCTTATGGTGGTGCTAGACTGGGGAGTCCGCTTTCGAAGCAACGCCTTTCCCACTGGGTGGTTGACGTTATCAGTCAGGCGTATATTTCGGCCGGCCGCGACCCGCCAGCCACGGTGAGGGCCCATTCTACCAGGGGTGTCTCTACCTCCTGGGCCGCTATGCGCGGGGTGCCGTTGGGAACTATTTGTGCTGCTGCGTCTTGGGCTACACCGAGCACGTTCACCAGATTCTATAACATCAATGTGGCCACTCCGGCTCCTCTTGGCGTGGTCCTTCAGGAATCCTCTGGCTCTCCTCCGTGAGGTGTGTGGTCAAGTTCCTTCGTGACATAGCTGGTATAAGGTCATTCAGTGCTATGCACCGCCCTCTGGCGGTCTGAAGGGATGAAATAGAACGAGGGTTACGTATGTAACCACGGTTCTATGAATCCCGGATGACCGCCAGAGGCGCTCTGTCACTCAGGGTCCTTGCATCCGCGAGAAGATTCTGCAGGAACAGAGTGCTGGATGACGCTGGACTTTATTACCTCCGGTGTGTCACCCAGGGGGTCACAGGTGTGACTCATTTGGTATTATTACTCGAACTGCGCATGCGCGAAGGGAACATTCAGTGCTATGCACCGCCCTCTGGCGGTCATCCGGGATTCATAGAACCGTGGTTACATACGTAACCCTCGTTTTTGAGTTGTCTATTTTGCATATGTTTTTTGTGTTTCCCTGATTATTGTAAACCTGGCATGCTTTATTTACAACAGTAAAGTGAAACATCGGAAGCATGATAAAAATTTTAGTCTAGACTTTGTCCCTGATGGCCTGAGGTGTGACTTCAGTCAGTGTTAGGGGAGCCCCAGCTGACTGCTACAGAAGGGCCCATGCTAAAGCCACACTGTACATTAGCAGTAATGGTATTTCTCCTGTGGCTTTACTGGGGCTGGTTCTTCTGTTGAAACACTTGTGGGTGCTATCTGTGGGTGAGTGTGTCATGTTCACGTGTCCTGTATTCTCTTTGTCACACAGAGTACTGGCTGGGAGGTAGGTGGCTAACTGGTTTCTGCTTGGCCCTGCTCATGTTGTTTTATGTTTACGTTTTTGTCTTTGATTTTGTTCATCTTGTTTGCTAGCTTCGGCCATTCTTTTGCTTTATATGCTTTGTTCCACACGTCAACTCCATTAACATTTGCCGACATGTGCACTGTCTGCCCCCTGCTGGGGACTCTGTCTCTGCGCTACTGCTCAGACTGCTGTGAGGAGAGGTTTAACAGTGGAGGCTGTGCATGGCAGCCTCAGTGTGTGTCTCAAATGACCGAAGTGTCAGTGAATGCATCACCTGCACACCCTGCTCTGTCTGCTGTGTCATCGACTGTCTCATATCACATCACACCCAGGGATCGATTTCAAACTTTCAAAGCTTCCCAGCTCTATACTAAAAGTTCTAATGACATTACTGTAATTAGGTTTTTAGGTTTAGGTACATTTCTTGGGTTCTTTTTAACTTGTTTATTCTGTCTTTAGAGCTGCAATAATTTGACCCCTGTCTTTAAATATAATAATAATATTTCGACCCCTGATCCCCCATACATTTTTCTCTAATAGTTTGAGCATTTCTTTTTTTTTGCATGGACTGGTTGGTTTACCTCTTACTGCACTGTGGGTGCATGGTGTCTTAAGGAACTTATTTGAACTCTTTACTCCTTACTATCTTTGCATGGCCTGGATTCAGTTTATTTTTCAAAACGGTGAAGGTTTTTTGTTGTCAGTATCATTTTATGTTGTTTTACTTTATAAATTATTTGCTGCCGCCAAACCCTGATTAAATTTGTTCTGTTTTCTCCTTTTTGATTATCCTGGTTGCTGAAACTTCCTTCCCACTTTACTTAATTGTGTCTTTTGGTAAGTTTGAAGGGGCTTTTCAAATGATCAATTCACAGCTCATGACGGATTTCACAGTTTACAATCAAATACACCTTTTTTGTTTCAAATCATCTGTGGGGTCTAAACAATTTTCCTAAAAGTCTTATTTTCGGTCTTTCATTCCGAATTTCTATACTTAAGATTTAACAAGATGGATTGTATCAGTAGAATTTCACCTTTTGAAATTTGAAATGTGGTGGCTATGTTAAGCGAAAGGAACATATCTATGTTTATGACACATGACTTAATACAGTTCCTGGTTGTCAAAATATGAATACCTTCTTAAGAATATGAAAAACCTTTGCACTAACAAAACCACTTCTCCAATTCCTTAGTAACATACATTGTATTTCTTGCGTTTTGATTTTTCCTGCAGAATGGAAAGCGGATGTTTGGTACTTACTTCAGAGTTGGATTTTATGGCTCAAAATTCGGCGACCTTGATGAGCAGGAATTTGTTTACAAAGAGCCAGCCATCACAAAACTAGCAGAAATCTCACACAGGCTTGAGGTAATAAAAAGAATTTTAAACTGGTAAATTATTTGTCTGTGAGTCGTCAATGCAATGTCTTGTTTTTTAGGGTTTCTATGGAGAGAGATTTGGAGAAGAGCAGGTAGAAGTAATAAAGGACTCCAACCCAGTTGACAAATGTAAATTGGACCCAAATAAGGTTTGTAGAACATAATTAGACACATTTGAATAATTTTTCTGCTAAAATATAAACCAGATATGTTTACCAAATAAATAAATGCACTGTTGAAGAAGGATTTTGCTGATAAACTGACCTCAATTTCACAACAGAAATGAAAAGCCTTTCCCTCTATTCCACCATATCATAATATTGAGCTAAAATAGTTGCTCATAGTAATATACAGGATATCACTCACATCTTTGACTTTAATAGAAGCAAATAATGGGGGGTAGATTTGACATTTTATCTGCTCTGAAGGTCGATACAATTACTCAAACATTCAAGAATATATCCTGAAAAATCGTTTGCCAAATAAATCATTTATTATAATATTAAAACTTCATTACAGTAAAAAGGTCCCCTGTAAACAAGCATAATCATATTTACACCAGCGACATTATTTGTCTGTAGGCCTTCATCCAGATCACGTACGTGGAGCCGTACTTTGACACGTATGAAATGAAGGATCGGATCACATACTTCGACAAGAACTACAACCTGCGGCGCTTCGTGTACTGCACCCCCTTCACGCTGGACGGACGGGCGCACGGAGATCTGCACGAGCAATACAAACGCAAGACCATCCTGACCACGTCCCACGCCTTCCCCTACATCAAGACACGCATCAACATCATCCACAAAGAGGAGGTGACCCACACACGCACAAGTGTCAAATGTGGTTGAATTAGTGCAATAGGCAAATTTTATCTTTAGTGGGGAGTCCGGTCTCGATACCAGATAGGAACTAGCGCCAGTGAAGGGACTGAACATAGCATTCCTAAACTCAAATCACAGTTAGCTGATCTGATCATGTGTTTAACTGTGGAATATCTGCCCATAGAAAGTCTTATTAAACTATAATGCATGGAGTTAAGTTGTGACTAGTTTTTATTTGACGGGACAATACATTAGGCTCAAAGAAAGCCTTGCTGCACCATTGAGAGTTTACTTGTTGGTTTGGAAACATCACAGATAAAGAAAAGAGATCTTTAAACAAGGTGCTCCGCTCTGCAAAGAGGACCGTGGGCTGTGAGCTTGCTGTTCTGGAGGTCCAGACTTTTAAACAAAGCCCTTAGGATTGTTAATGACTCTTCTGGCCACCCTGGGAAAGCCATGTTCCAGCTTCTTCCCTCTGGCAAAAGATATCGCTCTCTGAGATGCAGGACATCTCGTTACGCTAACAGTTTTTATCCACAAGCTGTTATCAGTGTGAACAGTGCACTTGTTTTTAAACTGTTTTAGTCGATCGATTTCACAGTGACATTTGTTTACTGTTTTATTTGTTTTATTTTTGTCTTTTAATGTTGTTTTATGTCTCTATTTGTCTGTGCACACTGGAGACTTTTGCTAATGTATTCCTATGTGGTGATTTTACTGCAAATGGCAAATAAACTGAATCTGAAAGATGACTCTGGAGATCCCCCTATAGGAATGCATACTAAAAGCAGCTTAAGCACTAACTGGGTAAAATCAAAGAAAAGACCCAAACAGGATACCGGCTTAAACTAAATCAACTGATACAAGATCCAATACGTTTTCCTGGATTGGCACTTATTATCAAATCCAGTATGGGCATCATTGTACCCCTAGTGTATTGAGGCTATTTACTATTGATGTGATATTCAAATGGAGCAGTGTTAACATTTTTAAGGAAGTGTTAAGCAACTGCTGTGTTTCCAAATGTATGTATTGCCACTTTAAAACATATATGATTCACTACTGCACATAGACCGCATAGAGTATGTTAATGTTATGTGTCTGACTTTTGTTCCAGATCATCTCCACTCCCATTGAGGTGGCCATTGAGGACATGCAGAAGAAGACGCAGGAGTTGGCCTTTGCCACACACCAGGATCCAGCTGACGCAAAGATGCTTCAAATGGTCCTGCAGGGGTCTGTGGGCACAACAGTCAACCAGGTGAGCATGGGGCTTTTCAACAGCTGGATCACATCAAGGCACCAAATGTTCACGATAACATCCTTTAAAAATATACTGTAATACATATTAAAGTGATAGTCTGTAACTCTAAATGAATTACACATTTTAAGAATTGTAGTAAATTGACCTCCTGGCCTTAAATGTTGATATAAAATAATAAGTAATTTTATAGTATATTAATTCTATTATTACAGGTAAGTCCCGCCTTCCCTTCTCTTAGCTATAGCTCAGAATCCACAGTGCCATCCACGTAAACCAATCAAGTGATGCTAAGGGCTGTCAATCATCGCGCTGATGCTCGCAGCTGCACGCATGCTCAGTTGTTTGTTTTACGGAGCCTCCGAATCAAGCCTTTATAGGCTCTGGAACTATATGAAAACCAAACAAAGAATTCTGAACATCCGCGCTGAGTTACCTATGTATATACTGAACCTATATCCATAATCAGATCCTCTGCAGATGTGTCCTATAATATGCAATTAATGAAAATAGCTACTTCCATCGTTTTTTGTGTGCATTAAAACATTATTTTTTTCATGAAAACGTTAACAAATAATTCTGAAAACCTCCGTGCATGTGTATTAATAATGTATAAGTATAATGTGTTTTCCGGAAACGTAGGTGTAGACCAATCAGAGAGGAAGGGGGAGGGAGCTCTCTTTCTGACAAACTGCAGACAATCACTTTAAACACATTCAAGTTTCTAGTTATTTCAACTTTAAACCAGTACAACACACTAGAACTAGAATAATGTACTTGTTATAAAACATGAATTCTGTCTCAAATTAATAATAAATATTTGTTGATCTTTTGTCAGGGACCTTTGGAAGTCGCTCAAGTTTTCCTATCAGAGATTCCGAGTGACCCTAAACTGTACAGACACCATAACAAGCTTCGTCTCTGCTTCAAAGACTTCACTAAGAGGTATGTGGACCACGAGAATACTTCCCAGAATACATCATGATGATAATGACAACGTGCCATGTGTTTGTGCAGGTGTGAGGATGCCCTGCGTAAGAACAAGAGCCTGATCGGGCCAGACCAGAAAGAATACCAGAGGGAGCTGGAGAGGAACTACCACAGACTGAAGGAGGCGCTGCAGCCGCTGATCAACAGGAAGATCCCACAGCTCTACAAACCTGTGCTGCAGGTCAACGCGCACAGGTGAGAGGCCAACGCTCGCACATATTCAGCCTATACCTCTGTATACTTTGAGGTTTACTAAGTAGTTACAGAGTCGTGGCCTTGTGCTGTGTGCTCCTCATTCCTGCTGTACTGTAATAAGATAAGATTGTCCTTTATTTGTGCCACAGTGGGGAAATTTCAATGTCATAGGGCACTGTCCGGTTTCCGAAATGTGCTAAAAATAGCTCAGATGACTGCGCATGCGCGCATGTTTCGGACAAACATTGTGTACGACGCGTTGAGTACTGTGTTCTCCACATACGCGTGTGTATTTACTTGGGCTAAATCATTAAATCATGGTGACAACAAAACACTGCAGTTATGGTGCTTGTGGGAGCGATTTCAGATATTCTGAAAAGGACTATCAAAGTAACATTCAACCCGTTCGTTAAACCACAACATCGGACCAGATCAGGACCAGATCAGACCAGGACAAGTGCAAGAGGTGGGTGCTTGTGGTCGGCAGAATTTCTCTCATGAAAAGGTTAAAAAGGACACATGTTTTTTCAAAACACTTCGCTGGACCAACTGTGGAGTATCCAGATCCAGTCCTAGCTACGTTTAGCTGGGACTGGATCTGGACCGCTGTATCTGGTCCGTCTGAGCTCTTCTGAATGTAGTTAGCACAAACTTTCTCTTTACACCATTTACCCCCATCAATCCATATTAGTATTGTTTGTCCTAATCCAGAAAGTATACAATTCTCACACCTGAAGAAAGATGAGAGGGATTTTTTTCAACTTTGTGACTATCTGAAAATAAGTTCAGACGAAGCGCGTCGGGGTCCGCTTATGATACGGCTTTGTACCAACTCAACACGCAAAATAAACGTCATTCACTATTAATGCCGAAAGGTTTATTTAATGAGTGCAAAGAAAATAGTTCCCAAAGGTTTTCCCGTGGCAGGCGAGTAACAGTGAGGATAGTTAACCTTTTTTAAAAAAGCGATCGCTTTAGTTGCATTAAAAAAGTATTTTTGTCATGAAAACCTGAACAGATAATTCTGAAAACCTCCGTGCACTTGTGTTATGAATGTATGTATAATGTATTCTCCCATTAACATTTAAATGTGTCGATTGATTGTCATTTGTGTTTACTGAGTGTGGCTAGCTCTGATAGTTTCTCTGCAGAGACAGTAGTGGCGTAACCCGTTGTGACCCCATGGATCTGTTATAATATCAGCTGACTGTAGCTAACTAATGATCAAACTAATTACAAAGTAAATAGTGCAAAAAAAAAAAACTTGATAAATGGAAGTTAATCACAGCAAAACAAACACAGAAGGCGCTAACATTGCAATTTAAATGACTAGATAATGTTAGCATAATCCTTACCATTATCTTTTTATCAACTCAAACTTTCTACTGGAAGACATTCAAGCCAACGTTATAATTGGTCTACACTATGATCCCTGATGGTTTGATGGTGGAATTTGCCCCTGGTATTTCATTTTCGTCTAAAGTGACAAGTGGTATTTGATTCATTTCGGCAGTGTTTGTCCGAAACATGTGGGCGGGAGTTGACAGGCGGCGGGGGCGTGTCTTAGTGACGTCATTCAGATAGTTCGCTATTGTTGCGCACATTATAGCAGAATAAAAGGAGGATTGAAGAGGACTCAGATTGCATGAATCAAACAAGAGCTATTGTTTAGGATAATAGATAATAGAATAAAATATTAAGTAATAAGATAATGAATTAAAGTAAAACTCTTTTGCTATAATTGCACTTGGTTTGACGATATTAATCTAGTAGAGTTTATACTGTAGTCAGCAGGAGGTATTTACTGATGTTTATATTGTACTTTAGCAGCAGAGAATATTACTAGAATTAACATTAATCCTGAGCATTAGGCACCCCTTGATGCGATTTTTTAAATATATTTTTTGCCCTATGCTGCGACTTTTCTCGAGTTGCTCCTATCAGTTGGCCACTTCTCTAAAAATGTTCTCAAAAACGGCTCCGTCTCTGCCGCTCTCTCTTTGAGACTGTATTTTGACTGAAAACTGCACGCTCCTGATCAGGAAGCTCCAGTTCGCACAGCTGCAAATGCCACATCGCAAGAGAAAGCTGCAACATGTGGGGGATGTACAGTTATCATTAGCAGTGCAGATGTACAGTTATTTGTTCCAAAAGTTCAAGAGTTGTTTTATTTTACATGATTTTAATTGTTTTTTATTCCTGAACTACAAACTATAAAGTGTGGGGTTTCAGTCATTAGGTATTGTACTTTAGTTGTATGTACATGTTTTCAAGAGTTCAGTTAATTTAAGTTATAGAAATTAAATGCTTTTATTTCACCTTTGTAACGATCCAGCAGCAAACGGACAGCTTGATCAGGTACTTTGATATTGTCATGTTGAGCTCCTGTTCACTCCTGGTTTTGAAAGTCTGTTGAGTTGAAGCTTGTCAGGCCGCTGACACCAACTGTTGCATGTTAAACATGGAACATTATCTCATCAAATATTGCATGTGCACCAAAGTTTACCAAAGAGGGGTCAGAGCCTGGGCACTGTCTCAACATAACCCTCTGCTCCTCATTTTTCCCCAAAGGCAAAAATGAAACCGACGCTGTGTCCAGAAAGAACTAAGCAACAGTTTGTCTGTGTGTGTGTTCAAAGTGTTGAAGTCATGCGCTTGTCACAACTTCCATGCATTTGCAGGCTGCATGAGAATTTGAAACTTGGAAAAAACTTTTGAATGAATGAATATTGCACATTGTAGAGAGCAAAACAAAAAAGAAAAATATCACAGATCACTGCATTGTTTTATTTGTTTTTTTGCAATTTTAACTGTAACAACATTTGGGGTCATCAAAAAATGTCAACATTTTAATTCAGTTGCAATTCAATTCAATTTCTGTTTGTATAGCCCAAAATCAGGACTTTATGAAGTTGTTGATTCACTTGCAACAGATAAGAGAATCAAACACTTCAAATACAGGAACAGAAAAAAAGAACACACACAAACACACACATCGGCCTAAAGGGGGCAGAACCAATATCCAATGTCCATAAATGTCCCCTATTTGAGAAAGAATGTTAATCTCACATTAATCCCAAACATCAACAGGTTATTATAGTTGTTTGATATCAAAAGAGTGATTTATCATTGGAAATTCCTTGACATCATGTTCTCATTACATAAAGTACAAACTAAAGCAGAGGGACAAAGTAGATCCACAAGGAGTGGTGAATTCATTTTCTCATGATTCTTTTCTTTTTCTTGCAGAGATTCCTTCAGCAGACTGAGCCTTCGCAAACTTGAACTCTGAGGACGAAGAGACTTTGTACAAGAGACTTTGCAATATTAATTTATTTGAGTGTAAATATGTTTTTAAGTTGGTCAGTGTTCTGAGAGAAAGTCTATAGTGTTTGCGCGCGGTACGTCATTCCAGTGTTTGATTTGTTTACAGACTGTTAATCAATCAGAAGCTTGAACAAACTGGTCACAGCTAAAAGAAAAGTTATCTTGACATTTCATTTAAAGACGTAAATCTCATTGTAAGAATAGCACGTCTTCTATGGATTCCAGGAGAAGCAGGAAATAGAAATGGAAACGAGAAAAGTGACATCATGCAACTGTAAACCAGTGTATTTCCTCTGATTGTGACAAAGAGACATTCATTTTCCTTTAACAACTGCTGCCTTGAAGAGCACCTGAATGCATAACAAGAATGCTCCAATAAAAATTGCTTTATCAGTTCATAAAAGTGCCAAAACCATTACTTTCACGCCAAATGTTTCTGCAAATGGAACTGTTTTAAAATTGTATTTAATTTGCCAGTAAATGTGTCAAAGTTTTTCATTTCATGTGTGCACTTAAGGTGTAGCAATGCATTTTACGACTTGAAGATTATGTAAACAAAAAGAAACACGCAAAAAAGTATATTATTTATCATGACGCACCAGTGTTTTGTTTGGTACCTGTATATTTTGTTTTGACATATTTTACGAAATAAATATTTTAATGTTCAATAATGTATGTTTCATATTTCAACGTTTATTTTGTCTTGGGAAATTCATCAGACCAGGAAAGTTTTGAATTCAAGAAACATCTGAAATTAGAGGGACATTTTAAAACCTCATTGAACTTCTGCAACGGCGACCGTCAGGAGTGGGTGCTAGTTCCTTACCGGGATTTAAGTTAGTAATTATTGTTTACGTAAAACTCTGAGGTTTAGACTCAATGCGAACGGGGGAGCATTTCTGAAAACTGGGTGATTCCAGACTCAAAATGCTTTATGAGTCGCGGCCGGACGTCAAAGCAAGGCAAGTTTATTTATATAGCACAATTCATACACAAGGCAATTCAAAGTGCTGAACAAAACAAGAAAGCATTAAAATCATGAGTCAAATGGACCTCAGCAACTATTCAATATAAACGTATGCAGTGTCTGTTTCATATGAGGAAGACGTGAAGCAAGTTCAAGCAAATAGAGATGTCTCATATAAGTCGTAGGTAGTGGTTGTGTTGCAGTGTTAGGAAGCGCAGTAATGAGTGGGCACATATGGGTGATGATCTGAGATAGAAATAATGAAACGCACAATCCTTGGACTATTCTGATTATGCAGCAGGTGTGTGCAACATGATTTATTCTCTTAAAGTATTAGTTGCTCACTTTCTTCAGTGAAACTGGGTTGAAAACAATATGGAGTTAAGTAAAACATGTGCTAGCTTAGCCACCAATGACAGGAGTGTGGCAAAAGCATAGGCAAAAGTGATTTTGGAACATAACATATAAGCTTATTCAGCTGCGTCATTTCCATAGCAACGCTTGGGTATATATATAGCTACCAGGCGCCAGGGACGTCACTTTGACTTTGACCAGTCAGAGATCGCTACACTCCGAGCTTCGAGCAGGTATTTTCATTACATCTTACTTCAACAACATCCAACCCAGCTTAGTGGGACAGTCACTATTCATAGAATAAACTTTGTTTATTTTGATTTTGATATTGATTATTTTACACTTTGCCAGATTTACAAGACTAGCAAGCATTTCAAGAACGCATCAACATGGACAACCATCTGGGACAAGGTAATCTATTTTAACATATAACTTAGTAAAATTATTGGTCATATTTCACAAACACATCAGTAAAAAATGTATGGGAAGAGTGGATGTGTTTGACATCAAGAATACAATGTGGTTTTTGCTTTTAACCAGACCTCAGACCAGACCTCAGATGTTCTAAAATATGGTAGCATTACATTTCACACGACGATTTAAGGATGAATTAAAGGAGAATACTTAGATAAAGTGACATAAATCTGTAGCTTAGGATGCGAACTAACCATTTTTTGAGACATGTTCAGGAAAACAATGGTATTTATTTCATGGTTTGTTGAAGTCCACAATGTTCCTGCTGTTTTTGTGAAACAAAATGGCGCCCGTCTCCATAATGGAATGTTTACTTTTATTGTCATATTCGGTTGCTTGGTAACCTGCTTTTTATGGCATTTATAACACATTTTTCAACATGCTGGACTGGACCTGGACGGGTTCTGGTTCTGAGCCGAGTTTGCTTGGTTTTCCACCATAGAAGAGTGCTTCTTTAACACTTTGTTTACTGTAATCAAGGGCGTAGGTTTGCGTGGGGACCATGGGGACATGTCCCCACCAATATTTGGTGAGGACTAAAAAGTCCCCACCAAAATGACATGATGTCCCGTGACCCGGACGGTCCGGGACACATGTCTTCCGTTTGTGCATACGTCGCGCCTCCTCCTCGCCTCCAGAGCAACAGCAGCAGCAGCAGCAGCACGTGACCCGTTCCGTTCTCTGCAGTGATTGGCTGTCTTCTTCAGCGCCAAACTGAAGCACTGAGCAACTGTTTAATTTTTAAAAGTTAGCCAGCGTGAAGCAAGTGTTTTTTTTCGTTCCCTGAGCGTTGTAGCACGTGAGTAATCAGAGGAAAGTACTGTAGATCTATTACCATTCAAAGTACTTACGTTATTTCTAATCTGTCAGCGCACTGTTTAATGTTCCGAGGAGCTCACACGGCACAGAGACAGAACAGAACTGGCTCCAATAAAGAAACAGGAAACAAGAAAAAATACTTATTGTGCTCTTACTATCCAAAATGTATAAGTGGGTGTGTTGTGTGAATCAGGATAAACTAGGGATGAAAATATTCCACGGATCCACGATTTACAACCTTTATCTGCTGATAATGTAATTTCTGTGAAATGTGTGACAGCGGGCACTTGCTGTTATTTGCTCTAAGCACATTCAAGCAATGCACTCGAATGTGCACGTCCTGGTGCAGCTGCTGCCGCTTTGTAATGACAGCCGCGGCGCTCAGTGAAAGCACAGCTCTAACACGGTACCGAGCTCGGACCATATGCAGACAGAACCATGTTGCAAGTGCGGGTCTCCCTCGCATCTCCCCCGTTTCTCCCCTGTGTCTCTGACATGTCTCTCCCCTGACTCTTCCCAAAGCGCAACCAGCGCTCCCGAAATTAAAGCTCGGATACGTAAATTTTCCATTGCGTTAAGGATGCATGCTGGTTGTGCGCAAAACACACCACAACAGGTCATTTAAGTTTTTATTTTGCATACTTGAGAGCCCTGTGAGTCATTACTTGCCTTTTTGGGTAGAGAGTGGAATAAAAAAAAGAAAATATAGAAAAATCCACACTGTTACTTATTGCCAAACTCTTGTTAACTCATTGTATTGAGAAATACTATGTAACTTTTGACATTGGCCAAGTTATATAAATGATTCTGCAGTTCATGTATATGAATGTCTGTTTTTGATTGTCTATACCTTCTTATATAATTTAGAAAAAATGCCACCTCCACAAATAAGATAAAAGATATCAGGAGCTTTTTTAACAGTTGGAAAGTAAGTAAGAGAAAGCACAAGTAATAGCAAATTATGAATTGTGATGATTAATCTTCTGTTAACATACATAACTGCTTCTCATTCAGTCTACAGCTGAGTTTAGTATAGAAGGCAACACACTATTGCAAATATAGTGTGTGATTACACAACAAATTCTGGGGGAGAAACTCGCCATGTTTGTGAACCCAAAGGGATGAAAATAACAATCTTTTTTGTTTTAATCCGATTATTCACAGAAAAAAAAAAAAAAAAAAAAAAAAAAAAAAAAAAAAAAAAAAAAAAAAAAAAAAAAAAAAATAATAATTCGACAGATTAATCGATTAATAAAATAATCCGTTATTTGCAGCCCTAATGTCATCAAAGCTCACCAGTTCTTAATACCTTTGTTTTCAAAAAAATCATACACAATAGGGGCGCTTTGAGGTGCCAACTGGACCGCCAGTGTGGTCTTCTTAATTTCCAAGTTAAAGCTGCCGTTTATATTATTGACATCCCCGCCATTTCCAAGAATGTTGCACACATTGACCCACGTATGAGTATGCCGGGAGAAACCTTTGTATCCTATAAGACAATCCCAGAGCTGTACAATAGCATCAGACCAAATAATCACAGACGAATCAAATAGTCCAATTGTTGCTATTAGTTATTAAATGTTTGCCCAGGAGTATTTTTGGTTCCAGAAAATTCAGTCATTCACAATGGCCATTTTAAAATGACGCGATTTATTTGCCTTATCGCAAACAAATCCGGGACAATTAATTGAAAATGTGTTAATTGTAACAGTCCACACATGGGGCGAGAGGGCTTCAGCGAAACGCCATCTTGCATATATTAGGATTGTAAATATTTTCAAAATGCATGAATTATGCTATAAAGGACAAATATTTACTTGATTTTTTTTTTCTTTTCTAGGTCCCCTTGAAGCCGCTCCAGCACATGAAGATTGGTTAATCCCACTTTCCTCCGCAGTTTTCTATCACCCGAAGATGAACTTCTTTCCTCCGCCAGGGTTTCTTTCCCACCGCAGATGGATTAATACATCCGCAGGGCTTCCTCCGCGGGTGGACATCCCCATCCTCCCAGGGTTCTTTTTCATCCGCAGGTGAACTACTATCCTCTGCAGGGTTTTTCTAACCTCCACAGGTGGATTACTAATCCTCCGCAGGTGGACGTACTATCCTCCGCAGGTGATTACTATCCTCCGCAGGTGGATTCTATCCTCCGCAGGTGGATTACTATCTCCGCAGGTGGATTACTATCCCTCCGCAGGTGGATTACTATCCTCCGCAGAGTGAGTTCTCTGGCCTCAGCAGGTGTGTTCTCCCTCCGCAGGTGGTTCTCCCTCTGCAAGGTGGTTCCCCTCAGCATGTGGATCTCCTCAGCAGGTGGTTTCTCCCTCAGCAGGTTGGATCCCCTCAGCAGGTGGATCTCCCTCAGCAGGTGGTTCCTCCCTCACAGGTGGTTGGCCCTCAGCAGGTGGTTCGACCGCAGCAGTGTTCTCCCTCAGCAGGTGGTTTCTCCCTCAGCAGGTGTTCCTCCCTCAGCAGGTGGTTCTCCCTCAGCAGGTAATCACCCTCAGCAGGTGGTTCTCCCTCAGCAGGTGTTCCAGCCTCAGCAAAGGTGGTTCCCCCTCACAGTTGGATCTCTCCTCAGCAGGAGTGGTTTCTCTCCTCAGCCAGGTGGTTGGCCCTCAGCAGGTGGTTCGCCCGCGCAGGGGGTTCTCCCTCAGCAGGTGGTTCTCCCTCAGCAGGTGGTTCTCCCTCAGCAAGGTGGTTCTCCCTCACAGGTGTTTTCTCCCTCAGTCAGGTTGACGTCTATCCCCGCAGGTGGACCTTGTGGATCCTGGTGTTCAGCCTCCCTCTCCTCCCTCTCCTCCCTCTTCGATTTTTCTGCCTCAGATTTCCAGAGCCCTCAGGAGTTTCCAGGACGTTTTTGTGTGCAATCTCTGGATTCAGCTCCTGCCTCCCCCACTCTACTGCCTTTCTTTTCCTCCCCCTCACGTCCTGTTTCACCCCACCTCTCCCTCTGCCTCTCTTCCTCTTTCTGCCTCGGAATTTCCAGAGCCTTGTCGGAGTTCCTGGACGTTTTTTTCTCTGCGACTTCTGGATCCAGCCCCTGCCTCCCCCACTTTTGCCTCCCTCTTACAGGTTCCCTCCCACCCTTTGGGGCACTGTCCCCTCTCCTCCTGGTACTGCTCCACCTTCTCCCCTCCTTGCCTCCCCCTTGCACCGTTCGTGCACCAGATACAGAGGAGTTTGTTTTAGGTCCAGTCATTCCTAATCTCCCTACTTCTCCGTCCAGATATCTGTGACCCAGAGTGGTCGTCAGTTACTAACATCTTCCCCCAATCCTCTTTTATCCCCGTAAACGTAGCAGGACGAGTGCACTGCTGAGAACCAGCTCCAAGAGGCGGCGCTGCCATCTCCTGCCTCCTGCCTCCCTTCTCCTCGCCCCTGCTCCTTTCTTCCATCCCTCCTCTCCTTCCTCCTAACCCTCTCTGCCCTTACTCCTTCTTGTGACCCTCCTTCCCCCTCTCCTGCCCCTCACTTCTCTTCTCCCTGCTCATTTCCCTCCTTTTTTTCCGCCTAACCCCCATCTCCGCCTTCTGAATTCCCCCAATCCCTTCTTCCAGATTTTCTTCCCCTATCAGATCCGTCAAGAGGACCCAATGTTTTTGCCCTTCCTCCTCCTCCCTTCCTCGCTTTCCTGCATCCCCCTCTCTAGGAACTGGAAACTTCTGGAAGGACAAACATCAGTGTCACAGCCAGTAAAGGCAGGGTCCTTTTGTGGCAACGGCACAAAAGGAACCCTGTCTGACTTTGTGCCCCACTTTGGGCATGTTCTAGTGGCAGCATTAAACGTTAGAGGCATTGTCTGTGGCAGCTCAACGTATAGTGGAAAAAAAATTTTTTGGTGGCAGCTAGTGTTTAGTGCACTTTAGCAAGGGCATTTTACCTATTGCACCAAGAACAGCAATTCGGACATGGCACCTTAATTTCTACACTGCACTGAAAAAACAAAACACTTCTAGCGGCCAGATGAAAATGCTGGTCGCACAAATTGTGGCATCCCTCTGGTTCAGCTGTGACAGACATCATGTCCATAGCAAAGCCTGGTGAAACTCTGGAGGACAGACATCATGTGTCCAGAAGCAGGACCCAGGTGAACTCTGGAGCAGATGTCACAAGGTGGACCAAGTGGAATGCGAGCGGTGTGTGTGTTGTGTATTGTGTGATGGGCGTGAGTGCAATCCGGTAGAAAGGCCAAGGTGTGAGTGCAGTCTAGGTCTCCGGAGCCAGGAGTGAGCATGCACAGTGCGAGCCAGTGTGAACAGGCCAGATGCGAACAGGCGCCACAGGAACAGTCGCTCACGGATTCCCGGCGGAGTGGACCGAGGAGGAGAGGACGCGGTGACAGGAGGCGATCCGTGGGGAACTGGAAGGGGGAGAGTTGACGGCAACACCCCTCCTCGTAAAGGATAAGTGGCTTTCTTGTTCGTTGGTGGTGGTTGTGGGAACAGGCTTCGCCGTCTTAGTTTGTTTTGGAGTGGCTTTTTTTTATTTTTTTTTGCGAGCCGGTCCTACCCACCACCAGCCTAAGCCACCCCACCTGTCAATGGCCTAGATGTATTGACGGTGACGGCTCCTCCCTCTAACGGAATATAGCAGGTGGCCCCGCTGCGGTGGCTGTATTGTGCCCTGAGACCCATGCGCACTGGTGGACTGGAGCGAAGTACCCGAGCTGACCACAAGCGGAGCGCGCATCGGCTTTAGAGGGGGCGCACCACACCTTCATAATTCTTCTTAGTATTTTCAATTGGGAGTGTCCAGAGCAGACCCAGGTAAACTATGGAGGAAAGACATCACATGTTTTTTTAGTTTTTTTTAATCTGTTTACTCAACACTAAATTGTATTTGTGCACTCAAAGCTCTTCATTGAGTGCAGAGCAGTGGAGAGCAACAGCTGCTGGATCACACGTCTCAGAGCTCACAGGACATCCAGGACAAGGAGACTAAGATGGTCCTGTGACTGGGGGAGGCCCACAATGCACTCACAACACCGCAGGTAATACAGTTGGATCTCTGTAGGTGTCAGATAAGCTCTCCAGGTCTCACTGCCAGATTGTTCCATCTGTACTGTGGTGCAGACCTTTCTTTAGCTTAAATGTAGTAAAACATCAAACTTTAGAGCAGATACTACTTTATTTGTAAAACTCAGCAGAGAACATCTTGACCTACTGTGCTTGGTTTTCCAGCTGCACCAAGGACAACAATCGGGGCACCACTACCTGCCCAGGGTGATGTTCACCCCAAAATGCAACGAAGTATCTAGCCAATGAAAATGCCAGTAGCAGAAATTGTGGCAGCCTCTGTCAGTGCGAACCCCGGTGAACTTAGGAAGACAGCACATGCCGCATAAATTGTGCAGATGTCACAAAAGTGCTTGTCTTCATGAGTGCAGAGCATGGGGAGCGGACACGTCTCAGAGACATCCAGGACAAGAGGGCCAGCACACAGGACCTGATCCAAGATAAGACTGGAGCTACTGGCTACTGGGGCAACACTACAGGTAAGGGTGGTGTATGTATATATTTGTATATAAAATGGGGCAAAACATATTTGTCAGTAATTGGCACCCTTCCACAACTAGAAGGGTTCTTATTTCAACTTCAACTGAATCAATTCAAACGGTGCAGAAAATAAGTGTTCTGTTCCCCATGTGTCCGTCTGTCTATTCCCCTCTCTCTTAGTGTCCCTCTTGTGTCTTGCAGGCTTGGTGATTTACTGGTGGGATATCTGAGCAGTTACACCTGACACTACAATCAAGCTCTCTATGTCTCACTGCCAGATGCTGTCTCTACTGTCACAAGGTGAGATGAATGAATTCATGATAATTAAAAGTCCAGAGAAGAAACAAACATCCAAATCCAAACTAAACACAGGAACCAGGAACACAGACAACAATGAACCAGCAACAAATGGGGAAGTGCACAGGGCACATGTAGACACACAGAGACACCAGTGAAACATATTAGTGCGGGGCAAACAATCCACAGGGGAACAGGACAGACACAATCACAGAGAGCTGAAGTCAAATTGAAACCAAATAATAAAAAATCCACACTATGACGTCTACAGTGGTACACACCTATCTTTAGCTTGAATATAGTGAAACTTCAAAAAAAAAGTATTATATCATATTTTCTTTTTTTTCCAGACCACCTGCCTGCTCCAGAGACCCACCAGCCCAGCCAAGCCCAGGGAAACCAAGCGCTCAATAAATGGTTTCCCTTTTTCCTAACCGGTTTGCAGTGTCTGCTTTGGGGTCCTATTTCAAATCTTTATTTCAGACTCAAATTCAATGGTTCCATATTTTGAAAGAACAGAAATACAATACATAAACAGTCTGTCCAAACAGGTCTGTAGGTGATGGAGTCTTTCAGCCAGAGGTGTAGTCACATGAGCCTCATGTTTAACGCTTGACAACTATTCAGAGGCAACCGTTGTTTATTTTATTCAAACTTTGATTTATCAACCACAAATACACAATGAAATTCAGTTAGATTAAATGCAGGAAATAAATTGGTGAAAATTTGATTACAATGATATCAGGTTTTATAGCTTGTTAATTACATTGTACTTTTCTAACAGTACTTTGACTCCTTTTAGTGTAAATTTAGTGGTTTGAGGTAACTACACTGAAAAACCATCTATTATTGGTTTGACATAAGTTTGTCTTTACACTTCCCAATGAAACTACATTATGCCACTGATGCAAGTACAATAAAGCAGGTTTTTGTGCACATTGAACAAGATTAATATGTCCATGTGAAAGAACCACTGTGGTAAGAATTTAGTGCATGTTCAAGGACTCAAGCTGTAAGAAGTTGAGTCATGAGCATAAAGCTGTGGTACCTAATTCTCAGACCACAAATATTAGAACCAATTTATAAAACCCATTAAAATAGTTCCTACCACTAGCATTCACACCTCAGCTTTTTAGAAAGAGACCATCCTCACTCAACCAGTGTCAGTGACTCAATGGGACATTTATTTTTTATGAAATGGAGACAAACATGTATTTATGAAAGTTGGTGCCTCAATGTTTATCTTTTTAGGGTTCAAAGAAGCAAAAATACAAGCTCCAGAATCCAGCGACCTGACCTCTCTTTTACCAAGATACACATTGCATTTTCTGAGTTACATCTTTTTCCTTAATTTAACATTATTGATTTTAGCGGTCCAATTCAAATGTTCCAAGGATCCGTCTTCTGTCTGTTTCACATCAAATATCTGAAGTTAAAACATGTAAAAAGGAATCGTAGCGGCACACAGATCTTTATTGCTTCTACAAGAGTGACATCAGTAATAAAGTCAACACTCAGGTTGTATTGTACAGTTGAAGCTTTCCAAACGAACACATTTGCGTTATAAATATGGTGTTTGAACAAATTCCCTAGCCACCACAACTATAGATCCTGAGAGTGGTGAAAGAGAAAAATGCATGTAATCAGCAGAGGTAAATCTAAAATGACTAGTAGCATAATACTCAGAATGCTTTTGAAAAATAAGCAATGGGAAATATACAGTCGTCAAAATGTACGTATAGAACATCTTTAAGGCACCTTTATATTTACATTACAATTGTACAACATTTTATTAAAAAGCAGACTCAACTTCTGATGACATCTAGAAAAGAAAAAAACATTTCATTTAAATATGAAATGTTGAGATAAAAAGGAAATTATTTGGAATGTATCATTGGACCAATTCTTTTGGTTTGTTAAGCTTTTACTGTACATTCAAGATGGATGTATTTAGTAGTTTACTTTTTTAGTGCTGCCAATTACTCAAGGGAAAAGTTCCACGAGAGACAGTTGCTTGCTTTGTTGATACCTTGGGGGTAAAATACAAATTGGAATGGGAATGAATGTTCAAAGTGCTTTTCAAATGTTTTTTTAAAAAGACAACACAGAAAACACCATCTATGAAGCGACTACAATGTTACAGCAAAGTACAAACAAAAAGGTTTATGGACGATCAAAAAGACAATTTCTCTGAATAAAAGGCTTTGACAGTTTTATAGTTTTGAGTCCCTGGGTACAGATGGAGCACACACAAAGATGTGTTCATGGCTTCCGATGCAATATTGGCACCGTTTAAAAAGAAAAAGCCAAACAGCTACGGCACTGTCCGTGGTGCTGCTGCTCACAGTTTACAAGTTCTCCGATAGAACAGCAGATACGGTGTGGATGACGAGGCCGTTTCTGGCGAGCAGGCTCTGAGAAAGTCCTCCTCGTCAAAGAGTTCTCACCTCCGAGTCGTCAAAGAGCATCCATTTCCCCTCGTACTCCGAGAGCCTGCTCAGGGCCTTGCTCTCTGAGGCCTTGTCGCCGCACGCCTGCACCTCTGTCGCCTCTTGTGAATTGGCCGCTTTCTTAAGTCCCATTTCGCTCCCGACGGTCTTCCTCCTCTTGGTCCCTTCCGCCACGGCTTTGTCCTGTTTGAGATCGCACGCCGCCACGCTCCTCTGTCCTCCCAAAAGCCCTATCCCCCCCTCAGAAGCCTTTTTCCCCACGGCGCTGCCTCTCTGCGCTCGAGGGACAAACACCTCTCCTTCGTCTTCGTCCTTGAGCCGTTTCTCCGTCGGTTTGTCGTCTGTCTCTGCCTTGGCGTGCTCGGGGGGCTGGTCTCGCCGGAGCTTGACGTCCCGCAGGTCGGACATGCGCACGTAGGCGGTGTAGTGGCCGCTGCTGATGGTGACGCCGCTGTGCATGACCACGGAGAACAACTCGTAGTTCTGGCCGTGTTCAGCCGAGCGCTGCGTGCACCACTCGTCCAGGCACAGCGTCAGGGGCGTCTGCAGCGGCGTGTTGTCTTTGGAGAGGCCGGCGTACAAGTCCACGCTGAAAAAAAGTAGAGGGATTTTATTTGGTTAGACAACAATACGTTTGGTGACATACAATTAGTACCTACATTCTTAGTAAACATGTTTTATTGTGTAATGTATCAGAAAGAGCTTAAAGATATAAATGTTCATAATGACACAAGAAAATAAACTACATTTAATAGGACTGGACAGTGCTGAATTTTACTGTATAAAAATGCATCCCGAAGATCTAAACGACTCATTATGAATTTCTTTGAGATTTTTGTGGGCATGATTGGCAATATTAAGCCATTTGATCATGTTTAGTATGACAACATGGGAAATACACGTTTTGATTTTTACAGCTCAGTAATGTTTCAATCATTATATATAAGTATATATAAAAATAAAGGCGTTTATAAATGATTAAATACAATACATTTTGAGCACTTTTCTTTCGTTGTAATGTCAGCACGTTTTATGGAAAGAACGCTGTCAGATTTGTTTGATTACCACGTCATTTATTTTGCATCACAAAGGTCTCGAAGATGCTCTAGGATTAATTGTTTGGAAGGTTTTCTCTGCTGTGGGACCCCTGCTCCAGAAAACCTAAGAAAAATGGATTCTAGAGCTCTGTAGACATGACACTAATCAAAACTGTAGGCACCATGCTGACCCCTCATACAGCCACTCAGCCACACGAAAGGTCAAACATGGAAAAACATAAACGTTTTTTTCTGCGCTTAAAAAGTTGCATAATGCCCCTTTAAATAAGTGTAAGACAGGTGATGACATACTCTAACGTGTTGGCAGAGAAGCGCTTGAGGTGAATGGTGATGAGCTCTGGAGTCTTGTCGAACAGCAGACTCCTCTCTGCCTCAGTGTAGTGATGACACGTTTCACAGAAGTACTTGTCTTCTCCAAAGATGTGCTCCACAGAAGCAAACTGGCCGATTGCCCAGTTCAGGGTCTTTAGGTCTGGTTTGGGATCTGGAGAGACTGAAGCAACAGGACAGAATACATAAATGCCAGTTTCAAAATTCAGTAAAAAAAACAATATTACAGTCCCTCCAGGACTTTGCGGGCAATTATCATGAATATTGTGAGCTATAACGCTTGATTTCGCAGGACATTTTTCCAAAAGATGCAATGGCACGTTGTGATTTTTTCCCTTGTAAAACATACTTTCCGGAAGGAAAAAGTAAATTTTTAGGATGAAATATAAATGCAAAAAAATAAAATAAAGCAAATAAGATCCTTTACCATAAAAAAAAAAACATGCTTTATTGACATAAAGCAAGATACACTTTTGTCAACAGGATGTGCTACACCCCTGAAATAAGGAGAAAACCACGAGAGTGATTTGGGTGCGTTTCCCTTTTGCAGGAGTTTAACACAAGTGAGGAAACAGCGTGAAACCCCCCTATCTGTCGGTGTGGGCAAAACCAATCGCTCAATCGTAGCTCAGGCTTACTAGTCGATAACAATCCTTTCTGTAAAACACAACATGTAAATAATGAATGAACTGTAGATATTTTAACATACCTTTAACCATATTTATCTTGTTTTTTTATATTATGTAAATTATGAAATAACTATTTATTGCAAATCTCTCTTTCTGTATATTTAATCTATTACACTTTTTATCACTACTACAGATGCACACTGTTTGAGCGGTCACCTGAAACCATGTACGCGGGAGGAGAGTTTGGACAGCCTCGCACACAGAGGAGAGTGACAGAGCGCCAACTAGTGTTTAGTGACAGGGGGAGAGCAATGACAGTCACACTGACACATACTACTTTTTTGTTTCTGTAAAGCTGCGGAAAAGTTGTAGGTTGCACTGATTTCGCAGAGTTTTGAGTTAATAGTTGCGAACGCAACAACATTCAGAAGGGACTGATAATAAAAAGCATTTGGCACAAAAGGGATGTTTGTGTTTATTATTGTGGTCTTACCTTCAGACAGGTCGTCGGGGCTACTGGGCTGCTCGTCCAGCACAGGCACACTGATGTCCTGGAAGTCCTCTCTCCTTTCAGTGAAGCTCTCACACTCCAGACAGCGCGTCCTCAGGACCAGCTGCCCTTGGAACAGCCGCTCCATCAGCTCCAACACACCTGAAATACAAGTCATTTTCAAATTGTTAGAGCTGGGCTATAAGACAATCAAGTCTTTGAATGACTGTAGTGTAGCTACCAATGACCAATACATACAATTCCTGATTAAAAGATTTTTTTTCTATTGTCCCCCCAATAATAGCACTACACACACAAATGCATATTTGCTACTAGAACATTAAAATTATGTATTTGATCCAAAGGTTGTCTACATAAAAAATATCATTTACGTAGCATTCAAGTATTCTCTCTCCCTTCTGTTCCATACCGTGAGTCTTTGGAGAATCCTCTTGAGCCTTGATCTCCTGACGGGCCTCGGTGCTCTCCTCCTCAGGCTTCTCTTCGCCTTCAGCATTGCCTGAGGTCTTGGTCGAGCTGATCCGCCCCACGCTGCGGAACTTTGAGAAGATGCTAGGTTGCTTCTTGGAAGGCCTGAGCCAGCCCAGCTTGGCTCTCTTCTTGGTTTTGCTGTCCTTCTCTGGTTTAGCAGCTTTGTCTGCCTCGTTCTCCTGCTCTGAGCTCGTCTTGTCAGTATCTGTGGTCTCCTGCGCCTCGTTCTTAACTTGAACCGGCTCAATCGGAGCCTCGCTTGAAGACTTCCTCTTGGAGCGAGTTTGTATGCTGCTCCCGCTCTGCTCTTCCTCGCCACTTGACCCTTTAGACTTTACAGATTTCGGCTTTTCCTTGGCATTTTCCGGTATCACTTTTTCGTTTTCTGTTGACCTGGGCCTCCTCTTCTGCTGTAGTGTTTTCCTGTTTCACCTCAGGCTCTGCGTTCTGCACCAGTTCTTGTTCTTTCTTTATGGTGTCACAGGCTTCATGCAGATATCCCAGGATGCACTGCAGCACCTCCTGTGCGTCATGTTGGAGGTAGCCTTCATACATGGGGTTAAGTTGCCTGTAAAGAAATTGAGAAAATAAAACACATTTACACTTTTTAGCATGAGAAATTGGATGAAGTCGCAGTAGCACAAAGCTGTGTTGGGCTTTGAAAGGAACAAGGGCAGGTCCTTGTGGTTTTACAGGAGCACTGGAGTTGTCTGAATTGCAATATTTATCAAATTATTATTACACACCATATCTGACAGGATTTGCCCCTCACTGACACCAAAAACAAGGCAAATGTACAAATCTGACATTTATAGCATTATTTTTTGTTCATCCACGGGAAATGTTTCCCACTCTCATGTGACAAGCAGAACAACTAATTTTGATAAATGATATATTGCTTAGCAAAATCTTGCATTATTTTTCTATTGTATATTCGGATTATATATTGCACTTTTTTTTCATAGGCCGGGGGCGATTTATACTCTGGAGCGACTTATGTGTGTAATTATTACATTTTAAATTTAGTTAGACTTTGGCCCCGTCCCAATTCTAAGGGCCCTCGAGGTGTGAGTGCTCTCACCAGAAAAGTGCCTTCCCATAGGTGAGTGCACTCACAGGATATTCTCCCTGAGAATTGGGACACCCCTGGATCTAGGGGACAATATGCAAATGACGCAGGCAAACGTGTTCCACGTCACACGCATCATCAATGTGGCTGATTTTACCACAGATAAGATCTGACACAGATATGACTTTATGAGAAATAGTATTTATTCAAATGAGACGTATTTAATTCTATTTCATTTGAAGATTAGCAGACGGGTACAGCCACGGTCCCGCAGATCAAGTAAACTATGTCAAAGCGATGCTCTGAACTACTTCATGGATCTATAGATCCATGACTTAAGCCTCAGTGAACGCCACACGCTGCGGCCGCTTTGGGAGTGAACGTCACCAACACATGCTTAAAAAACGGACTCGCACACGCTTCGGAGCTTCCTGCCGTCCAGCACAAACTTGCGCCTGTTTGTTTCGTGTTGTTTCCTTTCATTGTGGCGCGGCTTTGCCTGACATCTACTACCAACTATCATAATGCATCATGGATCACCCTAGAACACAAGTGAGCTCCGGACCTCACTTGAGGGCGAGGGTGGTTTTTAAGGGTGTGAGGGCCCTCGCCTCTTCTCCCTAAGTATTGGGACACCCTACAACCCCCGCGGGCACGCACTAAATCTAGGGCAAGGGTGCTTTTTAAGGCTAAGGGTGAGAATTGGGACAGGGCTTTGGACTTTTGGAGCAAATGTTGTGGTCAGAGAGTGTGGAGTCAATGACAGATACGTTATTTGATGGGAAAGAAGTCCGTCTGATCCCCTTATCATCCACAATTAACATGTGTTGCTTAAGCTTCTGTATTCAGTCATTATTCAATGGTAAACAAAAAATCCATGTGAAAAAAATTACTTCTCACTGTTCTCAGGACAAATATTTATATGCGATTAATTAATTACAAAGCCTCAAATTAATTAGATTAATTTATTCAATCGAGTCCCAGCCCTAGTTTTTTTCCTTCTTCATTATGCATTTTTGGCTGGAGCGACTTATAATCCAAATAATACAGCTTTTTTTGTATAAAAAGCCAGTGTGTTATCACCAGAATGAAAGGAGGCATGAGTATGATCTTCATTGAAATGATGTGAAATGTGAAAAAGGCAGGTACTCCGTGAAAACCTTTTGCCCACCTGAGAGTATTGAGTATTTTGCGAGGAGGCGTGGCCATGTCTCCCTCAGTGAAGCCATCGGGGTTGAGCAGAAAGCTGGACTGTAATTCCTCCACTGATGTGATGAGGTTATTGAAGCTGCAGAGGAGATCTATGTAAGGTGGAACGCTCTCCTCTTCGGTCTTTAAAAAAAGGCACATAAACAAATGTTACAAACGTAAACTGGAACAAAATACACAACACAACCAACATCACAAACCTCTTCAGTGTTCACACTTTCATCCTTCGCCTTTTCTTTTTTAGAGAGACTGTACAGGCTCTTTATGCCTTCTCGAAGTCCTGGACAGTGGGATAGAACCTGCAAGACAGATAATGATTTATTTCCTACGGTAAGTGAACAGACTTCAGGCAAACTTCTAAGTAAAATACCCTTTGCTTAATATAATAATCATACACATTTGCTTTTGTACCACTGATGAGAAACTAACAAAAGTATTCTGCACATGCACTTGGAAAAAATGCATTGAAATATAAATGGGTCAAAAGAGAGAAGCCAACGACACAAAGAGATGCAGTAAAGGGTTCATGATGTGTTACAAAACCATTTGTTAGTATTAGATAGCAATATGGCCTACGTGCAGGACTGTACAAGGACTCTACAAGGACTCCATGTTATGACTATGATTTGACTGTCTCTTTGTGACACGTATGTCTTTCGATGTGTGACGTGACAATGACTATATAAACTGTGTACTGCCTTTATTCTGTCTGGGAGAAAGAAACAGAGTAAACCAGTGGAACTTGAGAGAAACTTAAATAAACTTCCAGAGTTTGGCACACCACGATCCGTCTCTCTCTGCTGAATCCTGACAGATTTGGTGGAGAATGTGCGGCTCCGTGTGTGCCATTCTCTGGATTGTTTTGAGGGAGTTTGCTTTGTTTCTTTTTCCTCTGCGTGAGAGATCGGCATGCTGCGTCTGGGAGCGGAGATTCCAACAGGCTGGAAGAGCTGTTCCTGGATGCTTCTTGTCGCTTCTGTCACTTTTGTTTTTTTAAATTGAATATTCCGACGCGGAAAAGAGGTTGGCAGACCTCTCGGACAGTCCTTGGTACCTGTTTGACAAGAATAAGGTAAGCAGACACCTTTTTATATGTAAAGTCTGTATAATTGGATACTAGCTAAATTTTGGTCTGTTTTTGGGGTCTGTCAAACTCTCTAAATTGTATTTGAGAAGAAGTCTCGGGGTTATAGTCCCTTTGAGAAGAAGTCTCGGGTTAGTCCCTTTGAGAAGAAGTCTCGGGGTTAGAGTCCCTTTGAGAAGAAGTCTCGGGGTTAGAGTCCCTTTGAGAAGAAGTCTCGGGGTTAGAGTCCCTTTGAGAAGAAGTCTCGGGGTTAGAGTCCCTTTGAGAAGAAGTCTCGGGGTTAGAGTCCCTTTGAGAAGAAGTCTCGGGGTTAGAGTCCCTTTGAGAAGAAGTCTCGGGGTTAGAGTCCCTTTGAGAAAAAGTCTCGGGGTTAGAGTCCCTTTGAGAAGAAGCTTCAGGGTTAGAGTCCCTTTGAGAAGAAGCTTCAGGGTTAGAGTCCCTTTGAGAAAACGTTTTCGGGGTTAGAGTCCCTTTGAGAAAAGATAGAGAAGGATCCTAAGTGAAACCATGGTGTAAAATTAAAAGTAATTATAAAAAGGGAAATGTGTTAAAGAGGCCTTTGTTACAAAAGCTTTGAAATTGACAAATTTCAGGCTGATAAATGACAAAAGTAAAGAAGCAACAATATTTCAGTGATCACGGTTTAAATTACATACAGAAAAAGGGAGTTTTTGTTTTCGGCGTGAACAGAGTTCACCGGAGAATGCAGAGTTTTATCTAAAGTTGAGTTATGAGAGCTTTCGGGAGTTATTTACATTTTTTGCCGAGTTTTATCTACAGTTAAGCTATGAGAGGGTTGTATCCAACAGTTGTTTTTGTTTTTTAGAAAGAGATTTTGAGTTTAAATTAGTTTGCTACCTCGATAAAATAGAAGCGTAAACGTTAAAGACAAAAGTGCCTTTTGTTACTAGTGTGGAAAGTGATCACTTCTAGACTTGGATGACAAAAGTATAAACTACAAGTTATATTTGCTTAACAAAGTAATCTTGAAAGTTATTCTTCTTTCTGTTTTTGCATTTTTGCTAAAACACTGCTTTCTGCCTGTGTGCGCCGCTCTATCTTGCTGCCGTTGTCAGGGGAAACGGCCCCCTCCTTTGCTGCTCTGGCTCTGAATCAGAGCAAAGCTACTGCTTTTAGGATTTTGGCTTTTCATAGTTGTTATTCCGTTAAATTTGCGAAATTTGCAATTGAACATTGTGTTAGACACAGTTAAACGTTTTTAAACACCATTAGGGAATAGAAGTTTTGAATTAGTATGTTTTTGAAACCCAAAGATTAGTACAAAAAAGCTTAGCTTTTCTTTTTAAATCTGCTGCTTATTTTTGAGTCCATTATTGTCTCTCTGATATATTTCATAGCTGTTTGTGAGAATTTTTTCATGTATTTTTTATTTTAGTTACAAAAGCCGTTATTCAAACATTTAAATTAGAATCTGTGTTAAAAGTGCTTATTGATTATAGACTTCGTCTAAAAACAAAGAGGGAATTAGGCTGTAAAAGTATTATTAAGTTGAACTGTACCCAATTCACCCAATTCACATTCAAGTGGTGACGTTTTTGTTTTGACTACACGCCTGACCTTGCTCCTCCTGCTGATGCCACAGCAGAGGAGACTGGCTCTAAAATGTGCAAGATAATTAAACACACAGTACAAAAGTACATAATACATATTTTAAAGTTTGAAGATTTTTGAGATTTGAGTCTTGTTTTTTATATTAAGAGTTTCTGGTTTTAAAAAGTTTCACATTAGTAAGATAATAAGTAATCTTTATTTACATAGCGCTTGGGAAAACCCAGAGCGCTCCAAAACAATCTCATTCGCATACTGATATCTATCGTTTTTTTTTAAATTGGCCGTCTCAAGGATTGTTTTTCAGACTCTGCCACACTGTACGAGAGGTCACTGCTGGACACTGGACACCAAAGCCCACCCAGCCACAGGTCACAGATCAAAGAGCAAAGGGAAATGCCACCTCCTTGCCCCTCCCCACGCCACTGCAGAGCTGAGTGGGTGTGAGAGAGACCGGGGCCATGAAAGAGAGGTTTCTGGAGACGTGATGGTGGAGCGTCAGGGAGAGACCTGAATGAGAGTTGAGAGTGTGTCCAGTTGGTTTACATCACCACAGTGTGACCTTTGAGACCTACAGGTGGTTCGAGGAGTCTGGAGACACAACCCCAAAATTCACACCCTACACACACACACACACACACACACACATACATTCATACACACACACATTCACATTTACACATAGATACATGAAAAAGCAGAACATGAGAAAAAAGCATTTTAAAAGTTTACTCCAATGTAAACAAATATTTTTAATTGTCTATCACTTGAATCTTTAGTTGAATCAGTATTTTTTGAGACCAGAAATGTTCATTTGAATTCTATATTGTCATGGACTAATTGACCTCTGTCCTGACACTTTTGATTTGTTGATTTTGTGCTGTGTGAAGTAATTACATTGATGAGGATTAGATCTGATAAAAACACAAATTAGAGAAGTAAACTGCGCTTGCTTTTGTCTGAGGGACAGAAGCAACAGCATGAATAGAAATTGTGTTAAAGTAGAATCAAAGTGACTTAACCATAGAGAGTAACTACTGCATAACAAGCTGTGTACAGGAACTGAGACACTGCACCATTGACCAGAAGTGCATCGCAAATGACCTGATGTGCTTCAAGTGAAAAGACTGTATCTGGAGATCCTGATGTGCATCTGGAGAGACCAAAACCATGGCTTGGACCCTACTGATGTCCAAGATGACATCTCTCGAAATATGACCTGACCTGATGACGACTGAGACTCACCCTCAGGGGACCCTGAGGACCTGATGACCTGAGGATCTGAGGGCCCTGAGGATCTGAGGAACTTGGAGAGAAAAACTGGGGAGTGATGTTTATATTTTTGAAATCATACATTGATGAGTGCTAAATGAGACAGATACTCATGATTCTTTCTTTTGTTTTTGTTTGTCCCTAGCTTCTGGACATCTGGTGATCTATTGGACACAGCCATTTGCAGAACAAGAACCAGCCAATGAAAACGTCTATTGCCGATGCTATTGCTACAACCAGAACCTGTGACCAAATGCAATATACATGTTAAGTATTCAGACATCTGACAGACAAAAACTTTGACTTTTTAGTCTGGGAGACTGAGCAACAGTTAAAATGTGTTAAAGTGATAAAGTATGAGTATTGTAGCGTTTTAGTAGATGTTAAATAGTAGTAAAAAAGTAGAATTGTCCTTCCTTTGTTGTTCATAAACACATTTCCACATAAGAGTTCAAATAGTACCCTACAATGTTATCCTTTTGATAGATCAGATAAAATATTAGAATCAGAGTTATGTTACAGCCATTAAAAGTGACAGAAGTCACAAATTAGGAATATGCCTTTGCTCAAGCTGCAACCGAGCTTTGGAGTCACAATAGTGTAGAAATAGACTTAGATAAATGCATCAACCATAGATGCTTTCAAAAATAGAGATTATTTGTAGCCAGTGCTAATATCAAATGGTAAAGGGACCATTTCACAAACATTTACTTCAAAAAGTTAATGAGTGTAGCCTAGATCAGTGGTTCCCAAAGTGGGGGTCCCGACCCCCCGGGGGGTCGCGGGAACCCCTGGGGGGGTCGCAAGATGATTTCCACACAAACAAAAAAAAAATTTTTTTTTTTTTGAGAAAATATAAAGCCCTTAAATATTTATTTAGCATTTGATTTGATTCAAAAGGACTACTTGTTAAATTGTGTTTGGAGACTATAATATATTTTAATAACGTTAGTAATTTTGTCCCAGTCATTGCAGCGTCAATCAAAATCATCACGTAACACAGCTCACATCATGCGCAGCGACAAAGCGTGTCCTGCTGTTGTTTGCTAAAACTAAAGGTGTTTGGAGGCTACAAATAAATAATACTTGCTTTAAAATGAAACGTGGTTAATATCCACAACAGAAAAACCCGGAGGGGGAGAAAAGTCACTTGTATCAGGGGTCAGGCTGATGGTGCGAAGAGAGGGCAGAGGAGGGAGAGAGGGCAGCGGAGGGAGGGAGGGAGGGCAAAGGAGGGAGGGAGGACAGCGGAGGGAGGGAGGGAGGGCAGCGGTAGAACAGCGCGTTAAAGAGGCCCGGCTTTTCGGAGTCAAAGGTAAAGAGGTCCGCACATTAAAAGCGGGTGGCCGCTTTATGCCTTTACTGACAGTAACTTTGGAAAGAGAATCCGTGGGGATGAACCGCATAAAGTAACAGCAGAAAGCGGCCGCCCGCTTTTAATGTGCGGACCTCTTTACCGCTGACTCCGGAAAGCCGGCCCACTTTACCGCGGTAGGAGAACAGTGAGGGCGAGCCGCAAGAAATGCGCTCCACTTCTGCTGAGGAGGGAGCCCAAGCCCATCACTGTGTCACTACATGAGTAAAAATATGCAAGCCTCCTTTTTTGGGCTGGACAGTGCAGCTCGGTAGTGGCGTGAGTCTCTAGAAAGCGTTACTCCGTATCAAGGAAATACATGCTCATTTCATGTGACGGAAGGGCTGTTGGGGGGGGGTGGGGGTCGCGAGTTAGCAGGGCATTTATGATGGGGGTCGCGGGCTAAAAACTTTGGGAACCCCTGGCCTAGATTAATGTAGCTTAGATCAATGAGATAGATTACAACCAACAGAGATTTAAAAGCATGTTGATGTATTTGTGTATAGCACAAAAACAAAAAGTAGATATTTAGATATCTTTGAGAAGTTTAAAAAGCTGTAGATTCATCAGCACAGATTAGAATCAGAATTCAAACACCATTGTAGAATAACTGACCCCAACCCCAAACCTGCTAAAATAGATTAGCTCTTGTAAGGATAATACTAATTTGATTAAAGATGTTCATTCATCCCAAACTGCCTGACAATAATATCTTTAGATAATAAAAAGTAATAAATCACTGACCACTATAGAAGTGTAAATGTTGACCATTTGCCTTACTGTGTTCACAGTTTTATTCCTGAGAATGTAGAATAGACATGGAGCAAAATCCCACTGATAATAAGCCACTGATAATGAAAGTAAACCACAGAGATTTATTAGATTAAAATGTATGTTTAAGAATATGGCTCAATAGAAGCAAATATACAAACATATTTGTAAATAGATTAGAATAGTTTTAAACTATAGTGAATAATAAAAGTAAAGTACACAGTCTAAGATTGAAAAGTGAAAATAATACAGTGAAATAAGTGAAGTGTAGTGTAAATAATTAGCATTAGAATAAAAGTATAGAGTAATAAAAGTGAAATTAGCTTCTAATTTGAGACTCAGCTCGTTTTTGTCTGTGTTTTGACTGAATCTGCTGAGTTCTTGTGTGTCCAATAGTGTTTGTTTGTTTTTATTTTTGGTTTGTTTATTTGTTTGTTTGTTTATTTTTTCCCAGGATAGAGGATAAAATCCACTGACATTGATTGGATGATTATGAGTTTAATGCATACATTTTCTTTGTTTTTAATAATTTTTTAAAGTTTTTTTTTTTTGATTTTTTTTTTTTCTTTTTCCACTTTATTGATTGATCGATTTGAGTGATCACATGTGATTATGTGATCAAAGGGGAGGGTGTTAGTATTAGATAGCAATATGGCCTACGTGCAGGACTGTACAAGGACTCTACAAGGACTCCATGTTATGACTATGATTTGACTGTCTCTTTGTGACACGTATGTCTTTCGATGTGTGACGTGACAATGACTATATAAACTGTGTACTGCCTTTATTCTGTCTGGGAGAAAGAAACAGAGTAAACCAGTGGAACTTGAGAGAAACTTAAATAAACTTCCAGAGTTTGGCACACCACGATCCGTCTCTGTCTGCTTGAATCCTGACACATTGACACAATCTGATAACCATGATTTAACAACAAGCTTTAGACCAAGCATGCAACAGCTCTACAACATGAGCTCCATTCTGAAACCAGGACACTGCTGGAAGACACAGCTGTGACATCAGACTCAGTCTCACCTGCAGCACGCTGTTCAAATAGCAGGTGTTTCCTAAATTGTTGAAGCCAATGAATGGGACAAGGTTTTCCTTCTTCTCCAGAGATAAAACGTGGCTGGGAGAAGATGGACATGGTGATGGCCCAAAGACCTGATCACAGCTGCTGAAAATACAGAAGGTTCACATTTGTTTAGATAATGCACAAAATTGCTAATTCAAGTTAACACATCTTTATGTAATTTATTTTGAAGACACCTAACTATCTACATGAGGTAGATGTCTTTAAATATTGATACAAAATAATTTTGTTTTACTGCATTCAAGTATGGTCAGAAACAAGCAGCTAGCGAGGTGGAGCCTCTGCGGCTGTGACCCGCCCTGCTCCACCCAGCGTCTACTCCAAATAGAGAGTAGAGTTCAATCAATCAATCCTTTATTATCTCACAGATGGAGAAATTCAGTTCGATGAATAAACATCAAGGCTGGCCGCGTACTCTAATTTTCCGCGCTCCTTATGACAGTTATTCAACAGCAGAGAGCAAAACAGACACATATTTCAAACAAACATGGGAGAGACACAGTACATGTGGAAAACATGCAGATCTTTTTGAAGGGAAGTCACTCTGACCCGCCTCGTCCAATATAGCGCGTCAGAGGGGAGTGTGGAGGGGAAGACCACCATAGGCTGAAAAGAGAGGGAGGCAGACATGTAGAAGGAGGGGGGGGGGGGGGGGAATTGTAACTGGTGTTCTGGGTTGTGAGTCTGAGATAGATAAGAGTCCAGTGTCGGCCTTGAGTAGCCGATGTGTGGGTGGTGGAATGTGGAGGACAAAGATAGCGCAGGTGCCTGCAAACATTGGAGACAAAACAACACATGCCTTGTGGGAAATTTGTATAAGCACTTTAGCTGATCAATGAAAGGCAGTGTAAACTAAAGCCAATATGTCCAAATTATACTGGAACTGGACCCCTCCGTTCACCGTTATCCGGAGTTGACCACGTCAGTACGAGGTTCCACCGTGAGGCCCAAGTCCTTCAATCAATCCTTCCAAGCGTTTAAGTCCATCCAAAGATCTCACTCCCAGATCTGTAAGGGAATGTTCGATCCGACTCGCACCCCGTTGTGTCCCCACTGTGCCCTCGACCACGACTCTGGCCAACTCGCGGAAACTCTCCTTGTTTTCCGCGGACAGCCGCTCGTAAATCTTCTGAGTGGACAGCCCTCCAACTTTGCGGTAGATCAAGCCAACTCCAAATCCAATCAGGAGGAACCCTGCTGCCATAAATCCAAAAATGTATATGTCCTCGATGGACAGTCCCGACAGACAAACGGGATGCCACTTTTGCCAGTTGTCAAAAACGTACCCAGCAGCCACCGTACCAAACGGCATCTCCAGAACCGCCTTTACGTGATGAAAAAATAGTATCAATTGCGTTGAGGGACCAGTTGATTAATTCCATCATTTTTCAAGTTGTATACAGGCAGAGCACTAGGAAAAAAGACAATCAGGGCAAGCAGAGCAGGACCAGGGAGAGACACGTCTGACCTCGAGGAGAGCAGGAGAAGTTCAATCTAAATGTACACTGGTCATTTCATGTAGCTGATAATCTGGTCAAAACCAATATTTGTTCATTTCTGGCTTCCCATGCAACTCTTTTTCGTCTTAAATAATGTCAGGGCGGTCCTTCACTGTCAGGCTGGGGGTATCCACCTCCACCCGTTTGCACTGTGGAGTACCCCAGGGATAAATTGTTGGCTCTTTGCTTTTTGCCCTGTACCTCCTCCCAGTGACATTTAAAAAAAAACATGACACGTCTCTTAATTTTTATGCTGACGATTGTCAGATTTACATGGCATTAATGAAAAATGTTCACAGCCCCCTGAAACCCCTACTCAACTGTCTAAGTGACGTCAAGGATTGGTTGGCCCAAAACTTTCTTAAATGAAATTAAAGTAAGACTGAGGTCTTTTTTTTTTTTGGCCCTAGTGCCCCCCTCATTGACTTGGGGCCCTTAAAAGATCATGTGCGCCCCACAGTCACCAAACTCAGAGTCATTTCAGACAGTGATTTTACACTTAATGAGCAAATTAATAACATTTTAAAATCAAGCTTTTGTCATTAGCGACTTTTATCCAAAGTTAAACCTTTTTTATATTTTAATCTTTTGGAGCAGGTCATGCACACCTTTATTTCTTCACACCTGGACTATTGCAATCTCTGTGGCTGGACCAAATCTATGAAACGCTCTGCCCTCCCCAAATTAAAACTACTCCCTCTGTGGAGTGTTTTAAGTATCGTCTTAAGACCCATTTTTATGCTATGGCTTTTAACACTGCATTGCATGGTCCTTTTATTTTATCTTATTGTTATACATATATGCACACATGGTTTTAATTTTCATATTTCATGTTTAATTATTTTACTGTTTTACTATGGATGCTTTTATTAGTATTTTGTTGTGCAGCACTTTGGAAACCGTGTTTATGAAATGTGCTATATAAATAAAGTGGATTGGATTCCCGGTAAACTGTGAAATAAATAAGTTTTGACAATACGGTCAGAGGCCTACCCTCAATGTATTGTTATTATGCCGGCTAGTTCACGAACGCACAGAGAGGCGTGAGAGTTCTTTTCACAAATGTTTACTGCACTTTTCTTTTACAGTTCACACCGTAGAACTAGCAACAAAACACAAAATGGTATAACTTACATATTAAATAAATAATAAACAAAATATGAATTAATACACAATCATACACACCACTTTGGCCTGCTGGCGAACAACCCGGTGGACTGTAACTTCTAATCTTTTCTTATCCACTCCGCTTTGTCGGGTCCGTCTTCTTAACTTGACTTGTTCCACTAACTAAAAACTATCGGCAAACCGGAAGTAGCGATATCAAAGGCATAAAACTATACATTTGAAATATTGATCTACATTAATTATTATCTTTCCTCAAACTTAACCAATACTGATCTAATAGTCAGAACACAAATATAAAAATGTACAAAAATAAAATAAAACTTTGGCGATGATAAAATGCACACTAGCGCCGCCCTGTGACGAAAGAAAAAACTGTATCATCAACAGTTACAGTTATTGTTATCATGGTTGAAATTAACCCTTGTGATCTTCCATCACCCCTAGACAAAAATGTTTCATTTAATTGCATTGGACCGGATTGGACCCATTACAATACTATAATAGAATTGAATATGGAATTTCTTTTTGCTCCACCCAGGCTTACCTTGGCTCCTGCTCCACTGACTCCTCCGCTTTAGGTTCATCAGGTTGAGGTTCAGAAAAGTCCAAAGCTCGCTTGGTTTCCTTTTTATGGAAAAACTTGAGGGACAACTTATTCTTCTTGATGGGGCTGCCCAGAGTCGCAACAACTGTACCTCCCTGAAGTACTGGCATCTTTATGAGCATCTGCGTTCAGGCCCAGTTTACATCGAAGGAACAGCACCCCACACTGGCGAAAAGAAGATATAAAACAGAAAAAAACATTAGGCGCCATCAAGAGTTACGAATAATTTCCAAAGTACGCATGTAAAGTGACATACATTGAGCTAACACAAGAGATTTAATTCATGAGAAAGGAAGGGGGAGGGAGATTGCGTCGTTTTTTTCAAATCAAGTACCTCTCTCTCTCTCTTTCTGACAAACTGCAGACAATCACTTTAAACACATTCAAGTTTCTAGTTATTTCAACTTTAAACCAGTACAACACACTAGAATAATGTACTTGTTATATAACATGAATTCTGTCTCAAATTAATAATAAATATTTGTTGATCTTTTGTCAGGGACCCTCAGGCAGGAGGCTGCGGTCCATCAGGACTAGAACCTCCCGCCACAAGAACAGTTTCTTCCCCTCTGCTGTTGGACTCTTGAACACTTCTTAACCTGCCCCCCCGCCCTTTATAACGTCACTTTACTGCCCATCATGCGTCACTTTACTTCACTGTACTGCTGTCACCTTACATTGTGTGCACCATGTGCACTTGTATATTGTAAATAGTAACTGTAACTCTATTTTAAATTTAAATTTATTCTTTAGAAGTGTTTTTTATTCTTATTTTTATTATCTCTTTCTGACTGTTGCACTGAGCCAAAGCAATTTCCAAGTCTGTGACCTCCTGTTACTTACGTGGCAATAAAAATGATTCTGATTCTGATTCTGATTCTGAAGTCGCTCAGGTTTTCCTATCAGAGATTCCGAGTGACCCTAAACTGTACAGACACCATAACAAGCTTCGTCTCTGCTTCAAAGACTTCACTAAGAGGTATGTGGACCACGAGAATACTTCCCAGTGTTGTGAGATCTGCCTATCTCACAAGTGCAGTAGCTTTGTGGGTAATGTGTGTGTGTGTGTGGGAGCGCGCAGAGGTGACGGGAGCGCGCCGATAGACAGAGACAGAGTGAAAGCTAGGAATGAGCGAGAGTGCGACCCGAGCAAGACAGGGAGCGTAGTTTTTGGCATGTTGTTTTTGGGAGAGATATAATCCCCACTCTTGAGCAACAGTCCATGTCCCTATATCCGCACCACACTTTAACATCGAGGGTCAAACAAGAAGGGAATTACGCCCCGGAGGAACGCACCCCTTCGGCCCTGGAGCAGCAAATCTCCCCTGCGCCCCTCGACCTCAGTCTTGGGGCTTATTACAGGAAAGGCGCAACACTGGCGACCACGAAGGGACCCTCAGCTGTAGAAAGTGGTGAGCAGAAATAATATAAAGGACGAAATTGAAAAAATAAATAAAGAAGAGCTTCGTAACAACGTGGTTATAACGCCGAAGTGAAAGCTAACCTAAAATGGCGGCCGCTCGCTATCCCCGAAATGTTTACGGAGATGAAACCAACTACTCAAACCCGTTCATGTCGCTGACTAATCTTGTGGACAATGTACAAAGTGCTGTGGGTGTAGATGCAAACAGGAATGGAGTGAAGTGCGATCATTATAACCAGGCCCTGTGCGAACTCAAAACGCGAGGCCCTGACACGACACTTTTTTCCCAGATCTGAGGAAAGTTTTTCCTGTTATAATCTTTGGCATGAATTTAGCACCGCCTCGCGCGGTGCCTGAAGAGATCAGCACGCGCGCAGCGTTGGGCGCGCGCACACACACACACTACGGCGCTTGGCATTGCGATATTGGTCGCGGTCTTTTTAGCTGACATGGCTCTTTCGTCCTGTGGCAAAATGGCAGAGCAACTCAAAAGATTGAACCAAAAGGAGTCTTTTTGTTCTAATAGTTAGATTTCAGCAAAATGCACCAAAATGGCAATGAGGCGGAGTCAACATTTGTTTTTTTCTCATCAAATAACGTTTTTGCCATGCCTCCATACACTCTGACAACAACATACGCTCCTTCTCCTCCACACTGACCACAACAACATACTCTCTCCTCCTCCTCCACACACTCTGACCACAACAACATACTCTTCTCCTCCTCCTCCACACACTCTGACCACAACAACATACTCTCTCCTCCTCCTCCACACACTCTGACCACAACAACATACTCTTCTCCTCCTCCTCCACACACTCTGACCACAACAACATACTCTCTCCTCCTCCACACACTCTGACCACAACAACATACTCTTCTCCTCCTCCTCCACACACTCTGACCACAACAACATGCTCTTCTCCTCCTCCTCCACACACTCTGACCACAACAACATACTCTTCACCTCCTCCTCCACACACTCTGACCACAACAAGGCGTTTTATGCTCAAAATCCACTCCACTCGCAGTGGGCGCTAAAGCTAGACATACAGTGTGTTTGCTAATGCTTTTAAAAATATGTTTTTGATGTGGATATTCGGACTAAACATTGGCAATAGCAGCGCTCACACACCTGTCACACCGCTGATCCTCCTCCTCCTCCTCCTCTGCCCACACAAAGGGGTCTGCTCCTCTGCTCACACCTGTCTCGCTGCTCCTCCTCCGCGAGTATCCATCTCTCCGTTTACTGCGCTCATTCCCGTTGCTTTCTTCGTATCTCACTCAGACACTGCTAAAGTTATCTGACAGCTCCGTAAAGTTTTTTCGGAGGGAGTTTTTGCGTACATAGCTGCCCTCGCGCCTGCCTGTTTACAAATCGCTTTTGGTGAAAATTTGACTTTACTTGTAAAAACATTCTTTTGATCAAACGAAATCAAAGAGATCCAGAGAAAGGGGTTTAGGGGTCCAAACTTGGAGCGCAGTCTGCCCTTTGGGGACCCTTGAACTAGTGTATTTATTTAAAAAAAAAGGAAGGAAGATTGCGAGAACCCTGTTTGGTGCGAGGCCCTGTGCGACGGCACAGGTCGCACAGCCCTTCCGACGGGCCTGATTATAACCCCTTTTTATGTGACGAGAGCTGCGGTGATTGTGTCTATACTGGCTCACGGTCTATGGAGGGAGAAGATTTGTTCGCCCCGCTACCTGCTCCGGCGCAGTTTTCACACACAAACCCTTTTGTTGGAGCCACAAGTCATGGTCATTGCCCGGAACCGTGACAAATCCATTTGCCACAGGTCACACGGGAGGTTTTGTACATAGCACGCCAGCTCCGTACAATCCAGCTGCATGTACCCTCCCCTTACAGAGTCTATATATTAATCCATCAAGGACTGTGACATATCAAAATCCCATACAGCCCTAACCAGATCACTCATCCCCACATAAGAGCCACTTCGGGTCCCGGAGGACCTTTCCTTCAGCGAACGATGACGATTGTGACTTTAAAGACTCTACTCCCTGGGCAGTATGATGGAAGTACACCATGGAGAGAGTTCATGCACAGATTTGAAAGCTGCGCTGAATCTAACCACTGGTCAGCAAAAACAATGGCGGTTCAGTTGAAATTCTGCTTGGTTGGAGCTGCAGGGGCCATCGTTCACCGGAATCCACGCTAATCGAAATGGGACTACCAGCGGCTACTACAGGAGCTGGAGAGCGCGTACGGCCCTTCCTCAGATCATGCGGCAGCGGTTGCAGTGGAACTGAGGCAGAGAATACGCCAAGCTGGTGAGGCGTTGCATGTTTTCCGGGACGATATTTATGGAAAAGTGGCTGTGGCTTATGGTGACAGATCCGAGAGGGAGCAGGATGCTATCGCTGTTGAAGTTTTCACAAATGGTTTGGGCGATGCCGATGTTATTCAAAAACTGCTGGAAACTCGCCCGTCCACACTGGCGAGAGCTTATGAAATAGCTCATCGCCATGAAACAACGAAGAGAGCTGCATCACAAGCATCATGCAGCCTGGGGCCCGCAACCTGAACGAGCGCAGACCCTGCACCGCTGTTGTACGGGAGACTGAGGCTGCTCCTGCTACACCCCCGCCAGACCCTGCGGCAAACTGGTATGTTCCAACCACACCCTTAAAGACACAAAACCAGCATAAAAACTTGAAGAAGACTGACGTCCGCTGTCATAATTGCAATGGCTGGGGACACATACGTAATCAGTGCTCCTCCCCCCACAGAACAGCCAGGACTGCTAGACCACCTGCACCTAGCACTCCCCGTGAAAGCTCACAACCCACCGTAATTAATCTCAAAGCCAATAATTGTGAAATGAGCATCCATTTGTATCCGTCAATACAGAAGCGTATGTATCCAGACACCGCGTCACAGAATTCATTGACGTCCTCTGACTGAAACACAGACCAGTCCGTAGCATCAAAACAACCTTGTAGCTTCATGCTAGCCTCCTCAGACCAACACTGCACAGTGCGAGAGGTTGGTTTATGTTCCCTGCTCCTCTGAGTATACGAAGGAAGAAGGAGAACAGAGGAGTGGTCAGACTTTCCAAAAGGAGGTCTGAGACTGGACCTGTAAGCTCCCTTCACGTTACTGTAGCAGTGATCCAGAACATGTGCTCCTCTTGTAGCTTGAGTCACATGTTGGTAAAAGTTCGGGAGTACAGTCTTTAAATTACATTTATTGAAATCCCCAGCAACAATGATGACTGCGTTAGGATGAGCAGACTCATGTTTGTGAAGGATCTCGCTCAGATCCTGTAGGGCTACTTTGTAATCCGCACGTGGGTGAATGTAAACAGCACATAAAAATATCACTGAAAACTCACGGGGAAGATAAAAAGGGCGGCAGCTCAAGACCAGGCATTCCAGATTGGCAGTACATGTTTGGTTCACGATACGAGTGTCCGTGCACCAGCGCTGATTAATTAAAAAGCACACACCTCCGCCTCTGGCCTTGCCCGTGGTCTCCTTCACTCTGTCCGCGCGGTGAGCGGTGAATCCCGGGGGCAGAACACAGCGCAGTCCCGGGCCTCGCGCTGGCTCTGGACCCGACACAGGAGCTCGTCCGTCTTGTTGGGCAGAGACTGGACGTTGGCCAGGTAGATGGAGGGCAAAGGGGTCCTGGAGGAGCGGCTACGAACGAGCAGACCGCCTCGCCTTCCCCGGTGTCTG